AAGCGCATATTATATTTTAATATAATAACTACCGGTTTAACTTACGTATAATTAGATCTTCGTCTGCCATGTTATGTTATTGTCACTGACTATATTGCTAAACCGTTGTGTACATACAGTGCTTACAGTGTCGCCTTTCAACTTGAAATCTTCAGCATTGACCATGAATGAAGCGCGGAGAAGCGGCGCCTAGGCACACGGGAGTACCAGTCATTGGGCTCTATTAAAATTGAACGCCGACTTATTTCAATAGGCTCTTTTATTTTCCGAGAAACTCCGTATTCCTCACGTACTATTACTTTAACTTTGTCAAAGTGTATGAAATAAGACGTATCCTGGTTACGCAAATGCTTGTTTGTTTGATTAAAATTATTTATGGTACATCCTTATATGTTATATAGTTAGAGCATCGAGCCTCAAAAATGGGTCATTTTTGTCACCTAATTGTCAAATTAGCTGAGTCATTTTTTTTATTCAATATTCTATATATTTACGCATAAAATGTATCTTGACGTATTATTTAATGAATAAAAATCGTGTTCACGAATAAAAAGATGCAGAATTTATAAGACAAAATAAATATAGAAGTTGTAAACGAATCGCTCATAACTATTTATCACGCAAAATTTTATGAAAAAGTAGACAAGTTTTTCTCAAGACATTTCTATGGAGACGCTCTATCTATATAATCTAACGGTACATCATATTAAAAGAAATTTGGTGCATAAAATAAATACTGAATAAATACAAAGGCAGATTCTTTATCAAATAGAGATATCTCAATAAACCTTGCTTCAAGTCAAATAGGTATCTGTGATTAACTATTTGAAAAAAAGTTTAAACCAGGGATTATATATGTGCATATAATATGTTTATTTGCTTAATTATAATTATAATATATATTAAATTAACTATATAATAAAATATATTAAATGTATCTACTGATGTATGTACTGATGCTCCACGTCGTGAGTCCGACAACGGTGACTCTTGCTATTTCTTTCATGCGCTCAAACGTCACTTGTGAAGTCAAGTTTCATTTTGAGGACTCGGTATTATTATAATATACATTTATCCCTATTTAGTCCCACTTGTGTTTCTATTCCCAAACCAATGTCTGTTTTGGTTTCAATAGTAGAATATGTCAAGGAAATATTCTGGCATTTTACCTTAGTTCTCGGAAATGGCAACGTATGAATATACCGCAAGCTAATAATATATTCTCTGATATCCATAATTCAATTCAAGTCTCTAGACGATAATTGCTACTGTTCATCTGAAGAGGTTTTAATTATCTTAGCATTTTACGTTTCGTATGGGGTAAAAAGATAGTAGTAATATACGAGTACACCATAAATAGTAAAAAGTAGTAGATACCTTTATCTTACAACTTTATTTAAACATAAAGATGCTTGGATACCTATAATTGTTGCAGTAACATTTGTTTATTTATTTTGAAGAGTTAAGAAGGTAGTTTATAATTCTTCTTAATTATTTTTTCGGCTAAGTTGCCTATTCTAAATCAATATTTAAAATTTGCAATTAACAGAGTTTATTCCCCTGTTGATCGCATTTTAATTTTGTGATGATTAAAATTGTAGTTTTTATTTGCAAATTAATACTGCTTGTTTTGATGCAAAATCTATATAAAAAAAAACACGTTATATTTAGAATGTATTCAACATTATAAGTATCGATGAAACAATTTGTAGGCTATTTTTTATTTATTAATTTTTTTATTTTATATATTGAAATTGTTTTTTTGCGAAGCGATATACATTTATTGATTTTAACCCACTAGTGATCATTCTACATAAATAAACAAAATACCAGTACTTTATTGTAACATCGATCAGAGAAATTCTCAAAAACGGCGACGCGGATGGACGTTTGAAAACGGGCCCATTTTAATGTCACCGAAGAATTTTCTTCATACAAAACAATTTAAACTTTAACATTAGGACCTTAAATACCAATTTTGTATAAAATAAATCGTCTAGTAGAATATCCCAGAGTCAAATGCTAACAAATATTGGCTAAGTAGTAGGTATCTAAACATTCGCATTTCAGTTAAGTAAATTGTTTTTATGTTGACATTTTCTTTGAATTTTCATCTCTTCAAAGGACAACTCGAATATATATTTATTTTCTTAGCCCGGTGAAACTTTATTTTTCTCGTTCTTTGTTTTATTTACCGTAGAGTCTCAGTAGTTATAATGTAGCAAAAAGGGTAGGTACTAATTTATAACTATTTTTTTTATAATTTTAGTATCCTTAACTGTGCACTGCTGGACATAGGCCTCTCCATAAGGGAGATTTTGCTAGTAGTCACCACGCCTGGCAAGTGAATTGTCAACCACAGTTAGGCTTTTAGAGATGTTTTAAGAGGGACACTGCTGCCTATCCCTCAACCATTAAGTTCCCTTAGTCTCCTCTTACGACACAAAAGAAAGGGACGAAAGGAGTGGCACATTTTATGCCAAGACTATACGGCAGATACATATACATATATCCCAATAAGTTAATTTATTAAAATCGTATTCAACTAGAATTAGTTTGACAAATTACTTTTATATTTTAATTATAAAAATTAATATTTAAATATATATAATAAATATTAATATTTACTCATTAATTACTTAAGAGCATACAAACACTACACTAGCACAGATAGCCGGTAGTTGTAATGTATGTTCCGATGCAGACTTATTTGAGTTGGGAGCTATATTATCACAAGAGGTAATAGACATTTTGAATTCTATCAAATCTAAGGCAGTGGGCAATGATAATATCAGTCTGGATATGTTGGATCCTATCAAGGATCTTATAGCACATATATTAGCCGTCATTATAAATTTTTCTCTTTCTACTGGTACTTTTCCCACATCCTGGAAACTGGCGCATGTTATTCCTCTCCCTAAAAAATCCAATCCGTCTACTTTCTCGGAATACCGACCTATCTCAATCCTTCCCGTACTTTCAAAGGTATTGGAACATTTTGTTCATCGACGCCTTACTAAATATCTTTATCGTAATGATCTCTTGAGTCAGTATCAGTCTGGTTTTCGTACCGGTCATAGCACGGTTACTGCACTGGTAAAAATTACTGAGGATATTCGACTTAATATTGACAAAAAGAATATTTTAATATTAGTGCTACTTGATTTTACCAGTGCTTTTAATACTGTGGACTTTGATGTACTTCTCGGCATTCTCTCCAAATTTAGATTCTCATCATTGGCTCTGGCATGGTTCCGATCATATCTTTCTGGCCGGCGCCAATTGGTACGTGTGGATGACTGTTGTTCTGACTGGTGCGCGATTAATGCAGGTGTCCCTCAGGGTGGAGTTCTTTCGCCTGTACTTTTCTCAATTTTCATCAACGGAATTACGTCTGCTCTCCTCTCTTCATTTCATTTGTATGCAGACGACATGCAATTATATACTGCTGCTCCCATCTACAACCTTACTAATGCTGTAGATGTAATTAATAATGATTTGAACGTAATTGCTAAGTGGACGAAGGATTTTGGGCTTTTAGTTAACGCAGATAAATCTCAAGCGGTCATTATGGGTAGTTCTCATTTTATTGCTAAACTTCGGTATTTAACAGTTCCCAACGTTATTTATGACGGAAAAATAATCCCATATTCCACTACTGTTAAAAATTTGGGAATTGTTATAGACCAGACACTGTCATGGGGTCCTCATATAGGTGAAGTAAGTCGAAAAATCCACGCATCACTACATTCCTTAAAGCGCCTGCAGAACTTCCTCCCTTTAGGAACTAGACTTTTACTGGCTCAATCTCTTCTTCTTCCTCTTCTAGACTATGCTGATGTTGCCTACCTAGATCCCACACAGGAGCTTGTTGATAAACTTGAGCGACTGCAAAATCAATGTATACATCTATAACCTTCGAAAGTATGACCACATATCTAGTTATCACAGTCAACTCAAATGGCTTCCTATCAGGCTACGGAGAAATGTCCACATTCTTACTCTTCTTTTCAATATCCTTTTTAATCCAACATGTCCACATTACCTTCAGGAAAGATTCAAATTTCGCGAAATTGATGTTCGCCTGAGATGCAGTAATGACTTCATTATAGATTTGCCTTGTTTTAATACTCAAAGCTATGCCATGTCATTTACTGTACATGCTGCACGTCTCTGGAATTCACTTCCTAATAACTTAAAGATGGCACAGTCGCTGAAATCTTTTAAAGCAGGTATCATAAAATTTTATTTTGAAAATCCCTCTTCATTGAGCCAATTGTGAATATATGTATTTATTATGTATACATGTATGTGTATGTAGGAGTGTATATATGTATGTGTATGTATGTATATATATGTATATATATATATATATGTATATGTATATGTATGTGTGTATATGTGTATATATGTATGTGTATGTGTATAAGTTTTTATTTATTAATGTTATATTATTATTAATTTACTTTTATTATTTACATATGTAGGTATATAGAGCTGTTTTTATTGTGTTATATATTCAATTTTTTTTTTTACTGGGTATTATTTAGTTTATCTTTAATTGTACGGTTATTACCCTTATACATTCTACAGTTTTCTTTCAGCTTCTCAAAGGTTGACTGTAAGAGATCCCTTTATGGGATAAGTCCGCCATTGTATACTAAATCATTTACTAGTATTTAATCTGACTTATGTACAATAAAGATTTTTACAATACAATACAATACAATACAAAGTATTGACCAAAATTCAAATTATTCTCGTTTGCTCCCAATAATTAAATATTTAAAATTTGCATCAATAATGAATATCTCATAGTCCAGTAACTCTTACTTAGATCACAAAGATCTTGAAAGTAACTCTTTATATTGTGATATTATTATATCACAATATAAAGAGCTACTTTCCTTACACTGTGATAATATATTAAGTAGACCAAAACTTGTATTAGACAAATATTCCTTCTATTTGTAGGATGCCCGAAAGAAATTTCCAGCGAATTAAACTTCAAAATCAATATAATTCACATCATAAAAAATCACAGATATAGTTCAGATCAGTTAATCACAGTTATTCTGTTGTCGACCGTAGGTGTAATAGGTGACACTTTCTTTATATAATTTTCCAACAAATCAGCATCTTGTCCCACGTGCAATTTATTTTGTCCATAGTTCTTTAGCATCTGAAACACAAAAAAAAAAATAACAAAGCTCTTTAGTGAGAGAAATCCATAACCTATAACCTATAGAGATTACCAAATTTATCTTCGATAAGTCGTAAGTATGAGTCTATTATTTTTTACTCTATTGTGATGTAGTAAATATACTGTTAAATCTGCTGTAAATCTTTCTATTATAAAAGTCTACTAGCGAGTACAGGCGTACAATACAAATATGTGATAAACTTAGATTTTGAAAAATTTATAAATATAAACCAGAGACTAAACAGAATATAGCATAGAGAAGGGGTTGATAATAACTTGCTAGTAAATATAACCTGTCAGATCGCGCAATTTCCTCTGCTAACCGTCGCGATTAATTCCTGATCAATTCGTTACGTTGGACCAACAGACCTAACTTCATCCTCACCTGTCATCTCTTACTAGTGCTCTGCCAGAGTAAACCCTGCTTATTTTACGCAGAATAGATTATCATTCAATCGAAACCCATAAAAAAGATATAACGACATTTACAGAAAAAGCCCTCGATATTTTAAAAACCTAGTATATAAACATATTAAGAACTTATACTTACCACAAAACCATTTCCACCTCCCAAGAGGAACTTCATTGTAGTTACTTGATACTCCTTATCTGCTTCCAAACGCTCGATATTGTCACCATTTTTCACAAACGCCGAAAGTACACTACCGTCCGTGGTATTCATAGTTACTTGCAAACCTTTAAAAAATAGATAATATCAATTATCCCAAAATAGTACAAAAAGAAAGTTCTTATCAGTCTATATGTTTCTTCTCTACTTTTAAACCACGTTCTATAAATGGCAGGGGCACATAAACTATGTATATTAGTTTACATGTCACTGTCATTATGATATTTTTTACAAAATATTTGTATGTATGTATTTCGATTTTAAGGTAGCTCTCTATAGCTGAAAGTGTATAATATAAAAATCATTAGGACTGTGTTTCACAACAAAAATCAACTTAAGTTATGAAAAATCAGTTATTTAAACAAAATTATGTGCATAATTTTGTTTAGATACAAAGAGGAAAAATTTGGACATAAACAGTACTGTGTTGTTTGTACTGTTACTGTTTACTGTGTTACTGTACTGTATTGCCATGAAATGCCATGGAATGGCAATAGATTCCTGAGAACTAAGGTACCTCTATACCCTGTAATTTGATTGTTCGTAATTGATAAACACAAAAACAATTTTTAAAAGTCTTTGATCTATTAAAAGCGACATTATCAGTGAGTAACATGGGTTTTATATTATTTTCGAATATTTTAACTTCCTATGCGAAACCGGGCCGGATCATTAGATTTCTCTTAAGAACAATAATAATTTTATACTAGCTATATCCCACGGGTTCAGCTGCGTGAATCAATAAGTATATAAAGTATCCTTTGTGCAATGTTATGATATAACCTACACCTGTAATTTAAATTTCATTTAAATCCATTTAGTAGTTTTCGCATAAATAACTATCTTCTCGAGGATCTAATTTAAATTCTAGTGTGTGTTTCATCTTGATACGCTATTTAAAAGTAGTATATTTCGTTGGTTTTCCTACTTCTGAAATCCACGCCTACAAAGTAGTGGACAAAAAGCTAGTATTGTATTAAGATATTTACCGGCAACTTGTGGCATCCACGGTCCATTGAAAGGTTTATGTACCCAATAGTTAGTGAAACACCTCTTCAATGCCTCCATTAGATACTTTCCCAGTAATGTGAATGTCACCACTTCATTGGTGAACGGCAACGTATTTATAACTGCTCCTCGGGTGATATCTAAAAATCAATATACATTTATATCAGATTTACTAGAGAAAAACTTTTTACAAAATTCGTCTGCTTATCTTTATCTCATCCTTGTATCAACAGTGAAACAACTATGATAGCACAGATGTATTTCGGTTTGAAGGGTAAGATATGGTAAAACACTGTAGTCAAACTATAGGTATCACAGTGTATTCTGTAACGTCCATAATTCTGTTCGAGTTAATAGGCAAGATTTCTCATCAGATGGACTTATCAACTTATTACTTGTGACTCAAAAAAAAAGTTGAGGCCCAAAAGAGGGCATCCTCATACGAGTGGTAAATATATGATCGAATAACATCTAGAAACAACTACATGTACATATGTCTTCGTCATCCTTATATAAATATAAAATCCTCATTCTGTCGATTCTTGTCGATCTTAAAAAAAAGGGAGAGAGATCCGAGTAACAAAAGCCTCTATTTTTAAATACAATTATATCCGTATTTTTCTACGATTTTAACTAAATCGCAGAACAATAGAATGTTCTCTTCTATTAGTAGAATTTACTAGTAGAACTGTAGTTTTTGCTTCAACTACATTTGTAATTCATTAAAGGCATCTTTAAAGTTTCGAAATTAAAATGGCCTATTGACATACTAGATATCCAGATTGCGGTCCGCAAAGATCATAATTTCCAAATTCGAATTTGACTATCACCAAAAATTGTCATAAATTTTCGACTAAATTTCCAATTATTAAAAATCATCATCATATCAGCTTTTAATTGTCCACTGCTGAATATAAACCTCCAACTTGGGGGTTTTGCCAGTAGTGTGTTGCTATGCTTGGCAGGCGGTTTGGCAACCGTAGGCAGGCTTCAGAGATGTTTTAAGAGGGACGCTGCTGCCCATCCCTCATCCTCCTTTAATCGCCTCTTACGACACTCACGGAATAGGAAGCGGTGGCCTCTTCTTAGCCGGGACCACAATTTTTTATTTTAAAATCAAAAATTGTGGTCCCGGCTGGACAAGATTTTTAAAAATACAATTAACAAATAATAACGGAAACAAGCCCATAATTGAATCCAGATGACCTATTAATTAGGCATATAATAAAAAATAATTTACGTATAATATAAAAGTCATATTTCAATAATTAAATTATAATTACAAATTAATGTACTTTCACATTAAGCATCTTAAATGTAAAAAATAAGTACCGAAATATAAAATGATTCGTAGACATAATTATTTTTTATCAAAATATATAAATCAAACCAGTAACTAAATACAAAACCCGCCAAGCAACATAACAAAAAACTTACTTCCTTGGCCGATTGACCCACGAATCATGTTCCTTAGAAGAAAAACAACGTGTGGAAGGCTCGACACGTTTAATTGTTTGGTCTGAAACAAACCAAAAATAATTAATGAAAATAGTTGCAATAATAGATTTAAATGGTAAATTTAAAGCAAATATGAACATGTTTACTTTTCAATATCCTTTTTTTTAAACACCTTAGAATGGCAAACAAGCTGATTGCCCACCTGATGGAAAGTGGTAATCATCGCCTATAGACGTGAGCAGTAGCATGGATAAAACAGAGTATACTGTTTCGCCCAAGGTACCCCCCATATGTTGCCATTCCTGAGAACTAAAGTGTTATACCTATATCTGTAGCCTGTAAATTCACTGCCCTTCAAACCGAAACACAACTAAGCAAACACAACTGCTTCACGGTAGAAACACGAATGGGACAGAGATACCTAAGCAAATGACTTTTGTACAAAGTCTCCCTCTGGTAAATTTTTATCATTATAACAACTAAAGTTATATATTAAGCCTGAGAAAATATTTGTATTATTTTTTATAACATTTAGAATGGCAGACATGCTGACGGCCCACCTGATGAAATGTGATAACCGTCGCCTATAGATATCGACAGATCCATAGGTATCACATAATTTTCACTGTGTTACCTATGGTATCACGCGTTGCTTGAGGACCACAAACCACCTCCATACCCTGTAACTTCACTGCCATATCTATACCTTTCAAACCGAAACACAGCCCTCAAGCACATCTGATTGGCGACAGAAATACAAGTACAAGAACAGAAATACCCAAGCAGATGAGTTTTTTTTACAAAGTATTCTTCTAATAGTGCTTATAAATCGCCGTAATGTATTTAATACACTGCAATCTTTACGATTGATATAATCGAAATTATCAGTTTTTATAATCCTTCTTTACCGCATCCAAAAGTGCGTCAGCAATGAGATCTCCTAGCGGACACTCCTGCGCACCACACGTTTTTGCCAACAAGTCTTCGTTTATGAACCCTATGACCTCGTGAACTAATGCATCGAGTTTTTCTTTATATGGTTTCATAAGGGTTTTTATATTCGGATCTGTAAAATAAAGTTGCATTTTAATATTGTTTAATTTATCCGCTACTCCATCTGTATGACCAGGATAAAAAGCAGTCTTTCTCCTTCTCCGTGTGACTAATACTACATATCTGTCCAATATCATGAGGAGTTTTTGGGCATTAGAGATAATAATAGAAATAGTGAAATAAAAAACAATTATTTAAAATAATCTTACTACAATTATTATATAATAAAAAAAATTCACACTTTCACTACACAAAAAATATCACTGGTTTTTACCTTGTTTCTTCGTTCGCGTAACCGGAATGTGTCCGCTGACCAGAAATAAAAGTAGCTTATGCCCTTCTCTATCCCATATAGTACGTGTATATATGGTTCAAAGTTCATAGTGATTAGTTAAATCACTAAGTCATCAAGAGAACAAGAAACAAACAAGAGGTTACCACTATTTTGTCTATTAATTCTACTGAGCAAGTTTCTTGCATGTTGTTTCTACTTGAAGGTGACGGTCTTCAAATTACAGAGCAATATAAATCAAGATTAACATACCACCATAGACGTAATTACAGGGGGCCGGGTGGGCCGTGCCCGTACCAGAAGCTTCTGGTACCCATCCTAAAGCTTAGCAACTATATGTTTAAGAGTAGGTACTTATATGCCTTTTTTAAGGGACCAAAAAGTTTTTTTTAAACACCGATGCATCCTACGAGAATCTATAAAGTATGTTAAGGTCTGTATATTAACCGTATATCAATCAATCAATTATAAGCTCATGGTATACAACTGCTGGGCATAAACCTTCCTTAACTGCTTCTATCTCGTGCAATAGCTAGCCAAGCAGTACCGTGTCTTTTTTATATATTTGTGTTCTTATATCGTTCTTTTTTATATTCTTTTTAATATATACTTGTTATAAAGGATCGTTTAGCAATAAGGCCGCCTTTTACGTCACACTACATTAAAATTAACTGTATTCATTATTTTTATAAATAATGCAATAAGGTGTAAAATAAATAAATAAATATTTTTATCCCTTTTTTTTTATTTAAAATATATAGTTTTAAGTAATGTACGGATTTATTGTTACCCAATCAAGTGACAAACTAAGAACAGAATATATAGAAAGAAAAATTCGAAATAGAATCCAATACAAGACCTTCCCATTGTGACCATAGTAGGCTGTACATTCACTTATGGGGAGATCTATCGATAGAATATTAACGGTTTTATGCAACTTAGAATGACAAAGACATGAACAGCATCTCTCTAAAGCATTCATAGTAACGCCTATGATACCCTTCATGCGTTACTATTCCTGAAGTCTATAATATAATCATGATAACAAACCTATAGTCCTTATTCTTATGGTACTATAGGGTACAGAGGTATATATGTCGTATAATTTCACTGTCATATCTCACTCTTCAATCCGAAACACAGCCATGGAAATACAGTTGCTTTGTGATATAAATATATATAATAAAGTAATATGATATTAGATGAAATATTGTATATGATATTAATATGAAAGATACTAGTACAAATACAATGCCAAGGGAAAGGGTTGTATGTAATGAGAATTTGCATCCCCATTGTTAATAATTTACCCTGTCAGGTCGACCTTCTCATGGTCTTCCCGGAAACTATCATGCTTAATTACACGCGAATTCATTCGAATGAGCCAACTACCCTGCCTTTTCATTTTATCCTATCATCTCTCAGTGAAACCTCGTCTGTGTATACCGTTAGCGCAGACAGAGTAATCATGTCATTATCATTTTTTAAAAAAAATGCAATGCCAATATATAAAGATACCTTCAGGAATTGATCTGTTTAGAAATACTGGTGTTCCCTCATAACTCTGCAACTCTCCGTATATGTCGAAGTACGCTGTAATGTTTCCCAAATATTTGGTGAACGCTGACGCTGTAGCAACCATTACCTGGAACATAAACAACATTTTAGGTACGATATAACGGGTAAACGAACAATGTTCATAACATAGTAAAGTTGTGCCGACATATTGCTCATTCAGTAAATCTGGTCGATATTAGAATAACAAAAAAAAATCTAAAAAGACTGACTGAAATAGTAAAAAAGGAATTCAAAAATGGATTAAAAAACAAAGTCAAGATCTAAAATGTAAAAAGTGTATAAAGAATACATACTTATTGTTAAAGAATATATACACACACGTAGTGACAAAGAACCACACGGACTCTTTTTTAACAAAATTATTTTAATTTCCCGAAATCATTACATTACAATAAGATTAAATAAACAAAAAGATAGCAAACACTTGAAAATCCTACGCGATCCGTGTTTGAAATCCAACACAATTGTTTGCACTTGACTGAATAAATATTTTGCTACAGCAACAATCACAAAATGGTTAAAAATTTATCAAATTAAAACAAAATGTACAAAATTGCATAACATAACGTAAAAGTTGAAATTTACACACAAATTTTCACAGCAAACTAATCCATTATACATATTTTACGTTATCTTGTTTTGAAAAGTGTTTTTTGAAAAATAATAAATATACAGATATACTCGTTTACCATTTTATAATATGTATAAATAGTTAAGTTAAAATAATATGAAAATGACACAATTTTACCTTCATTAAGATATATTAAGTAATTTTAAAGTACTTTAACAGACATCATAGTTATACATCGTCACATTTTAATTAACATTTCAGCTTCACTTAACTTATATTAAGGTCATGTAGAATATAATTAACTTTAGCAGACATAACTTTATATCGAAGAGCTTATAAAATATACTGAATCCTTAGATATGTAATAATATTCTCTAATATAGGTATCTATTACAATCAAGAACTGTTATTTTAGATACGTAAATAACTAGAAAACTTAATATTTTCACATATGTGTCTATTATATAAATATACTTACTATAACTTACTTTTTAGTATTACTTATTATTCGGTTACCATAACCTATTATAATTTTAACCGTTAACTGGGGGGAGGGGGTTGCCAGTAGTTGCTACGCTTGGCAGGCGGGTTAGCAACTGCAGTTAGGCTTTTTGAGATGTGTTAAGAGGGATGCTGCTGCCCATCTCTCTACCACTGAGTTCCTTTAGTCGCCTCTTACGACACCTACGGAAATGAAAGGAGTAGCCTATTCTATGCCGGGACCACACGGTCTACCATAACCTATAGTGCCCTGCAACAATCACCACCTACTAACAGACTTTCATTGCCATATCGTAATGAAACTGAAATACAACCATCAAGCACAGTTACTTCATGGCAGAAATATGAATGGGACAGTGGTACCCAAGCAAATGACTACCATTATTCTCTCACTACTGAAAAAATTTTCACAAACCAACAGAACATAATAAATTATCTTCTACCATTATTAAATGGTAAACTAAAGATTACTTGGGGACCAACTCTGCAAATAGACTCTCGGTTATTTTTAAATGGAATATTGTAAATAACATGTTTATTTAGGTCTCCGTACTTCAAAGAAAGAAATATCTGGCCAAATGAGAAATTTGTTTATGACTAACTTTTTCTCATAACTTCATTCATTTAATGAGAATATGTTTATTAGCTAGAATAAACAGTAGCCTACGTTTGACTACATCTCATATAGTACATATATTCAAAATTTCATAATAATTGCTGCTTAGTCAAAGGCGGTAAATAGTAACAAACAAACTCACTTCATATGTACATTAAGATTAGATACTTGGCAATTTACAACTTTCACTGTAAATTGTTATAGAAATATTATTAATTTATAAAAATCATATTACCCGGCATAGCTAATGGGTACAATTCCAGCCTGCTTTGAATTTTTTTTAATAACTATGTAATTTATTGGAATGTAATTTTCATATTTAAAGGTTGAAAAATTTCGAAGCAGGTGGGACTTGAACCTGCACCAAATTGAATGCAACAAATAAAATCAAATCCAATTCAGATGTCTAATACTACAATATTAATATTTATAAATGTGAAAGTTTGGAACGATGAATGGATAGATGTTTTTTACTTTTTCCACCAATAACTACAGAACAGATTGGAATGAAATTTAGTAGAGGTAGATTATCTCCCAATTTTATTACTATTACTTAACTTATTACTAACAATTTACTAATTCATGCGGGTAAAGCAACAGGATACAGCTAGTTATTTATAGACATGTTTAAAATAAAGTATATTATATATGATCATCATCATCATATCAGCCGTTAACTGCCCACTGCTGAACAGAGGCCTCCTCCATAAAGGGGACTTGCCAAACATGGCACTTGGCAGGCAGGTTGCTTACGCATATTATATGGGAATATATGTCATATATATTTCCATATAATATGCGCAAGTTTTTGTATAACTGATGCATTGCAAGAGTCAAGGATACAATGTAATTCATGAAATACAATCATGACTTATGTTTATCAAAGTCGATAAATAATCTTGGTAAGAAAGAACCCGTTAATTATTTATATAAAGATAACCGCAAAAATCTAAAATACTATATGTAGTTACTTCTTAGAGTTATACTTTATATATTTGTAGTATATGAATTGTATATATAAACAAGAACATGCATGTCTGCAACATTTATAATATTCTTTGTTGAAAATAGATTTATTAGCATCTAATTACTGATTTTAATTATTCATTTTAAGCCAGCCTTTCTCTTGAATTTAAAGGAATTTTAATTATGAATAATTAAAATAAATTCTTAATAATATGTTAAATATTAAAAAGTTATTTTATTAACCTTGAATTTAAAATAGTATTAAAGATGTAAATATATATTACTTAAGCATTATTATCAATATCATTATAAAATATATTTTGTGATGTAATGTTGAAAAAAAAACGAAAATCCACCACTATTACAACACTGGACAAAGTGCTTTGTAAAAAGTTTTATTTCACGTTTTCCTACACTATTTGCTCCTTAGTTGCCAATTACGACATCTTTTATGCATTGTATTCTTACTTATTCATCACATAGAACCTAATATCATAGAAAGAAGGGTTTGTAGTAAGGGGGTTTCTACATTACTTATAAACCTAAGGGTAAACGACCAATAATTTTAAATAATAAATATTTTTTACATACATACCTGATGTCCAGGTTTTGACTTGGGTCTTATTACTACAGGATAAGGTCCAGAAGTCTCTTCCTTGCTGGGAGGGTCACCGGTCCATAATAAACTATGCGAATGACCTCCTATTATAATATCTATATTTTCTCCAACATCGCTGGCTATTTTCCTAAAAAAAAAATTAATTGGAAGTAAACTACGACAATAATTTATTTGGCTTCTTTTAGAAGATTTTTATTGAAATTGTTGGAATTCTGTCGCCGTGACTTCATGACACGTTTTATTTTTATACTAGCTGTGCCGGCGATTTCGTTTATGTGACTGGAATAAAAAATAGCCTGTATCCTTCGTTGTCTAAAATACTACGTATATAACAAATTCAATAACGTTTCGTTAAACTATTAAAGTGATAAACAGAGGAAACAGACATACAAACGAAGTCACATTTACATATATAACGTTATCATTAATTAATGGATTTACAGAAGCCTTTAATACTATTAAATATATTGCTATTAAGTGCCAGTAATATTCAAGACACAATATCTTTTCTGAAACATATCTTTTTAATTTAAAAATTTTAGAATTTTTTGTTTAAAGCTTATAACGCTGCAACACGTAATACAAATTATATCTAAATATCTGTGTGTGTATGTTGTGTCTGTATAGAAATTTATCAATTGTAACATCAGGATTTATTATAAAAAAAAAGTAGATTTTTTACTAAGAAATGCCTTTATAGCCTTTTAATGAAAGAGCGTCTTAGCCGGCTTAGTCTTTAGCCATTTAAACCTATTTTTTGTAATAATTGCGTCCCCTAATACTAAGCCTAATAACTGAATGTCATTGAAATAAGAACAAAATTTTAAAATGTAGAAATGTAATAGCCTAGTACTCGTAAAATTCAATAAAGATTTTGAGAATTATATTACTTTTTTTTTATGAATGATAATGTAAGGGTAACCTCGCCTACGCTAACGGTATCGTAAGGTTACCAGTGAGGAATGATAAGTCAGGGCAGTTAGCTTGTCGAGATGAATACGCCTAGAATTCAGCACGTTGGTTTCCAAGGGAGGCCACGTACGTGGAGATCAACCTGACAGGGTATATTGCTAGCATTGGAATTGATAGTCCGCATTACTGGGGGGAAAGGGATTGTTAGAAATGGAGTTTGACAGACCCATTGCTAGCAATATGCCTTATTAGGCCGACCTCCACGTGGTTCCTCCTGGAAACCATCGTGAACAATTCTTGTTGAATTCGTGACGATGAGCTAACTGACCTGCTTCATCCTCACCTATCATCCTTCATTGGTGCCCCACCGGTGTACACCAATAGCGCGGGTGGGGTTACCATTCCATTATCATCCATTAAAAAAAAAAGTCCGCATTACTAACAATCCCTTTCCCCGCAGAACTATATTACTGACTTGCTGTTGCTTACGTCTTTGCACGCGTGCTGTCCTATCTCCTTTTAGTTGCAATTTTCAAAAATTCTTTCACAGCGGGTGCTTACGTTATAAAATAAACCTATATACCAGAGGGAGACTGTACAAAAGTCGATTGCTTGGGTACCTCTGTCCCATTCGTGTTTCTACCGTAAAGCAGTTGTGTTTGCATGCCTGTGTTTCGGTTTGAAGAGTGGGATATAGCGTGAATTTACAGGGTACAGAGGAATAACACCTGAGTCCTCAGGAATGGCAACGCATGGAGGATATCATGGGCGAAACAGTATACTCTGTTATGTCCATGGTACTGCTCATGTCTATAGGCGACGGTTACCACTTTTAATCAGGTGGGTCGTCAGCTTGTTTGCCATTTTAAGTTGTATAAAAAAAAATCAACTGGATAGCTAAACAGAGTAGTTTTGTCTGTGTGTTGATACTTAATCAGGACAAACGATTTTATTATTTAATTTTTTTGTATCAATTATGATTAAGCAGTAGATAAATTATTTTAGATCAAATCTACTGTATTAGTAATTGTACTAATAAAATTAAATAACAAAGAAACAACATTTCTAGTGAGTAAGATCAATTTAGAAAGTATCTTTATAAATTTATACGCATCTCGGTGTTAGATAAACTTGTACCATTAATTATTCGTTGGCTACCTTCTCAGAGTAAAGGGAAAACTACAAATACCTACAAATTAGTAAGCAAAATTCTTTTAATGAATGTAACTATCTGTATTTTTTATAATATATAAATATAAAATAAGCGTACGGCCCGCCTTATGGTAAGCAGATGTAACGGACTTCAAAAAGAAAGATTTTCTATTTGTTTGTATGGTCTGTGTGTTTAGTACTCGATAGACTGTGTGTTGCCTCCATCATCTTAGTCTTAATGTTACTTCTGTATAATATAAATCTAATCTAATTTAACGTAATATATTTAGATTTATCCAATATTAATTATATTATCAATGGTTTCGCTCGTACGACAGTTTCACATATTTACATTATTTGTTTTTTTTTAAAGCCATTGAGGGTAGGTGGACTCACTAGGAGTCTGAAACACGTCATGTTATAGATACCAGTCTCCCACAACTATATTCAGTTTCAGGTTATTATTCCCAATTAATATGGTTGTGGTGAAAAAAAATATATTATAATTATCATAGTTAATCGCATCGTTTTGTCAACGACCAATCTTCAATTTAAAACAGTTCACGCCGCCTGGAGGAACGTAAGCCACTATCACAAGGTAAGTAGACTTTCCTTTGTCTCCATTCTTTCTACACTGATTGTAATTAATACTCCATTTTGAATCCTATCACCCTTACAATCCTTCCGAATCGGAATTCTTTGCGGTTTCAGAGATGTTTTCTCCCATAAACACTCAGGTTATGAATTGAGCTCCCTGTCGAGGTTTTCCCAAGAGACTACAGCATGGGGTTCTTCAAAAGGGGGTAAAGAGGTTACTTCAGGGTCGGCAATGCGCGCGTAATACGCCTGGTATAGGCGTTCATAGGCTACGGTAACCGCTTACCATCAGTTAGGCCATATGCTTATTTGCCAGTTTCAGTGGTATAAAAAAATTGTGGAACCAAGTTTGATAATCCTTTGCATAATTATTATTGATAATTATTAATTTTGTCACAATTGAAGACACTAATCGTAATTATCTTAACAAGGACCTTGTCTGACTTCAAGTGTACAACGATATTTTATCTTAATAATTGATATTAATATCATTAATGAATTCATAACATAGAATTAATTAAATATAGTCTTAATTAGCAAATAACTAAGTTTAAATTTAATAGAACTCGGGGTAATCACTACTTTGTTTATTCTTAACTAGATTTTGCCCGTGACTACATGCGCGTGTTTACTGGAAATAGGTAACTATGTATTTCCTTTAGATACCACTTGTCACGTAAGAAGATATTCAGAAACACAACTGTGAACTGCACCAAAGACAGACAAACGTACGTACGTAAAATTATTGTATTAAATTATTGAAAGCTACCATATCAATTTTTCCTAAATATATCCATTATAGATAATCCTGTAGATATATATATTCGGTTTCAGTGATTAAGTCGCTAAAAGTATATCATTAGCAACATTTCTCTTAAAAAATTATGTAAAATATTATAATAACCAGTGATATCGACTTTCACAAGAAAACACCTAATTCAGTAAAATGTCAATTACTTTTACTTAAATATCTCTTATATAGATAGATACTCTTTATTGTTACCTCCAAAAGATTACAATAGTATATAAATATAAACAATTACAAGATATAATCACAATGAGAAAACAATGGGCGACCTTATCGCTAAAAGCGATCTCTTCCAGGCAACCTTTGGATAGAGAGGAGTAATTATAAACAATTTGGTGGGAGGCATGACATAGACAACTAGACAATATATGTAGATACATATATCCACAGACATTGTCTAGTTACAATTTTATTATATTTACATAGATAGTACCTATCTATTTTCTTGTTAAAACGTAGTAATCGATCATACTTACCGTATATAATAGAGAATCTTCGCCTTGTTATAGACTATTTAAATGCAAAGACAGTAGTCAGTATCCACATTTTATAATAGAGTTGTCATATCATAAACTATAAGCACAGAACCCATTAGATTATGCGAGTCAAAGTAGATAAAATATGAACAGTATTTTAAACTGACTCTATCTATATTAAAGCGAAAATAAATTAAAAACAGAAAATGCATATATGAGATACAAAGTTAAATGGAAGCCATTAGCTAGTAAATTCTATAGCATAAAATAGCAATTAATGAATCGGGCATTCTCGAAATTGTTTTTGGTAGATGTCACCATATTGCATGACAAAAACCTCGTTGAAAGCCGAAACCGAGAAGAAGAAGAAGTGCCTTATCTTGGCTTACAGAGTGACTGAAATATGGCGGTGATATCCACTGAAATCATCTCAATCGTTCTGTTAGTAAAGAAGAGTTTGTATAATTCGCATTTTGGACCTTCTATACAGTCGAAAGAAAATTAAAAATCAAATCTATTCTATTTATTATTATATCAGACAGATATCGTTAGTTCATAGTCTAGGAATACCTTAAAAGATATTAATAAACTGTAGTGCAAACGCGTATTACCCAGACCAGAGGGAGACTTTGTACAAAAGTCGTTTGCTTGGGCACCTCTGTCCCATTCGTGTTTCTATCGTAAAGCACTTGTATTTGCATGGGTGTGTTTCGGTTTGATGGGTGGGATATGGCAGTGAATTTACAGGGCACAGAGGAATAACATTTGAGTCCTCAGGAATGGCAACACAGGGGAGTATCATGGGCGAAACAGTATACTCTGTTATATCCATGGTACTGCTCATGTCTATAGGTAGAACAGTTACTACTTTCCATCAGGTGGGCCATTAGCTTGCTTGCTATTCTAATTTGCATAAAAAAAAAGTATAATTTTATAATGCGCTTTCATCCATATGCATATTTCAAATGAAACTTTTTTTCTTAAATATAATATTAATTCAAAAATAAACTGTGAATAAAACAAATTAATAAATAATAAAAAAGGAAACAGACAACATATTGGACTTACAGGAAATAATATAAGAATATAATAACAAAACCAGCATTTATATACACGTATTTACAGATAGATTAGTGTGGTCGCCTTGAAAAGAATTCCTTTATATAATAAGGCCGACTTATTGCACATTTTGTTTATATATGTTACTTAAAACGCATTTGTTTTATTGTAAGTATATACGATCTATCAAGCAGTGCAAAGTGCAAATAATGTTTTAATAATAATAATATATTATATCTATCTATAAATTGCTTTTGAACACTCGTACTAAGAAACGTAAATATAAGTGACATAAAAGCAATGTTATAACTATGTCATCATAGTGTAATGAGTATGTACAAAAGATAGCTAGATCAAGATAGAGACAGCTATCAAGATTGTAATTTGTCTATATATTCTTAAAACTATAATTGTTTTGTATTGTCTGTATATCCTTACAAATATTATAAATGAGACAGTAAGTTATTTTTTATTTTATTTATTACCTTATAACGCTTTAACTGCTTAAACAATCGCTATGAAATTTATTATACACATACTATACAGTATGTAGAATAATACAGGCTACTTTTTATCTGAAAGCACGCAGATGAAGTCGCGGTTAAAAATCAGTCTGTTTATATACTCTCTTTTATTATTCTCTAAATAGTACAATAAGGAGTAAATTAATAATGAATTAATAATAAATAATCATAATAATAACTATCTTATTTAATAAAAACTAATATGAGGGATTAAGACACCTATACAAGTAAGTGCTGTAGTAACCAGAGCAATATTTTTTTAGAATTTTTAGAATAAAATTGGATGTAATTCTCAATTATATTCCTAAAGATCAAATTTAATATCTAGTATACGTTATATCTTCAAACGTCATCTAGAACTAGTTGCGGATGAGTAAATATCAAACAATAACAGAGATTATAAGAGTAAAATAATCTCTAAAAGCCTCAGATTTATACAGATAGAATAATAATAGGAGATAGATATTTTTATCGAAGTTAGAACAGGAAACTAAATGGATATATCTAGAAATATCTCCATATATGGGTACTGTATGTAATTAAAAACATAGCGTTAACGTAATGTTAGATAATCATATAAAGAAAAAAATTTTTACCTAAATATTATTCATAAATAATAATAATATTAAAAATCAGAACGTTTGTACTATTCTTTTTATTTATTACTAAATTATTAATATGATTATAAATGAGTGAAACTAAGTTTCTTTATTTGTTATTTATAATTTATTTCTTTTATTTGTCAACAAATGTGACTTTACAGGTATTCTCTTCGTAGCCTAAAACCTGTGCATCTTCTCCTAAATTAGCAAAATTAGGTTTGTAGTTGGAAATTTTGTAACCTTAAAAATTCAAAGTATATGTTTTCCAGTGTTTATTTTTTGTTTAAGTAGGAAAATGTTGACTCCCATAAATATGTTGAACTAAATCACAAATGCATTTCTTCGATATTATATATGATATGCTTTCTTGCAAATTTCTAATATGTCGCAGATTAAAGTAATTTATATTTTTTGCCTTACCACGATCAACTGTATCAATAATCACGATCGACCGGTTGGCCACCCCTGGTATATAGTATCTACATAGCACTACTACATACACTACATATCATTAGGTACCTAACTCATAATTATGAATAAATCAAAACATTATATAAATAATTCCTTAATATACATGGAATCACAAACTAGAACTTTGTATGGCAAAAAAAAAGAAAAAAATGATAAATAAAAACCTAAACATAAATCCTTAGAATAATTACACAAAGATTATCTTAGTTTTAAGTAAAGAAATGTTTCATTGATATATTAAGTAAAGAAAACATATCTTGGTCATATAATAAAATTGTAACTAAAGAATGTCTGTACATTATACTAGTATTTAAGAAAAAATGTTATCATCATCATCATATGGATGTGTATTAATAATACTCATAGAGGTCAAATTAATAATTATTAGAAATTTTGTCTGTCAATCTATATGTATACAGACAGACGAGTGCGTAATGTTAAAATAAACATTTGTATGTTTGTTCCAATATCAGGTAACAACTAATGCACCAAATTGGATGCGGTTTTCACAGTTGTGTTTCTAAAGATCTAACTTATAAATTTATGTATATATTCATATGCTATTTAGAAGTATCGATAGTAATTTTATTAGTTTTCTTCCATCCGAAATCCACGCGTAAGAAATAGGGGGCAAAAAATTAGTTTAAGATAATATCAGAGTAAATACTTTATAGGTATTCATTAATTTATTGATTTATTCACTGTGTTGCCAACGAATATATTATAAACATAGTTATTTTTATCTAATCATATTGTTAAAGTTTATAATTACCAAACATTGTCATAATTAGTGATTTTAATTATACCTATAATATAAAAAATATATATAGTACGTAAACTCGTTTATTTGCATAAGTAAACGACACTTAAAAGTGATGATTTTTTACTTACTTATCAACATCTAAACCACAGTGTGATAAGACAATGATGATATCAATTCCACTCTCAGCCAACTCCTGCGCCTCTTTTTTAACAGTTTCTATTGGATCCAAAAATATCACGTTTTGAGAATTTGATGAGGTCTAAAAATGAAATTGATTTTATAAAAAAAACAGTAGCAAAATATGGAATTTCCAAAAAATAGATAGCTACTGCTGATTGATAATGTAAAATATAAGTTATGATACAATATTAGATACTTATCGCTATAAAGAGAATTATCTTTGGAGCTACATGTACTACGATGCAGAAAATGAGAATAAATCATTTGAAATTCCGCTCCGCAAAATATATGAGAATCGAAGCGAAAAATACACAATGTAATGAAAATGTAAACTAACAAGTAACTGACTCGACTGTAAGACAGTCTGCCGATCTCCAATACAAATAAAAAATCAATTAGTTGATTGGATATTTCCATTTCTTTGTAATTTCATTTACACAGTGTTTCTGCGATTGTTACTACAAAAAATAGTTTGTTTTTCATTAAATTCCATTGAAAGAGACATTTCTGTACTAATAAAATTATATGAGAGAATTATACAAGGACGCATCTTGTCAAGTGAAAAAAAGAATTATAAAAATTGACGCACATATTATGTAAGATAGATATAAAATCTGTAAGCGAATTGTGAAACATCTATTCCTTAAATGCGCTTGAAAATGTATTGCATTCTGTTTTTTTTATATATATACAGTAAAATATTCGATTTCATTAAATTTCAACATTTTCTTCTATTATTTTCTTAATGTTATGATTATTTTTTAATAAAATTCACATCTCCCCTCTTAAGGAGAGGAGATGGCAAAGTAACCCCCGGTGGAAACGCTGTCGGCCGCGGTTCAGGGATTATTAATGTATTTAATTTAATTAAGTTATTACTATTATACTTCTAAAAATTTAAATTTACACGTATAAAATATAAACGAACTCACCGCTGTCTCTGTTGTTATTAATCCAATAATTCCTATTTTTCGTCCCTTTCTCTCTAACACCACGTGTGGCTGATACAAACCATTGAGTGATGGTTCATTGGTGGTGTCAATATTAGCCGCCAACACTGGAGCTTGGAGTGCCGCAAGGTATGGTGCTAAACCAGCTACTCCATCATCAAACTCATGGTTACCTATTGCCTGAAAAGAACCCTAATTAAGTAACAATAAAATTCATCATTCTGACACAGTGATACAATTATTTATCACTGTGTCAGAATGATGAATTTTATTATTGTCACATATTTAATTATTGTCACAGTAAAAGGCATATATAATTGTTGAGTAATAACTATAGTAAGTCATATTTTAATATAATTATTTAAGTCGGCTTTACACACGTGACCGACACCAACAGCGTGCTGGTCACGCAGTGCTGCTCGTAACACAGCCGTGAACCGCACTCATGGATAAGAGCTTCATTCTGAATTGAAAACTAGTCTGGCATCTCCAAATTTTAAATGTGTAAGTGAAGCCATTTTTAAATTTTCTTTTTTTCTTTCTTATTAAATAAAAAAAATTACCTCAAATTTAATAATATTTAAATTGTTACAGAACATCATGTGCAAACACAAATAGGTAATACTTGTTAACGCTTGAGGAAAACCCAGGGAAAACCCTTTCCATGTCATACAATTAGGAATATTCAACATATGAGAGAAAGAGTTCCTTTCGTTAGCAGTAGGTATACCGAAAATAAGCAAGCGCTAAGCGCTATACAAATTACTGAACTAAATGTTTAAATCCAGTATCAGGTTACCAAACTCCGATCAATTTACTGTCTGAGAATGCGTCATATAACTGCGAAATACGAGTCGCAGTATGTAGACACACAAACAGTGGACTTATTACTGATAACGGATATGATGAGTTTTTTTTTAATAGATGATAATGGAGTAGCATCTCTGCCTGCGCTAACGGTATATGCTGGAGGGGCACCAATGAGGAATGATAGGTGAGAATGAAAAGGCAAGTTAGCCCATCAGGAAGAATACATCTGGAATTTAACACGATAGTTTTTAGGGGGGACCACGTGAAGGTTGACCTAATAAGGTATATTGTGAGCAATGGGACTGGTGGTCCACATCACTAACGAAATCTTCCCGGATGAATTTGACTTAAAGAGGGTTGATGCTCTCTCTTGTATGAAGGCATAACATCTTTGACCTAAGCAATGGCAACGCAAACGTACCAAGGACATCATAATATATTTGGTGATATCCATGACGCTCTTCATGGCTATAGATAATGGTTACCAATTCCCAATAGCTAAGCCATAAGTTTGTTTCTATTGTACGTTGTATAAAAAAAATGGTCTACTAACAATGTAGACTTGCTATTTTTTCAAAAATTTGGTATGATAAACAAACTGACTTTCCACCTTATAGAAACAGATAACCATCATCTATAGACATGAGTAACCCAAAAATATTAGAGAATATATTATGATAGCCATAGTACCTCCAATGCTTTTCCATTTTTGAAGACAAAAGTGTAAGGTGTTAAAATTACAGATTTTGGAGGCATATGCCACACCCAACAACTTCACCAACATATGTATCTCACCCTTCAAACCAAAATACAGACATGCAAACAGCTGTTTGGCGGCAAAAATAAAAATGGATCAAAGGTTATAGCCGTCTCTTGTACAAGCTTCTCTCTCTCTCTCTCTTAGTTAATAATATATGATAATTGGCGGCAAAATAAACATAATATCATTACCAGCTAGTCTAACTGAAACTTATGATATAATGAAATTCTTATTACGAATCTTACATGGGCGTCATTTGGTAGCAAATTGATAAACATTTGCGTCACATTCCATTTGAAAATTGTATACCAGTACGTTCCTTGGAATGTGTCTCCAGCATTTAGTAGCAAAGCGCCAGGCTTCTCTTTTAGTAGCGTCTGTATTTCTTGATACATACGAGGGAACCCGCCTATACAGTTCGTATCGTTTGATTTACACACTGGGTACGCGATTGAAGTCTCTTCGAACCTAAAAAATAACAGTTATAATCAATTATTACCATTCTATTAATATAAAACAAATGTAATATTAATAATAAGGATATCTGGTAGAGATTTCTTAGTGATAAGACCACCTTTTGTATTCATCATCGTCATCACATCAGCACTTAACTGTTCACTGCTAATTATAGACCTCCCCCACAAAGGATATTGCCAATTATTACGCTTAGCTGGGAGGTTGGCATCCGCAGTTAGGCTTTTGATGATATTTTAAAAGATATTCCCTTAGTCGCCCCTTACAACACCCACAGGAAAGGAAGGGGTAGCCCATTCTATACCAAAACTACATGGCACCTTTGGTATTACTTCACATTAATATTTTACTGTTTGTTATTTTTATAACTGGTGGAATTAACTATAAAATAAATACATAAGTAATATAGATATCATTATATTGTATATTTACATGTGTATATATATTTATATTTTCATATGTATTTATTTATGGATATAATTGTGCTTATTTACGCATGTTTAGATATTTTTTTTAACGCACCATCAACCCTTTTATTCTTTATTACTTTCTACCCAAAGATTGTCTAGAAGAAAGTACTTAGCAATGAGACCGCCTTTTGTACTACACTATACTTATTGAAAATTCCTCAACAAGTACTGTAACATTGATGCAATAAGTGTTAAATAAATAAAAAAATTAAATATAATTATTCAAGTTCGGGATTAGATGTTGTTAAGTAATTAATAATAATAAAGTGTCATACAATCATATAATTTACCTGTTTCAAGCTACGATACCCTGTATTATAGGTTAATAACCCAGTACACTCAGACCCGACGTTAGTTAGTGTGGTCGAGAATCGATAAATCATTTATTTTATTTATTTCATTACAGTATTAAGATACAAATGTGTTGAATTTATTTAGCTGCAGGGATCATTTATATTGTACCTATAATAAATATCTATACTCTGTTACTAAGTAGTATTTTTTGCATCATATATGTTATACTTTATATAGAAACATAGAAACTTTCTCCTTTCGGATTCTCAAGGACGACTGGAAGAAATCCCTTTAAGGCATAAGTCCGACTGTGTACATTTTTGTTATAACCTAATATCTATATCTACTATAAGTGAATGTACAAAAGCATATTAATTAATAAATAAACTATATGAAGAATAAGTTTTTATTTAAATCATGGTTCTTGTGATATCATTGAAGCGAAACTCGTAGAACAAAAACTCGATACGCAAATTAAATATTGACTGGCAAAAAATAGGTAAATAGTCATGGTAACATAAATATTAATGTTACCATGAAATGTTAAATAAAAATATCCACAAAAAGTAGAGTTAATTCTGTTTTCAACAGTATTTGCCCCAAATGGTATAGTTACGTCACTGGCTCCTTATGGCATTCTACGGGAGAGGCAATAATAGTGAACAAAAAATGGCTGATATGAAAATAATGATGAAATTGTTATTGAAAAATTTTTTTTCAATCTATTAGTTCACATAGTTTTTGTAATAAAAACTAGACAGAAAAATATAAACGGAAACTAAAACAATTTTGATCGCAGTTATTAGTTTCATAAAAGTTCATTCTCAATACAGATAGAGTTAACAAACTGGCTCTCTATGCTTGAATTTAACTCGGTCTATCCCCTGTTCAAAGGTACTTCAAAGCTTGTAAACTAAAATTTTACAACCGCCACAACTTTGTGCATTTATTTATATTTACGACCTACACTAAGTATATTAATTTTTAATTTTTTTATAAACGGTTACTATTTATCTTAACACGGAAAAACCTTTGCAGGATATCCTTAACACCTGTACGGAATAAATTCAAAAGTAAGCAATTATTTTCCTCTACAATATCAATTAGAATTGGTTTTTTTTTAATCCAGTATTAACTAGTATATGTAAATTGTCGGTAAACTTAAAAAAAGTACATCGATAGAGCCAATAAATTATTGATAATAGTAATGAGCAATAAGTAAAAACGATTGACTCAGGTTTAACTCGTTTATGAAACTGGATTTATGATTTGTTTAAAAAACTTGAACGCTTCAAACTTTTACCTATAATCACGTCAGATAGCATCAAGAACAAAATTTGATTAAAGCATACTATTAAATTAAATATACTAATGAATTTTCTTTTTTCGTTATTATTATTCTCTAGAAGTTAAATTGATCAACTACGTTTTTTTTATACAACTTAAAATGGCAAACAAGCTGACGTCCCTCCTGATGAAAAGTGGTAACCGTCGCCTAGAGACATGAGCAGTACAATGGACATAACAGAGTATACTGTTTCGCCCATGACACTCCTTACGCGCTACCATTCCTAAGGACTCCGATTTTACTCCTCTGTACCCAGTAAATTCACGCCATATCCCACCCTTCAAACCGAAACACAGCTATGCAAACACAACTGCTTCACGGTAGAAACACGAATGGGCCAGAGGTACCCAAGCAATCGACTTTTGTACAAAGTCTCGAAAAATAAAATTCTTATGAAGTTTAATTAAGAATTCTTAATTTAAAGTTTTCACTAACTAATCGACAAATACTAATTGGTAGATACATAGACGATAAAGGCAAAAAAAAATATTCTCATTTGATTTGATTAAAACCACAGGACAGAGCAAAAAGAAGACAAAATACCAAAGATTACTTATAAAACGCATGTTTCTGTTCTGCTTACTCTCTTGCAAAAGATGTTATGTAAATTTACCTAATAAAAAACTATTCGTGATGCGTGCATTATTCGATGATCAACATCAGATATGGTAAGAGTACAAGACAATCAGCCAAGTGAATCGAGCTCGAACATGTTTAATAACTCTTAATATGTTACGGCAAATTTTACAAACGTTGTTTAAGGAATATTTCGTTTTACTTGTGACTTCATGATCATGCAGGCCGTCAGCTTATTTGGTATTCTAATTTGCGTAAAAAAAACTTTATAGATCAGAAAGGCTTTACTTACAGTTTTCCGAAATTATTATTAAAATGTTATTTTTAAAGATAATAAAAATACCATAACTGTGTAAAAAATTTTTAACAACATGTGGTACAGCCCTAATCATTCAGACCGGGGTGGACCGGAGCCAATTTACACAAGTTTGTTTCCTAAATCAGATTCGATCGAAAAATCAAACCACAAAAATAAAATTAAAAACAACTATAATAATCAACGCTTAATCCTTAATTATTTTATCTGCAAATAACGTAAATAATAAAATAAGTTTGTTATCCTAACAAAAAATATGCACAATTATTACGAAACATATACGCAAAATGACCACGGTCACCTTACCCAATACTCCTAGTATTGGGTAGGATGACCCAATAATAATAGGGGTACCCAATAATACTAGTATTTCGAATTTCAAAACCTCACATAAAATAAAAAAATTGGATTTTTAAGAAAATTATTTTATATATATAAATGAGTATGCGTACTAACAATTATTACATATGTAAAAAGTGTCGGATAAAGAAATAGATATGTTGTAAAAAAATTATCACTATTTCATTACATTACTTTTTTATCCAATTATATTTCATGTTCTTTTAATTTTGTAAGAAAATCAACAGCATTACATAAAACAGTTAAATTATCAATATTATACAAAGTAAAAGCCGATAACAAGTTTACCTTATTATAATTTATAATGTAAGCACTTGTGAAAGGTAAACAAGAAACAAGGCAATAGTTGTAGTTTATAACTTTAGACTGAACAATCTTTAAAGGACTTCAACCTGTTGTGAATTTATTTATAACTAGCTATTTCTCGTGGATTTGCTCGTATAAATCAGTATACACACTAAACTATGCATTATGTTGGAGTATAATCTAGTCGTGTTCTGAATTCCATTCATATATGTTCAGCCGTTTAAGCGTAATTGAGTAACAAACGTCCAAACATCTTTACAAATTTTACATTTATAACATTATCTAACACTTAACGGACGAGCCCCATAGATTTACGTTTTTCTACTGCTTAAAGGTGAATGTTTCACAACATCATCATCATGTCAGCCTTTAACTGTCCTCTGCTGGTTATAAGCCTCCCTCTTGGGGGGTTTTGCCACGCTTGGCAGGCAGATTGGCAATCGCAGTTAGGCTTTGTAGATGTTTTAAGAGGGACGCTACTACCTAACAATCGCTCTCCCTTAGTCGCCCTCTCACCCACGTGAAAGGAAGGGGTGGCGTATTCTGTACCAGAACTACACGGCTAACGGTTTTACAGCATATTGCACGCTTAAAAATACTAAACGCTTACTTAATAAATATAATAATAAATAACTTAATAAATACTGATATGAGATATTATTAGAAATATAATAGTTTTAATAAAGTTGTCTTACAGTTACAATGCTTTAAATCCACACATTCATGTTTTTTTTATACAACTTAGAATGGCAAACAAACTGATGGCCCACCTTATGGAAAGTGGTAATCATCGCCTATAGATATGAGCAGTACCATGGACATAACAGAGTATACTGTTTCTCCCATGATACCCCCATACGTTGCCATTCCTGAGGACTCAGGTGTTATTCCTCTGTACCCTGTAAATTCACGCCATAACCCACCTTCAAACCGAAACACAGCCATGCAAATACAACTGCTTCACGGTAGAAACACGAATGGCACAGAGGTACCTAAGAAAACTAAGAAAGACAGAGCAAATTCGAGCCGTCCATTAAGTGCTAAGATAGTGGGATAATCTTACTAATGTACTTTATGGCGAAATATAAAGGAGACTTCTGTTCAACAGTGGTCGATGGATGGGTTGTAATAATGATGAATCTTAGATAAATAAGTTGGCAGCCCCTTACTCACAACATTAGATATTGTAACTCTTGTCTACATTGCACTAGATTGTTCACTTCATGACTCCGTCAATTATAAACCGATTTGGAAAATTCTTTTTTATCTGAAAAGCATTGGTTCGTTGTACAGATTGGTTCTATAGAAATATTATCAAAATCCGTGTAGTAGTTTAGTCTTTAAATCAAAATAACTGGTTTTGCCACAATTGATGTCGGATTTTTTATAGAACCACACAAACTCAAATTATGAACCCTGCAAATTAATCTCTACAACGCATGATCGTTGTGGAGCAATATGTGATTTCTCTTCACAAAAAAAAATTATAATCGTTTAATGATATTGTTGTTTTAATTATTATTATCAATTTTACTGTAAATATATATACTATATATTTATAGTAATGATATTTATTGACATTTATAGTATAACAAATACTAAATACAATCAAAGTAAATTTGTAAAGAAAGAACATTCCGAGTTATAAAACCAATTACCTAATTATGTTTTAATTTAATTATAATTACATTACAAACAAAATTTATTTAAAAAACGTTAATTTTATAAAACTGATGAAGTTCCTTCCAATTAAAATTCAGTTTCACTTTAGACGATTGTCTATAATTAAAAAAAAAAAGTAATTCAATTGAGTTTCTTGCCAGTTCTTCTCAATTGGATCTATATACCGAACTGGACGGTAAGGAAAAAAATAAAATTATAATGTAAAAATTTGACGTTCATAAGCGGCTAAAATGTCCTACATGAATAAATGATTTTTGAATTTGAATTTGAATTTAGAGGTAGTTACACTAAAATTAATTATATATAACTTAAATATGTATAACTATGGAATGTCTATAAGAAATGTCTATCTTCGATATAACCAGCCAAATATTTTTAGGAAATTCTCATTCATTCATCGAGTAATAATTTCCAAATATATAATAATATAATAAAACGGACGAGAAAGGAAGATTATTGAGAAGCGACCTCGTACAAGCAAATGTAGTTTAGGATAATCCCCCACTAGAAGGAGCGACGATCTCAAATGCTTTGCAGGGAGTCAATGGATCCAGATGACTCGGGACCGGTTCATATGGCAATCTATGGGGAAGGCCTATGTTCAACAGTGACCAGTTATTATGATAATAATGATGATAGTGATAGAGTTCAAATTTTAATTATTTTCTTATTTAAAAAGTATCATAACAAAAGCCCTTTATGCATTATTCTTAGGAGAAGTAAGACATTATTTCTATGTATCCTGCAATTTCACTGTAATGTCCTTTCAAATCAAACCACAGGTATACAAGTATTATTCTATTATTTTCGATCAATTGCTTTATATAAGATAGCTTAGCTTACATACTATAAAAATCACACTTTCTTATTTGTATTATCTTACCTATCATGGAAATCATTATAATGTATTATATCCAGCCGATATAAATCTGGTAACACTGCACCACTTACATTATTAAATTGCACATAAAAACACAACAAAATAGAAACATATACTTTCATTGTAAATACTAAAATATTATATAGATAATTATAATAAAAACCTCGTTAGAACCAAACCATTAATAATAAATTTATTTAAACGAATTAATAATAAAAGAAACGTCAATGCAAGATGGTCAGTCCATGTTGAAATTTAAAGTAACACTAAATTACATTCGAGTTCGACATCTAATATCTGTGAGGTCTAAAGAGTAATATCTACAATTTGAAACGTAACTCGCACGATACGATAAATTCAAAGTTTTATTCCTTATGTCTATAATGATAAGGTTGTAAATAAATTAAACTAGAGTATATAAATTACATATGTTAATTTGCAATTGTTGCGTTTACGCACAGTTAAATCATTATAATACCGCAATAAACAAATTAATTGCAGATTATAGTAATCGGGTATTATAATTATAATAATAGCCTATACCTTATTTAACTGTATGTACACAACAAAAATATTAATTTTCACATAAATATATTATTCTTGTCTCGAAAAATTATAACATTATTAAATTTCATTAACTAGATGAAAAGATTTTTGTAAAGTACCTACTAGCTACTACTAGTACCAATTAATATATAAAGTACGAGGTTTGTCCGGAAAGTACGTATAAAAGTTTTTTAAAAATTTTATTTTACAATTATTCAGGTAAATCAATTTTATCCCCTTCAAAGTACTCCCCCTGTGACATAATGCACTTGTGCCAACGCCGTTTCCACTGTGAGAAGGCTCCTTGAAAGTCCTCTGGTTGTAGGTTTCTCAGCTGCCCCGTCGTAGCTTTTTTTTCTCATTTATGTCCCCCAAATGCCGCCCCCGAAGTACCAATTTGGTTTTTGGGAACAAGAAGAAGTCACACGGGGCCAAATCCGGCGAAAAGGGGGGGTGTTCGGTCACCGTAATGGAATTTTTACTCAAAAACTCACGGACAACAAGAGAGGTGTGGGCAGGGGCATTGTCGTGGTGAAGAATCCAACGCCCCTCTCGCGCCAATTCTGGACGAACTCGTGCCACACGAGCTTTGAGGCGTCTGAGCACATCGACGTAGAATTTTCCATCAACTGTCTGGCCTGGAGGGACGAATTCTTGATGGACAATCCCCCGAACATCGAAAAAAACAATCAACATTGTCTTGACATTTGAGCGGGATTTTCTTGATTTTTTTGTTCGTGGTTCCCCGGATGTCTTCCACTCTTTGCTTTCACGGCCATTCTTGCCGAGTTTCGAGAGAAACTTGATTACGACGCGCTGCTCTTCAACGGAAGCGGGCTCCATGCCGACGGGGTTTCGTTAAGAGGTAACTTCACAGATGGCGTGACAAGCCAGTTCGCACCGCACGGCGGTCAGACCAGAACTGAAGCATTGTTAGGGACATAAGGAAGGGGTCCTGCGCTTACCTGGCCTCCCCACTCCTCTTTCTCGCATTCCAGAACACTTTTATACGAACTTTCCGGACAGACCTCGTATCATATTTGTTAATCTATGACAAAGTTATCTATGTTTATATCAAAATGAATTCAGCAGTTTAAGCGTGACAGAGCAACATACCTTTATTCATCTTTACAAATTTTACAATTTATAATAATAGCTATATTCCACAGCTTCTTCCGTGATAATAAGAATAAAAAGTATTGCATATGGTAATTTAGAGTCTAGTCAAATCTATTCTCAAAATTGCAATATCTAAACTTTTTTTTACGATATTTAATATCTTAACAAAATTTTACATTTTTAACATTAATAAAGGAATCAAAGTTTATAAAACCAGAAATATGTGTTCTCTCCCCTATTGAGAACTTCTGTGTGGTAATATATTTCAATGACAGATTTGTATTTTTATGAACATAAAAAATTAGTTTATTCAGGATTTTTATGTAAATGTTGCTTAAGATTTGCATATAACTATTTACTTAATACTTTTTACGTAAATTACAATAATGACAATGAAATTAAACAATCTAATAAAAAGGACAAATTACATGAAAAAATACAACTAGACATTGGGTGTTAGGAAACTAATTAGAAACCCGATTATTTTTGTTGCAAATGTTAACTTTAGGCACGTTCTTATAAATAAGTTTCAACCTTGGATGTAAACGAAAGGCTCGTGGGTATTGTTGTTGTGAGACCGACCCAAATAGTGTAAACGTAAATAGCTCAACAAAGAACTTTATTAATAGAAAATGTATTTATTTTATCTACAAATTGATTGAGTTTTCAAATGTTTCCAAATAGTCTATGGTCATTCAATTTTTATCCACCGAACTATGTCAAGTGCAAAATGTTTATGTATGTAAGTCCAATAATGATTATCCATCCATCCTAATAATAACTATCCTGGCCATAAATCTAAATTTTATATTTATTTTTTTTATACCACTGAGGTGGCAAACAAGCATACGGCCCACCTGATGGTAAGTGGTTACCGTAGCCTATGAAAACCTGCAATACCAGAGGCATTACGCGTGCGTTGCCGACCCTGAAGAAACCTCTTTACCCCCCTTTCGAAGAACCCCATGCTGTAGTCTCTTAGGAAAACCTCGGGAGGGAGTTCATTCCACAACCTCAATGTTCGTGGTAGGAAACATCTCTGAAACCGCGCAGTACGCCACAATTGAGAATATAATTATCTAAATAACTATAAAGACAATAAAGAAAGATTTGTAATTTATGATGAATAAACTCGAAAAATACTTATTATATTTATTATAGCTGTCGTTGACTGTCCACTGCACATAAGTCTTCCCTATAAGAGAAGTTTTGTTAGTAGTTGCCACACTTGGCCGCAGTCAGGTCTTTGGTGATGTTTTAAGAGAGACATTGCTGCCCATAAGTTCCCTTAGAATACTTACCCGATTTTAATACTTTCATCTACAGAAAGCTGCATTATCTTAATAGTTGATACGGAATACATTTAATTTAATCTAATAAAACCGTGTGAAGCCGGAACTTATCGCTAGTATTTGATTACTCGAGTTAAAAAATTATACGAGTATGACCTGCACAGACGATGGACATTCTCTTTATGTTTGCCTCATCTGCTCAGTTTTAAGTTAGACGACACAATCGTCAGCGCAAATTTTATTCCGGCCGTAATAAAAACACTAAAATTGCATGCGACCATTGTGTTTGTTCTCAACATGCAATTTTAGTTTTGTAAAGTTTATTTCGTATTATGAAGTTACATATCTTACACAGATGAAAATTTTTACCGGTTATAAATCGTCCGTCGTCTACAGAGATCATTTTACTAACATCAGATCTTACTAACTACTGTTGTAAATGCGGCAGTTTGTGAGGATAGATGTACAAATGGATATTTGTTATTCTTTTAAGCAACTAGTGGACAAATTTGAAAGAAATTTAGTATACTTATGGGTTAATCTAATTATATTTAAATATACAAATACTAGTGTAAATATACAAATAATAATGAAGCCAAGTGATATAACTAATATTTTAAATGTATAAGTGAGTTTGTTTATTTGTTACCTCTTGGTGCTTTAAAGGCTCAATCAACGTCAAACATTCTGCCATACACGTAATATTTGAGATGGACCAATATATATCGGTCACACGGACGAAATCTTGGGTAGAAACTAGTTTTCCATATATTGCTTTGATTAGCACTCATATCTTCTTATCATTCCAACAAGTTAATTTCAATGAAATTGTATTATTATAATAAAATCTCTTTAGAGAAAATATTCTATATTTTATTATTAAGTACAATATATAGATAAAATATTCCAATAATCTATTACAGTACAGGCATTTACAAAGACAATAAATTTTAAAATGCGTAATTAATAATCGATATATGTATAATATAACACTAAAACCTTCACGAAAAAACTAACAACAGACCTACAATTTTTCCGATGTTGTGGGTGCCTATGAGTGACGATAATCACTTACCATCAGATGAGCTGCATGCTCGTTTGCTCCTATGTTGTACATTTTAAAAAGATTAAATTCCATAAAAAAAAAACTTTAATTATGATAAAATCAGTTACTTTGGTTTAAAACTAAACTACTGAAACGTTTTTGAAAAAAATTCTATGGGACCAATCCACAATCAAAAAGTATATTCTTTCGGACAAAAAAAGAATTTTCCAAATTGGTTTACAACTGATAGAACTGAGGTCGTAAATAAAAAAAAAACAAATAACTAAATTGAGCCTCCTTGTTTTTTTAAGTCGGCTTATAAAATACAAATTACAAATAGAAAACGGGATAAAAATTTACACTGCCTATTAAAAGAGATAATTGATTTAATATTATCAATTATATACAGTATAAACTAACTCGCTGTTGTTACAATGTTTTTGGTTTAGTTGATTATTTTATATTAACTGTATTACCTTATTTTCATTACTATAAAATGTAATACTATCATCTCAGTAACAAGCTCCAAGTTGAAATTGCTATAATAATAAATTTTCAAGATTATTACTTTAGTAATAATCTTAAACTAATATTTATTCTAAGTAAAAACTTCTTAAATTTTAATAAGTACCCATATTTTTGTATAAACACGTACTAAAACTTTTACATATAGTAAAAACTGATTTTTAATTCCACTCCCTCAATTTCTCTTATACTCATATACGATACACCGCTAAAAGCTTTATTACACGTAACTCCATTACCCAGCTCTTTGTTGAGGCTCGAAAGAAAAGTGGTTTATGGGTGCGCCATTTCTATTTTAAATACGTTTCGAAAGACAACTCTGAATAAAATTACTTTTCTCATTTCACTCGTGAGTACAACTAAAGTATAAACAAACAGATAAAAGAATTTGCAAAAAGAATACATAAATAAATGTCGTGGATATTTATTGTTATAAAATAAGTACACATAATACTATGTACTACGCCGCCGTGTGGTCCCGGCATAGAATAGGCCACCCCTTTCTTTCCCGTGGGTGTCGTAGGAGTCAACTAAGGGATGGGCAGCAGCGTCCCTCTTAAAACATCTGTAAAAGCCTAACTGTGGTGCCAACCCGCCTGCCAAGCGTAGCAACTACTGGCAAAACTCCCCTTATGAGGAAGGCTTATGTCCAGCAGTGGATACTTAATGGCTGAAATAATAATAATAAATAATAATACTATGTACAGCTTATAGCTTATATTTTTAACGTCTAGTCAAATTCTTAATAAAGTTAAGTTTTTTAAGAAGGTTTTCATAAACAAATGAAATAAATACAACTTAAAATTGATAGCAAAAGAATTCCAAGTTTAACATGATTGCGTAAAATTTTACACAACTCAAATATGAAGTTAATTATCGGTTTTATTACTATAAATCGGTTTAAAACGATAAGTTTCAAATTGTTCTCAGAGCAAAGTCTATGGAGCCTAGTCTTGTATAGTGTTTACAAACATAAATGTTTAAGCATGAATATTCTAGTTAATCATTAAAGCGCTTACAGAGTTTCTAAACTACTTATATATGACAGGAAATTACATATATTAAGAATACTATTTACGGAAAGGTAGCTTATATATTTATTAAAGTATAAATAATATAATGTGTAATCGATATAAAAGTCTTTTTTTTAATAATATGAATCTACTATATCACGTGCATACGCATAGTCGTGTCCCGGCATAGAATAGGCCGCCCCTTCCTTTCCCGTGAAGGTCGTAAGTGGCAACTGAGGGAGTTTATTGTGGAGGGATGGGCAGCAGCGTCCAAAACATTACCAAAAGCCAAACTGCGGTTGCCAACCCACCTGTCAAGCATGGCAAATACTGGCAAAACCCCTCTTATGGCGGAGGCTATGTTTAGCAACGGCTGATACAACAACTTCATACGCATGTTTTATGGAAAGCTGTTTTGTCGCGTAAGGAGAAAAGCTAATGAAATAGAAATAGAATAATATTTTTTATAAATTTTGTCTGTTTGTATCTTTGTTTCACCACCACCCAATAACTACTGTACCAAATTAAATAAGGTTTTTACAGATGTATTCCTGTCCTGTGTGCAAGGGTCTAACTTAACATGTAGTGCATGTTTTATCTTGTTACGCCGTTTAGAAGTGTACGATTAATTTGTTTCCCTTCTTCTGAAATCCATGCCTACGAAGTGACAGGCAAAAAGCTAGTCACAAAAAAAAACAACGGCCTTGCATACTTGGACATTTGCATACATCACAGAAATAGTGAAGGTGCCAAATATTGCGCCCTGAATCTTCGTTCTCATCAGGCTTTACCACTTCGCCCCATTTACCTGATGACACTTTTGTTGTTGCATGAATAAGCATACGTACGAGCATTTTGGGCTTCTGCTTTAAGAAATTGCTATTTTCGGGCTGCATACTTTCAAATACTTTTTTTTTTCTAAACATTTTATTGTGTTTTATAAGACTTTAAATAGAATTGCTTACAACACTGTTTACTAGCTTTTTGCCCGCTACTTTGTCCGCGTCCGCGATGACATATGAAGATAAAATATATACCAGATTTTATATTAATCCCTCAGGAATACAACTGCGAAAAAACTATATCCAATTTAGAGCACTAGTTCTTACACGATGCTGGAACATACATACAGACAGATAGACAAACAAAAATTCTATTTTTTTTATTTTTTTGTTAAGAAAGTAAATGTACACAGTCCATCCATCTGATCAAAAGCAGTTACCATCGCTTATAAATACTTCTAACACAAAGGAATTTACTTGTGTGTTGCCGCCCTTTTAAATGTCTGTAGATACTATTTGTACTTCTGTTAGTTTTATTAAGACGACTCGTATATTTTTTTCTTAATTATCACCTATATATATATATATATATATATATATATATATATATATATATATATATATATATATATATATATAAATATATTGTCTAAATTTTATTTTATTACTAAGATTATATATAATTAAGAAATAATTTTATCCATCCACACTAACCTATTATATATCTAATGGTATGTTCAAGTCTCTATAACACAAGGATATACGTGTAGACGGTTTCGTATAGATAGTACATTGATTTTTCCTTCTCTTAAACTAAATTTTGTGTCCATAGTCACCCCTAATGGATCCCGGGCGACGAAAATGAGTGATGGTACCATCTAATCTATTTGTATTCTAATTCCATCATCACACAGAACAGCGAAGTAATTTAATACTAACGAATTGTTGCATCAAATAAAAAACGATTTAAAAACTATGTAATTTAAACTTGATTTCAATTCGATTACCTCCAAAATTACTCCGTAGTAATGTAGTAAGAATACAATATATAACATAAATATATAGGGGGGAAAGGGACTGTTAGAAATGGAGACTAAGAATCAGGTCGACCTCCTCGCGGTTCCCCCTGTAAACTATCATGGTTAATTCCTGATGAATTCATCATGATGGGCTAACTGGCCTGTTTTCATTCTCATCTATCACCCTTCACTGGTGCTCTGCCAGCGTATCCCGTTAGCACAGGCGGGGCTGCCATTTCATTTTCACCCATCAAAAAAAAAACATAAATATGTAACAATACATCATCACAACCAAAATAAAATTAGATCTATTACTAATATTTTCGTAAATTATTGATAGTGCGAAAGAACTGTTATTCCATAAATATCTCTGACTGCAATTAATAGACACATAAACTTAACAAGACTAGAGCAAAGTAACAGAATAAGAGAATCGCCTGTATTTAATGGCATACTCAAACCCTTTCTTTCCAGACATTAGCTGCAAACTGCAGACCACTGGTTATTCAATTATGTAGGTTTGAGCAAATGAACGAATGAAATCGAATGAAGGAAGGACAAATTGAAATGTAGAAATTGAATGGTTTTGAAAAGTGATAAATGTAGGATATTATTATTTATTTATTTTATTGTAAATTTTCACATTTGCCAAATTCATTACGGGGTAACGAATTTAACAAAAAATATATAATTAGTCTTTTGCGGATATCCTCGTTTCGGATTCTATCACGCAAAGAGACTCCGAGCATAGCCCTCTCCATAGCCCGCTAAATAATTTGATGCTTTTGCATACGGGCAATCGTGTTGGACCATGTTTCGGTTTATTTACCATTCTTTATGACAGTCTATGGAGGAGACTTATGTCCAGCAGTGGACGGATAACGGCTGAAATGATGATGATATAATTAGTTAATTTTCTGTTTTACAAAGGCTCTACCCAGCCCTTGATATGGAAAGTCTATATTAAAAATAGTATCTAATATATAAAATTCTCGTGTCGCGGTATTTGTTACCAAACTCCTTCGAAACGGCTTTACCGATTTTTATGAAATTTTGTGTGCATATCGGGTAGGTCTGAGAATCGGCCAACATCTATTTTTCGTACCCCTCAATGATAAGGGTGACCCACCCTTAAATTTTTTTTTTTTTTTTTTTTTTATTTATTTTATTATGATTTAGCATTGGAAAATACATACAAATTAATTTTTTTACGCTTTTACGATTAACCCCTGTTGTTTAATTGCAATTTTTATATGCCGCAATAGTGTTGCAAGATGACATTCGAATATAATAATTGTAGTACGATATATTTTCATGTAGTTTTAGAAATAATGTATATGGTAAAACAACGTTTACCGAGTCAGCTAGTTTTCCTAAAAACATCGGTCTAAAATAATCTTTTAAATACAAAATGTATTTATAGATGCTTAATACAATGTATAATGAGCGCAATTGATGCTGTTCTAATGGTGGAAGGCAAATTCACCATAATAATTTCAAGCAGAGGAAGACTTTATACAAAAGTCGTTTGCTTGGATACCTCTGTCCCATTCGTGTTTCAACCGTGAAGCAGTTGTGTTTGCATGGCTGTGTTTCGGTTTCAAGGGTGGAATATGGCATGAATTTACAGAGTACAGAGGAATAACACCTGAGTCCTCAGGAATGGCAACGCATGGGGGGTATCATGGGCGAAACAGTATACCCTGTTATGTCCATGATACTGCTCATGTCTATAGGCGACAGTTGCCATCTTCCATCAGGTGGGCCGTCAGGTGTTTGCCATTATAAGTTGTATAAAAAAAAGACATTAGTCCACTATTGAAAATTTCTCGATAGGAATAAGGAACGATTTTGAAGGTTTAAATATAGGCTCCATGTAAAAGGTTGCTGTTTCATCAAGTCTACAATAAATATTATATATTTTTCATAAAACTCAAACAATATAGATCGTAGTGGTTAAACACTTGATATTGACCTAACCTAGAATCGAACTTAGGACTACAGTGGACTCGTAATGTTATGTTAATATTGTGATTTGACTGAATGAAAAGTCATTTTAGGTATTATATTCATTTTAATCAAACATTTTTTAACACACAAATATATCTATATATTTTATTTTATTTAATACACATAAAGAATTAGATAATTAAAAATGTTAATATTGTATTTAATTATTATAACAAACTAACAAAAAAAAAACTATTTACGATTACACTCTAAAATAAAATTATAAACATGAATGATGAAACTAAAACACTCAATGGATATGGGCAAATATTTTGTTTTATACCACAAAGGTTAAATTATTAAATTTTTTTAGTTACATTAGTTATATTATTAAAAAATACAGATAATCCAGCTATCTCTAGTATTTTTTACGTTATCCATCATTGCAATCCTGTTTCTTCGCAGTTGTGTAAAAATAGAATGCAAATTATTCAGGCCCTTTGTACCCTTTCTGGAGCTCTAAGTAACTTTATTTAAATTTATAAACCACAGTGTAAGGAACAACCAGTAGTCCAACGACATTTTACAGATGTCGAGTGATTACATGATGATTAGGAACGCTCTGTGTAAACGTGTCCGTTGAACTTTAGGAGAAAAATTCTTCCTCAATTGTTGATTCCTTATAATGATCAAATAAACCTACTTTCAATTAAATAAACACATATACTTATTACAATACAATTATTACAATTAATTCTTTGGGACATTACAACAACATAAAAGTAATTTATAGAATTATAGAAAGCATATCGACCTTACAATATAATGCAATATATAATTATTTAGTAATGAATTTATTAAGTGCATATTCCAAGTATAGTCCAAGTATAATTTTTTTGTGTTAATATTTAAGCAGTTTTATTTTATTATTTTTTTAGTATTAAACTGAGAATTATTAATATTGAAAAAATGGGCTTAGTCAGACAGAAAGACTTGTAACACTGCGACCTCTGTGATCATTTGTACTCGCCCTTTTTCAAAGTTCGCTGCTAATTCCTGTCAGTGATAGGAATTTTAAGGTGTTCTGAGAAAGGATGTTGTTTTATCTCCTCAGGTAGTGTATTTCAAAGGAGATATATCGTTTATACATGACTGGACTGTAGTCATAATATATATGCTATAGTGACTGAGAATTACTATAGCATTGTAGTAAAAATTCTCTTATTTAATTATTACAAATTAACAAATCTAAAGTTACAAATACATCTGGAAGTAATAATGATATTATAAATATATATTTTAACTTCTGAGATATTAGTTCTTTCTCTTAAGAATTACATTAACTGCGTATAATATATGAAAATATCAATAAATATTTTGAAAAACAGATGTTAATCTTATCAAAATAAGTTATTAAAAAGGCATTGAACCTTGATACTTAGTTCACTTACTATTTAATCTATCATCTATCTAGCTTGATGATAGGTATAAATATTAGTGTTTAAACTTATTTCAATAAAACTGACGATAAAATTTTTCTCGTTACTTTTTATCAGATTAAATATCATTATATTATATAATAAATATCTTAGTTCTTTTTTGTTTGGCATAATAGCATTGTTATATGTTAAAACTTAAGCAAAATTAGGTAGAAAAATTAAGTGGATACATTTGTTAATCTATTTTGAAATGTACAAGTTAGAAAAGTAACAGAATAGTAACACTTTACAGATCTATTTTTTTTTAAGCCACCTACCTATTTATGCTTTAATTCTTTCTACCCAAAGGTTGTCTGGAAGAGATTGCTTAACAATAAGACCGCGTTTTCTACTACACTATACGTATTGAAAATTGTTCAACAAATCCTGTTATGTTGGTGCAATAAAGTGTTAAATAAATAAATAATAATAGTAATATTTTTTTTTTTTTTGCTATGATTATGGATATCAAACTTTATATCTTATAAATTAAAAATACTTTACATAATCTACTTCGGGCAAGCGTGCAAATATTAAAAACAAAAGTTACCTCCCGACTACTCCACCCGACGGGATTCGAACCTACATCTCTCTGTTATCCGGATCGACAATGTTCCCAATTAACGAAAGGAATACTGTCAGTTGGTTGTTTTCTTCTCTTCTCAGTTGACAAGGACGAAATACTTGCGTAACAACTTTGAATATTATTTCGAACAAAATACTTCTTAATTTAAGCAATATGGGAACGATAGTTAAATGATATAAAAAGTAAAATGGGACTATATGTTTTATGAAAATGAGCTCTATATAAGTATATATAGATAAATAATTGCGATGCGTATAGGGATTCAATCGTGGTTGCAATATGTGAATAAGATGCGTTATTTATTGTAATATTTGAATTCTTCCATCAGTACTGATGTTGATTGGAGATTTCCCCTTGATGTAATTTTCCACGATCACCTGGTCACGACCTATTACTTGTACATTGCTTCTGCCTTCACTGAACATCTGTAAACAATAATTAGTGTCATTTAATCGGCATAGAATGGACCACCCATACCTCTCTCGTGGGTGCCAACAGAGGTGACACCCGCGAGGTAACTGTCAACTGCTGAACACAAGCCTTTCCCATGAGAAGGTTTGCCAGTAGTAGCCATGCTTAGTAAGTGGATTGACAACCGCAGTTAGGCTTTGGAGATGTTTTAAGAGAGGCGCTGCTGCTCATCCCACGCCTTTCCTTAGTCACCTCTCACGACACCCACAGGAAAGAAAGGGGTGGCCTATTCTATACCGGGATCACACAGGAAAACTTAAAATAAAATTACTTTAAATACTGATGCATAAGTATAAAATTGCGTGAAATAGGTATGATAAATGAATAAATAATTACCGTAAAACCATCGCCCCCGTCACCTAAATACGAAGGCGTGACCACTTGGTAAGTCTGCTCAGGGTCTAAATCAGTACCATTTTTATCTCCAACCACTACTGATACTATTCGTTCCCCTTCTGGTTTGGTCACGTTGTATACCACTCGTAGTCCTGATTAAATAAAATTCATTAAATACCTACTAGTAATAAAATAATAATTAGTATATTTTTTTAATATGATAATATTTATAACTCTTAACACTTGATGAAACTTTGAATTTATATTTCTCATTCTAAACTAGAAAAGTAAACAAAATCTAAAAAAAGTTGAGATTATTAAACAAAACACGTGTACTTTTTCACAATTTGTTACGATAAATACCTAAACATTTTTGTCTTTAACTTGTATTTATACAAGTGTATATATATCTCTTACCAGCTACTTGTAACACCCAAGGTCCCTTGAATGGGTCATATGCCCATGCATCTCTAACACTCCTCTCCAATGCTTCTCGTACGTATTTGCCTTTAAGTTCGAATGATTGCACTTTGTCGTTGAATGGTAGCAATTCAAATATTACGCCTTGTGTTATGTCTGAAATGAATATCACACAATCACACCAATTCTATGGTGCTAAATACTGTTCCTATAAACAAGTTGTAAATAAATCTAATGACAGCTATGTTTTCGTTGCCACGCCTTAAAAAAGACACCGGACGTTGCTATCTTATTTAAATAGCAGTGCAAACATCAGCTTCACTTGGCACTTATCTTAAAACTGTTATGAAAACAGAGGAAGACTTTATACCAAAGTCATCTGCATACATAGCATTGTCCCTCGTGTCTTGTGTTTCTGATATGAAGCAGTTGTGCTTACATAACTGTGTTTCTGTTTAAAGGGTGAGATATGACAGTGAAATTACTGGGTTCGGAGATATCACACTATAGTCCAGAGGAATAATATCATCATCCTCAGCAACACAATGCGATTCCATAGACAACACTGAGTATTCTATGATCTCCATGGTTTTATAGGTAACAATTATCGCTTTCCATCAGTTGGGTCTTTAGCTTGTTTGCCAGTCTAAGTATCATTAAAAAAAGAACATTTCGATTGAAATAGATTTAAAAAAACTACCGCGAAACTCGAAATACAGTGACTGTTAAACCTAGATTTAAAATTGTTTTCATTAATTCAATAAATTGTAACTTATACTTTACAAGAACCGTCAATAGTTTCTGGAAATTTGGAAACTGCTAGATAATAGGTTCAGTGTGACAAAGCTAAAATGAATCCAGTAATATAAATCTGAATTACTACTTACTTCCTTCTGGTATCGGAGCTCTAATGTTACCACGTTGCATGAACGACAGAAAGCTATAATTGGAATTCACATTATTTTTTCCCTGTAAGAGAAAAAAATGCTGTACCATTTTTTTAAAAATGTACCATTTTATAATTCCTTATCAGAATCATTGTTATGCCAATAATGTCAAAAAACAACTCAGAATACTCAAAATCGTTCGTTTCTGAATTAATCGGACCGACATTCAAACCAAGATTTTAACTAAACAAATTGTATTTATTCTAAAGAAATTTCCAGTTTACAAAATTAGGATTTAGGAGTCTTTACAAAAACATGACATGATGAAAATTTATAATTTAGTTATTTAGACCCTAGTAATGTACCCACTTTTATTTTATTTATTTATTCTTTATAATCAATAAAAAAACATTACAAAAAAATGTCTGGTACAAAAGGCAGACTTACAACTTAATATACATTATGCCACATAATCATTATAGATCCAGTTAATTGAGATCTTATCGATTTCTGCTTCATAAATAAGTACCTCGTTCTTATTTATGAAAATGAAGTATTTTCTATTTTCAGTATTTTCAAGTGTTTCCTCAAAGCAAAAGAAGGTGCTTTCTCATTAGAAGACCTCATCTTTTTTACGCAAACCATTGCAATAACATTACTAGATACGTAATTATCGATAAATACTTCATGTATAGGCGGTGATTATATTATATTATATATTATTTTATCAGATAGGTCATCAGCTTGTTTCATGTTTAGTTGTATAAAATAAAGATGTCAGTGAAAAGGGAGGGTAACAAGACAGAAATAACTTACATATTCATTAAATGCATCCATCAACAGATCTCCCAAAGCACATTCTCCGAAAACACAATCCTGGTCACTCAGAGTAGTTCGTGTTTCGCCAACAGGAACATTCTCAGCTTCATGCACCAATTTAGCATAAGGTGCCAATTTGGCTTTAATATCTTCGTCTGCAATAAATATAATCATATAGGTAGAGTTACACTAATACAAATCTCATTCTTACTTTTCAGCTTTCGATTTTTGATCCCATTACCAAAAGTTTGCATTTTCGCGGTTCGCTCTGGAAACCATCGTGGTCAATTTGGCTATTTACACATGTCCTTATCAATGTTTCTTCACGGATGTTTTTAGATTCAATCACTACGAAGAGTTAAATGACTTACTTTCATCCTTTACATCTTTACTTATCATCAAATGATAAATAAGGATGAAAGTAAGTCATTGTCAAGTGAGTTTTACTGATACCCTGTTAGCGGATATCAATAAGCGGAGTTATCATTCCATTAGTATCCATTAAGAAATACGTTAAGAGCGAGAAGGAGAGACAACACGTGCTATTCTTACCACAAAGAGTTTTCTAAGAATATTTTATGAACCATTCCAGAATATTTTTTCGTCTTAACTTATAGGTACCTCTTGACTATTCTACTCTTATTTTGTGAAAGTATGCTTGTTTGTTTTAGCATAAAAGTAAATAATTTGAAAGTATTTCCCGTAAGATATGTAAGCAGATGAATACATTTTAAACTGCGTTTATAATTTTAGTGCATAACAAGAATAATCATTATATAAAAGGTTATCTGGATAATTAATTATGAGACATGAGACATTAAGGCCATTCATAAAGATTATATCACAAACATGGTATTGTATTACTCCTAAATACAGCTCTTATCATAATTTGAGGGATTCATTGGAATCCTATTTAAAAACATTCGGTTTTTAGAAATAAAATTAATAGTTGGATCCATGATCTAAATCATCATTCAAAAAATATGTAACAAATATAAATAAAATTCAAATAAGTTGTCAAATTTGCCTTAGCTACTAAAGATTGATTTATTGAATTTTAAGATCTTCTGATATTAATAATGACCATATTTCACGACTTTATGGTTCTTATATAATTACGTGTATATTATATTCATATAGCTATTCAAAAGTAAATGTGAAAATAACACTACCTAATAAAAACAATCCTATTAATATTATAAATATGAAAGTTTTCAAGAATAGATGGATAGCCGGATGGAGAAAGGTTTGTTGCTCTAAAGCTACCGAATGGATTTGAATGTAATTTGGTACACGGATATATTATATCACACTTTATTAGTTTATTTACTAATTCATGCAGGTGAAGCCGCACGATACAGCAAGTTGATAATAAAATAAACAAGATATTGTGCTAAATGTTATAAAATAGTGACTACATAAAAATATGCCGGAAGGAAAGTAATAAAATATAAGAAAAAGCGGCAATCTACATTGATTAAACCAAGGGTCAGATAAAAAAAAAGGTAAAACTCATATCATATAATGAAGATAAGAGTATGGCATGAAAGATACATGATTTAATTGCACCGACGAATGAAAACTGTTTAAATATAAGGAAAAACCAATTTAATATTATTTCCTTAATTTTTAATGTTATACAAAGCTTACAAAAACTAGGAAGAATAAAAACAAATATTATACCTTCAGCTATAGATCTGTTGAGGAAAATAGGACCGCCTTGCCATTTCACAAGCTCGCCACGGTAATCGAAAGATAGCGTCAAATTTCCCATGTATTTAGTAAATGCAGAAGCTTGCACGATCATCACCTGCAAATTGTAGATTTTCTTTTTGGAGGTGCTGTTTAATAAAATTGGGTACCTACGTCGAAATTGCCTAATAAAATTAGGTACCTACGTCGAAATTGCTTAATAAAATTAGATACCTACGTCGGAATTGCTTTTTATACCTAACACATTTGTACCAAACAAGCAAGTATTCTCTCAAATTTAGTTTACTAATAGTGTTTTCTGTCACGGAATATTTAGTCACAAATTTAAATAACATTTTTGGAGAGCAGACTCGAACATATAACCTTTATTTCTAAATCTAATCGCTATATTTTCTTTATTTTTTAATTAACCCTACCTTATTACTGAACTGTATTTTTATTTGAATAAGAATTTTTGATAATGTATCGTATTTGTCACAGATATCTTTAATAAAATATATTTAACATAAACCAAATCATACAATATTCTATTATATGTCATTATCATCATTTTTCTCATTAACATCGTTAACTGTTGAACATAAACCTCGTCCTTGAGGGATATTACCAATAGTTGTCATGCTTGGCAGGTGGGTTGGCAATCGCAGTTAGGTTTTGGTAGTATTTTAAGAGAGATGCTGCTTCCCATCTTTCGTCCATTACATTTCCTTAGTTGCCTCTTACGACACCCACGAGAAAATAAGGAGTGCTAAGAACTATTCCATACCGGGACCACATGGTTTATCTACATATTACATATATAAATATAGGATAAATCGTTTCTTAATATAGAACTATCACTACAGGAGTCTGATAGTACAGGAGATAAGCAAGAATAAATAGATGACCTTGTGCTCTGCTATAAAAAAAATATTCCAAGATAACCGTCCATTAAAAAGAACATGTTTTAGATATTTTAGAGGTAAATCCTTTTTTTATGCAAATTAGAATTGCAATCAAGCTGAGGGCCCACTTATTCAATAGTGGTAACCGTCGCCTATAGACATGAGTAGTACCATGGGCATAACAGAGTATACTGTTATTACTGCTGGTGATGAAGTCACCCTCTGGTAAACTTTGAAAATAATATAAATAAATAAATACTCTGTACTATAATATTTAATAATTACGACTATAATCAGTAATGGGATAATTACAAAGTAAAAAAAATTGCCGACTGTACAATTGCAATGAAGACATATTGAGAGATTTCACGCCTACATTTCGCCAAGCATATTAAAACTCGTCATAACGAACCACTATTAAAATATTATGAATGTTGTTTTTGTTATTCTTCAATTTTTTTCGATATAAATCTTATAGGAATCTAATTTAAATTTAACTGAAGTATATTAATATTATTTTTAAAACTAATGTTCATTTTTATTGTTGCCGTACAGCTTCTGAAGAAAACTTTAGGATTAAGTCGAAACAATTGTCGGAAACAAACACGGTGAGATTGTTAATTTCCTGATATACGAGTAGGTATATGTATACAGACATCGAAGTCAATTAGGTTATATTTAACCTCAATCAGGTTAAAAAATGGCACTAAGTACATCTGTATACAGTAGAAATGTACATTCAGCAGTAGCAATCAAATATTAGTAATATTAATCAACTAAAAAAGACAAAGGTTATGGTGGAGGACGGGCAACAACGTCCCTCTTAAAACGTCACCAAAAACCAACCCACTTGCCAAACGTGGCAACTATTGCCAAATACCTCCCCCCCCCCCTCTTCCACCTTCTAAGGGAGGCTATGTTCACCAGTGAACAGTTAACGCCTAATACAACAATAAAAGGAAATATTTCAAAAAATATAAATTTAATAATTTAGTCCTATACCATAATTAGGGCTTACCTGTTTTCCATCATCGGTATTCTCTATGAAGATTGGGTACGGTCCAGCTACTTCTTCCCCGCTGGGTGAAGGGCCATTCCAAAGTAGTGAATGTGTGTGCCCTCCTACTATAACATCTACATACTGCCCGTAATCGCGAGCCAGCTCTCTATAACGTATACACAATATTAAAAACTTAGTGGTTATAACAAAATTTATAGGTATTAAAGATTTGTTTTAAAAAATATTTTTTTTTTTATAAAATATGATACCCTGAGCCTTGCCCTGAGCATAATGTTATTTAAAAGCAGAATACATGAAGTTTACGTTGAAGCACACTGTGGTTGAAGTTGTTTTTCAAAGCCTTTGTTAGAGCTCTGAATACTTTTATAGTGTGATATTAAGTTTCAAGAAAAATAGTTATAATATTTAAATACCCATAGACTATTTTATCGTATTTGTTTTTATATAAAAAATGCATGCATATTTATTTACTTTCATATAGTTAGCTCGAAAAATACAAAGGCATAAACTTAATGCAGCTGCATTACCCTTTTCATATTTTTTTGTCGTTCTATTTTAAATACAGCTCAATTTACTCCTGCTAGTTGCTTAAGTTTATATATGAAATTTTTGTGAAAAAAGTATCAACAGCTTACAACAAACGGTATTTTTAACAGGATCTAATGCAAGGGGTTTGCTAACGATAATAGCTTTTTTGAGAAAAAGACAATTAGTAATGACTACTAACTTACTTGAAGTACTATGCTTAATTAATGAATGACAAGCAAAGTATTTTATGTAACTGAAATATTTACATTTCTATCCATGCATGTGTTTAGCCAAGTTCAAAGAAAAAGGAGTTGGATTATTTAAATAATTGTCTGATAAAATTTAAGAATTTGAAATACCTATTACTTATTATTAGTAGCAAACATAGTAGTAGTAAAAAGAAACAAGAAATTATTATATAAATTCATTATTTAATGTTGCATGTTCTTGTAACTTGTAAATTTTAAGATTTTCTACATAAAGTTGGTATCCATATAGAGCTCAATTCCATTTATGACGGATTGAAAACGACGCATATTTATAATATTGATATTTTAAATTTATAATTTTCATAAGATTTTTATTTTACTGTGATAATGCAGTCTGTTACATACTAATCGTATAGGTAAATACAACAAATAACAATTTAATACATCATCAAATATTTATAGATACATATTAAAAGTTCAATTATAAAAACTGGTTTCATTTAAATTTATATGAGTACATTTATTTGCAATGCATTTATTAAGACTTCATTACCTGTGCAGTGCAAATTTTAATTATTTTTATCTATATAATTAACTAAGATACACATAAATAAATTGTAAATGCAAATATGATTGCGTCATTAAAAATAAAGCAAAAAATAAATAATTAAATGTGTACATGTATATTCAAATATATAAGTTTTATTTTTTTGCTCTCAAATATAAATTAAATATCATACACCTATCTCATTCTATGTTGTAGTACATAACGCTGTTAAGAACTAAAATACACATCTACAAAGAATCTACAAATGACTTTAATGAATTGATTATAAGACAAGTGTTCCTGTTCAATTATTTAATGTGCCACTCTCGCCAAGTAAGTAATTGGTCTGTCCGGTACCTGATAAATATCACTTTAAGCACAAACAAGTTGACCGAATTGAGGACTCCTGGATAATTATTTATTTCTTCAGCATTAGCATCACATGATTATTTTAATGCTATTTAGTTCTTAACGATTATATGTTTTTTTTTTCATTTTATTATAAAAATTACTATGTATTTCGCAGCATCCAGTACTTTTACTACCATATCTCACTACTATATCACTAGAATACTGCAAAAAAAGAAAATGGATATTTGGCAGCAGAATTACTATGAGATTAAAATTAATTAGTGTTTTAATTTTAATATGACAGCAAAAAAAAAGAAATAGAAAAAATTACTTTTTTTCTTTTATCATATTTAATTGTGTGAAATTGCTAACCGATCTGTATTAATAAAACATTGTAAATATATAATTATGTAATTAATAAGACATAATATAACGATGATAATAATAAATTATGTAATCCCTTTAATGTACTGATGTTTGTATATTTATTACGTATAGTAGTAAATGAATAAATAAATAAATAGGTAAAAGAACTTAATAAAAATGTAAAAAAACGAATTAACCCAAATATAAGGCAGTCTGCTGATATTAAATAGTAATACCAATTAAAAATCGATTGTTTAAATGTTTCCATTCGTTACTAATTTCATTTAGATAGATATATATATTTGTATTAGTGATAATTTCAACAAAACTTAGTTACCTTTTTATTATATTCTATTAAAAATGACGATTTACATATAAATCCTTTTTCTAATAAATCTGGTAGCTAAATACGTATAGAATTGTTATGCTGGAACTCGGTCTAAATATTTCCTAATCTAGATTTTTTATTTATAATCAAAGTTACTAGAATAAGTAAGTATAAATGTACCTAGTTGAATGGACCAAAGTCGAGAAGTACAATGAACGAAGTAAATTCTACACGAACTCACTTGTCAACCTCGAGGCCACAGTGCGACAGGAGCACAATGATGTCGACTCCTTTATCAGTCAACGCTTTCGCCTCACGTTTCAGAGCTTCCCGCGGATCCGTGAATACTACGTTGCCCGGCGAAGATAATTTCTGTAAATAAATAATAATAAATACATTTGAACACATTACATATATCATTCCATTTCAAAACAAGCGGACTTTGTTTGCCATTCTATGTTGCATAAAACAAACCATGACATATACAACAATAGTGAAGAAAAAAAAACAAGAGCAACTGAATGTGAATTGAAATTCTCAAAAAAAATATGGTGTTATTGAATATTTCAAACGTGTAATTTACGTCATCAATATATTGCATTGTACATTACTTATTGAGAATTGTACACCTAGGTAAATGATACGAGAATAAAATGTTAATGAATAACTATTAATATCACAATTTTTATCTTCAAATATTAAATAAATGATACAAAAATACCTACAAAAAAATAACATTACGAAAAAAGTAAGTATCCTCATCATCATTATCTTCTTATTGTTATCCCAATTATATAAATTTTGGGTTTAGTTAGATGTTTTTATCCATATTACCCATGGTTTTGCTTTTTTGTTTTAAATAAGTATATTCATATTAAAGAATTAGGCAAAGAAGAAATAAAAATGAATAAGTTCAGAAGCCTCATCATAGTGTAAAGACTTTTAAAATGTAAGGTCGATATAATATAAAAGATTTCTATACAATTTTATAGACCAATATATGTTGCTGCTTTACATGAATCAAAAACCGTAGTGAGTAGCTGTTTATTATGTTCTGTTACTTTGGAAAAATGTTCCCTTATCTATTAGGGGTCAACAAAAAATGAAATAAAAAGAATTTTGAATTATAAACACGGTGTTTCTAGCTAATATCATTACTAAAACGAAGCAGGTATTCTAGTTCTATGGATACGTAGAATTCTTATAGAAAATTTTACATTTTATATTATTTTTAGACTTTAGAAAAAATAGGCACGTCATGTATATCTCTTTTTCTACCTCATATATAGATATATTGTTTTATAGCTGGTAATCATAATAGAAAGCGTTAACCTTTATCTATAGATGTATTCTACAAATAACGATTTCTATGGTATTTCTTTGGTAAAAAAAAAATATCCCGAGGACTATAGTTCCTAACGGAGCAAATAGTCAAAGGCATTTATCGACTGTCGCCTGCATTAATATTTTTTTATGCAACTTAGAATATAATACAGCATACAATAAGCTGACGGCCTACCTGATGGAAAGTGGTAACCATCACTTATCGATATAAACAGTACCATGAACATAACAGAGTATACCATGTCATACATGATACCCTAAATGCATTGCTGTTTCTGCGAACTAAGATGTTACGCCTGAATTAATATCTAAAGAATAGTCCAACTGTTAAGTTCTATGTTTATGTTGGTTATTGTATAGGTTATAAATAGAATGTAGTTATTTCATACATAGCAAAGTAACAACTGCATCCTTTACGTATATTGAAACAGAAGCAATATGAAACAATTCGAAAATAGTCTGAAGCAATTTATATTGCAGTATGCGGAAATGTTGAAAACTATATTGACATGTTGTACTTTTTATTTTTTAGTATTTTATTACTTTTTTGTTTCTCTGTCCAGTTATCATTTGGCTATAAAAATTGTATATACTTCTCCCATTTTTTAGTCTCACAATATATTACAAATCCGTACAGATACTAAAGAACAGAACAATATAATAGAAGATATATATATATATATAAATATATATAAATTAATTAGTGCCGGTACGGGAGTGTAATAATTATTGTGTGTATATATTTGACAATAATGTTATGATAACAAAAACAATTAACACCAACTTTAAATGAAGCGTGTTACTAACTCATGTTACTTCATATGTTGAACTACTATCTATTTGTCAAAGCGTGTAATACTCGTACGTATATTGTATTATATAAATTACATTGTTACACAGATTCGCCACAATAATACAAATATTCGTGAGTATTAAGACAATAGATAATAAAAATACGTTACGTCACTTTGATAACAATACGATCTCGGTTCAATAAACACAGACGAGCACTCAAATCGAGACGATATGATATTATTGCATCTCTCTATATATCTATATTTGTATAATTTTTTTGATAGATGAAAGTGGTATGGTAACCCCGCCTGCGCTAACGGGATACGCTGGCGGAGGACCAGTGAAAGGTGATTGATGAGAATGAAAACAGGGCCGTTAGCCCATTAAAAAAATTATGAATTCATCAGAAATTAACCATGATAGTTTCCAGGGGGAACCCCGAGGAAGTCGACCTGGTTGGGTATATTGCTAATAATGGGATTCTCGGTCTCCATTACTAACAATCCCTTTCCCCCCTCTATATTTATATTATTTACAAATTTTGTTAAACCAGTAGTCACCTGCTAAATAAAAGAACATATATTTACATTCATCACATTTAAATATATAATACTAATCTTTACCTATAATATTGTACGTGTGACCGGAATAATGTCGATTGACCGGATAAAAAAATAGTCTATGTTCTAATCTATCCTTAATATTACATAGGTATATCATACCAAGCAATTGGGATAAGGGTAGAAAGATGATGATGATTATACCAAAATCAATGAGGGTTAAGCCGTTCACGCATCTAGAGCTAATTTTTCTATTTATAATATTAGTATACAGAGGGAGAAGGATATTAGTCTTAGAGCTCTTGCTCTATTACTAACAATATACCCAACCAGGTTGACCTCCAGGAATAACACCTGAGTCCTCAAGAATGGCAACGCATGGGGGGGTATCATGGGCGAAACAGTATACTCTGTTATGCCCATGGTATTGCTCATGTCTATAAGCGACGGTTACCACTTTACATTAGGTGGTTCGTCAGCTTGTTTGCCATTCTAAGTAGTATAAAAAAAAATATCTCCCCGTGGTCCCCCCTGGAAACCATCGTGCTGAATTCCAAGTGTATTCGTCACGATGGGCTAACTGACCTGCCTTTTCTCATTCTCATCTATCATCCCTCACTGGTATACCGTTAGCGCAGGCGGGGTTACCATTCAATTATCATCCATTAAAAAAACACAAACAGTATGTTTACACAAACAACAAATGTCTCTATTTTATTGAAATATAATAATTTTTTGAGACATAATGAAAGGAGAAACATACAATTACGAACAAAGTTCCTTCGTTATAGTGTACCGCTATTATAATCATACTCGTAGTTACCAAAGTGTTTAAAAGACGTAACTTCTTAGAATTCTTATATATACAATCAATCGTACAAGTAATTATTATATAAGACATGGTACTATTATTAAAATAAATTAGATAATCTAAATAATCAGATAAAATAAATAATAATAAATCCCTTGCTCACAACATTTATAAATAGATTTTATATGTAACTTACAAGTGCAATAAAGAATATATATATAATATTTTTATGCAACTTAGAATGGTAAACAAACTGATGGTCCACCTGACGGAAAATACATAAGCAGTACCATAGATATAACAGAGTATACGAGGTCTGTCCGGAAAGTTCGTATAAAAGTGTTCTGGAATGCGAGAAAGAGGAGTGGGGAGGCCAGGTAAGCGCAGGACCCCTTCCTTATGTCCCTAACAATGCTTCAGTTCTGGTCTGACCGCCGTGCGGTGCGAACTGGCTTGTCACGCCATCTGTGAAGTTACCTCTTAACGAAACCCCGTCGGCATGGAGCCCGCTTCCGTTGAAGAGCAGCGCGTCGTAATCAAGTTTCTCTCGAAACTCGGCAAGAATGGCCGTGAAATTTTTGCCGATCTCAGAACAGTTTATGGGGATGATGCTGTGAAGGAACCAACCGTCCACAAGTGGCTAAAAAGATTCAGAGAGGGCCGAGAAAGCGTTCAAGATGACCCACGTTCAGGACGTCCTTCCACTTCACATTCCGACGAAAACGTGGAAAGAATTCGAACTTGTGTTAATGGGGACCGTCGTTTAACGGTCAGACAGTCGTGTGGCACGAGTTCGTCCAGAATTGGCGCGAGAGGGGCGTTGGATTCTTCACCACGACAATGCCCCTGCCCACACCTCTCTTGTTGTCCGTGAGTTTTTGAGTAAAAATTCCATTACGGTGACCGAACACCCCCTATTCGCCGGATTTGGCCCCGTGTGACTTCTTCTTGTTCCCAAAAACCAAATTGGTACTTCGGGGGCGGCATTTGGGGGACATAAATGAGATAAAAAAAGCTACGACGGGGCAGCTGAGAAACCTACAACCAGAGGACTTTCAAGGAGCCTTCTCACAGTGGAAACGGCGTTGGCACAAGTGCATTATGTCACAGGGGGAGTACTTTGAAGGGGATAAAATTGATTTACCTGAATAATTGTAAAATAAAATTTTTAAAAAACTTTTATACGTACTTTCCGGACAAACCTCGTACTGTTTCGCTCATGATACCCCCTATGCGTTACCATTCCTGAAAACTAAGGTGTTATTCCGCTGTACTCTGTAAATTCACTGCCATATCCCACCCTTCAAACCGAAACACAGCCATGCAAACACAACTGCTTTACAGTAGAAACACGAATGGGACAGAGGTACCCAAGCAAACGACTTTTATACAAAGTCTCCCTCTGATAATCTAAACGTAGACCCAAAAATATGAGAATTGTATATAGGTAATATAAATGTAATAAGTATACGTAGATACATAAATTTTATCAAAGATATTATGGGTAAAATTTAAATAACCATACCTAGGAACGCTGATTAATCATAAAAAATGATTCAAACAAAAGACTAGACGTGCATACCTACTCGTATATAAAATTCAGTTAATTGACTAATGCTAAAATATTTTTCCTTGTATAAAGTCTAACATATTCTTAACTACAATAAGAAACAAACAGCAACAATTTAAACCTAAATAAAGTCTTTTTAATGAATTTCATTACCAAAACATCGTCATTCATAAGAAAAAAATACAAATATTAAAGCGCTAATATAAGATTAAAAATTTATTTAGATATTCTATTGATGAAGTTTTAGAGAAACTACTACACCAATAGAATAATCTCTTAAAAATATTTCGGTATCAGCTTGTATTTTATAGCATACATTCTTAAAACTGCAATTATTAACTTACCGCAGTATCGGTGGTAATCAACCCAATGATCCCAATCTTCCTGCCCTTTCTTTCGACTACAATATAAGGTTTGTATAACCCCTGCAGAGAAGGCTCATTTGTGGTGTCCATGTTCGCAGCAACTACAGGAGCTTTGAGTGCGGCTAGGTATGGAGCAAGACCAGATGGGCCATCGTCAAATTCGTGATTACCAATTGCCTGCAAAATACAAAAATAATCCTGTGACCCAATATTCGTTCACTCACACTTGACTGGTACTACTCATCGGAAACAATTATCATATGCCTCAAGTTGGGACAAATAATTTATCATTTTACATCTCATTTTAGATTTTGGATCTCAATGTAAACAAACACCGTATCATAGGACAGGTATTCTTTATTGTTGCTTCCAAAAGATAACAATAGCAAACTTATTATAAATACAAACAATTACAAGAAAAGATTACGCTGAAAAAACAATAGGCGGCCTTATCGCTAAGAACGATCTCTTTTAGGCAACCTTTAGATGAAGAAGACTAATTCCAAGATTCTTGTAGATAACATCATGGTACCTATTTTTTAAGAAAATTCCACGTATGTAATAATCAGGCAGACTGAGTATTCTTTACAACTGTCTTCAAGTATATTAAATGAAATGACATAGAAATGAAATATATGCAGTAATATTCAAGGAGTCATTTAAGTCACATGCAATGAACATATCACCTGTGCAATATTTAACAATAGTTTTAAAATAACTACGCGTGGTGAAACCATCTGGGGTATATCACCATATTAGCCGTTAAGTGTCCACTGCTGAACACAGGCCTTCCCCCTTATTCCAGGCTTTGCCTGTAGTTGCCATGCTTGATAGGCGGATTAGCAACCGCAGTTAAGCTTTGGTGATGTTTTAAGAAGGACGCTGTCGTCCATCCCTTGACCATCAAGATTCCTTAGTCTCTACTCTCAATCTCTCTCTCTCTCTCTCAACTAATTAGTTGTGAAATTAAAAAACAGCAAATGTTTCAGTAATGACAAATTAAAGTCGACAACATATCTACACTATCTAATCATAAACAGGTACGCCAAAGGAAAACATCAATTACAATATTGCTTTTGATAAAATTTCCGGACACATACTTTACACAAACATTATAGTGCTCATACAATACACGACTTTTTCCACAATTCTTTTATTTTATCTTTGTAGTGTACTGAAAAGACAATAAACTTACAAAATGAAGCACCTGTCTAAAGTTATAGCATTCGAATCAGTATTTCTGCACATGAATCTATGTATAAAAATTTAATGATCTTATTGTTAATTTAATATATACCTTCACCTGTTCAGCTAAACGTGCCGTTTGTAATTATTTTACTGAACTATATGTATGATTTTACTATTCACATTGTATTAATAAATATATTTAAAAAAAATTATATACATGTATTGTTAACACAAATGTTTCATGTTACCACTTGCAAAAAATTTCAAGTTATGAAAATGAATTATTTTCAAAATCATCAACATTAAGTTCTATATGAGGAGAGAACTATTAGTACAGCGACTAGGCATGTTTCTGATAGGTCGACCACCACGCGATCCTCCTGGAAACCATAGTGGTTGGTTGATGGTAAAAAAATCAAGGTGAACCAGTTGACTCACTGATAACCAGTCAATAAAAATTAAAAACACAAACCCAACTACCATTCTGACGATGGTTATATCCTGTGAGGGAATTTTCTATAAGATTATGCCAAAAAATTTTTCATAACTTCTTTTACTCGATGTTTATTTTAAAACTACAAGCTGTACGACTGATTTAAATTTTATTCAAATCAGTCGGATGTTTGCGAGACTTTACGCCTTCATTTTACGTTTTCACGTTATAAAATAGAAAACCAATTAAATACTTAAGACTTAATTAATTACCCAACATACAAATAATTATTTAGTACAGTAATTAACTAGAATATAGCCAGATAAAAAGTCATTTTGAATACAGAACCAAAAGGTATTTCGTGTAGTAGTAACTATATAGGCTGAACCTCCACACATTCCTTGGTTTTGTGTGAAAGCATATATATATATATATATAAAGTCTTAGTCACCCCATTGTCAAGATTATGATACCATTGAGGATGTGCAACATATATCTACTGTTATAAGTGTCGTATAAACTCGATGTAAAGACAAGAATTAAATATTAATCTTATTCAATTTATATATTTTTTTAATGGGTGTAAATGAGATAGTAACCCCACCTGCGGTATCGGTATACACTGGCGGGGTACCAGTGAGAGAAAGGCAGGTCAGTTAGCCCATCGTGACGAATTCAACGATAAATTTGTCACGATAGTTTCCATTGAGAACCGCGTGGAGGTCGACCTAATAGGGTATATTGATAGCAAGGGGGACTAACTCCTCCATTACTAACAATCCCTTCTTTGCATTCAATCTATATTAGCTGACCCCAAATCAGAATTTTTTTAACATCTCTGTAAATTATTAATTCCTCTCTGTTTTCCGACAGTAGGCTAAGTAGATAAAATCTTATTTGAGAAATCAGTTCATTGTACGATAGTACTGATATACCTGAAGAAGATAAAAGAATTTGAAAATTATAAAAAAGATTATAGAACCACAGCCACACACATAATTGTTAATATACGAAACATAACAATTTCTATAAATACTATTAATATCATATGAAAGTTTTTAAAAAAACTTTGTATACTAGATATTTCTAGTAATGGATCAACTAGTCCCAGTTACTAAGAAACCCTCCCCCTTAAAACGTTTACTCAGTGACTACTTAGTAATTAAGTTAGAATACCTTGTTATGAGGAAACAAGAACATCTGAGAGCACTGGCCAGAATACACAAACATGAATCAATTCAGAAAATTCGTTTCCTAAATTGACCCCACCGGGAATCAAACCCGAGATCTTATATACGTAAAGCAACATACCCTTGACTTACAGAGGTGAATTTCTAATAACTTACGTGTGCATCATGCGGTAACATGTTCATGAACTGCTGTGTAATGTTCCATTTCAGCAAGGTATACCAATAAGTACCCTGGAAGCTGTCGCCTGCATTCAACAAGATCGCATCAGGCTTCTCGTTCAAAAGAACCTGAATTTCATGGTAAAGGCGTGGAAAACCGCCCAAGCACGAATTATTGTTGAACCGACATATTGGAGAAATGACCGAGGTCTCTTCAAATCTGTAAAGAGAGTAACAATATTAGATTTACTAGCACATACATTTGGAATTGTTTGCTGGCAGTTACATGATTGTACTCGTATTTTGGTTTGAAGTGTTTTTTTTTTTTTGACGAATGATAATGGAATGGTAACTCCCCTTGTGCTAACGGTATACACTGGCGAGGCACCTGTGAGAAATGATAGATGAAGATAAAAAGCCAGGTCGGTTAGCCCATCGTGACAAATTTAACGATAAAAATTTGTCACAAACAAAAATATGACCTGTTTTTGAGACTCGAGACTCTCTCTATGTAATCAAAGGTATAGATATATATTGTTTATATCCTATTATATAGGCAAAGATTACCACTTTTCATCAGATGAACCGTCATCAGCATGCTTGCTACTCCAAGCTATATAAAATAACATGCTAATTGATGTATTTATAAACTTATATAGTAACTTATAGTTTTCATAGATATATTATTAAAATATAAAAATCATATAATTATTATAATAAGATTTTCATCTCTGTTATTATTATTTTTATACAATTTTATTAAAATTTTAGATTTTCTGTTTTAATTTCCTTTAAAACATCAATTCGAATTTTAACATCGGACAGTGTCACAATAAATTATGTGTGAAGGTAGTAATAAAACACATAAATTATATAGAAATGGAAGAAAACCTTTACAATACTTTTATTTCCATCTGTACGTTGAACAAGTCGAGCGGCCGCCATGAAATGTGTTTATCTTTATATTATTATATCTAGACATGAACTATTGAATTTTATGTACATTTATTTATTGTATACTTAAAAAACCAACAGCTTCATAAATAATTTATGCATAGTTTTATACATATGTTAGAATACCACGACTGATATGACATGAATTGAATCATTGTGACTTGTTCTATTTTCTTTATTATTATTAAACTCCTGTTTTTAATCAGGACAGTTTAGGTAAAAACATTTCTAAAGAGCATTCATACAGAAATGTAACAATGTCTGTTATTGTATTTTTTTTTATACAACTTAGAATGGCAAACAAGCTGACGGCCCACCTGATGGAAAGTGGTAACCGTCGCCTATAGACATGAGCAGTACTATGGACATAACAGAGTATACTGTTTCGCCCATGATACCCCCCATGCGTTGCCATTCCTGAGGACTCGGGTGTTATTCCTCTGTATCCAGTAAATTCACGCCATATCCCACCTTTCAAACTGAAACACAGCCATGCAAACACAACTGCTTCACGGTAGAAACACGAATGGGACAGAGGTACCCAAGCAATTGACTTTTGTAAAAAGTACATACTACATAGTTGTGTCACAGATAATATAATACTATATGTGTTTTCGCCCTTGTGAATAGGTACATAATATTCTTACTTATTACATACTTTTTTATATTACTTACTTAATACATATGATTATGTACTAAGTTGGGATACAACCTACCCATGTGCCAAAATTCATTTAAATCCATACAGAAGTTTTACATGAAAAGGTAATAAACCATCCATCTAAATATCCTCAAAAATTTATCACTTAATATGTTGCTGTTACTCCATATTTTGCTTTCAAAATTTCCACGTGATTCTTATATCAATGGGTGTCGTAAGAGGAGACTAAGGGAGGGCGAAAGATGGGCAGCAGTGTCTCTTTTAAAACATCTCTAAAGCCTAACTGCGGTTGCCAATCCGCCTGTCAAGCGTGGCACTTACTGGCAAACCCCCCAGGGGGACGCTTATATTTAGCAGTGGAGAATTAAAAGTTGATATTATGATGATGATGAAATGCTTTTTCACTATTAAAATCTAGAAAATTAATTGATGGGTTAATAAGAATATTATTGCAAGATTGATTTTTTAGTTTTTTTAGTTCGCTATTAGAAAACTTTTTAAATAACATTCAAAAATATAGTCAATTCACTGTGTTTTATTAGTCACAGTTTAATAGTAATTTTTTAATTACACTAACTGTTTCGAGTCGTGGGTAACTAAATATAGATCAAATTTTTACCCGTAGTAGAAAATGTTATCTTTGGAGAAACTAAGCTATATAGCTACTAATATTACTTATTGTATTATTTTTGCATCATATATGTTATGTTTTATATACAAACCTTATAGACACTTTCTCCTATCGGGTTCTCAAGATTGACTGGAAGAAATCCCTTTAAAGAATAAGTCCGCCTGTGTACATTTTTGTTATAACCTAATATCTATACTATAAGTGAATGTAAAGAACTTTAAACATTAAGTTTAGGTAACTGTGTTATATATAATAGTAAAATCTCTACTGTGCGCAATAAAGAGTTTATTATTATTATTAATAGTAAAATTATTATCATGAGTAGTAGTATTATACATTTTTATAGTCTTAACATATCAAAGCATAAAGAATGTTAACTATTTACCAAGTTTAATTCTTCAAATATACTTTTGTGTGCATGTGGGAGGTGGATTTACACGTAGAGTATCATTTTAATGAGTAACTTTTGAAAAAACTACAAAACGAACATCTGGGGGAATAGTTTAAAATATCCTGACCTATGCCAATGAAGAAAAGTTTGTTTCCTAGATTCGCCCGATTAAAAATCGTACAAAAAAAAACACATCCACGCAAAAAATAGCTCTCTCTTTTCACACAATCCCTTTGAAAAATATCATGATTGATTCCTGGTAAACTCATCCCGATGGACCAACTAGCCTAACTTCGTCCACTCCTATCATCTCTCACGTATTCTTTATTGTACACAAACATAATATTAAGAACAATTAATTTTAAACATAATTATATGTACTTATCTCTAATACGAGCTTATCTCTAATAAGCGATCTCTTCCAGCAAACCTTTTCATGTGAATTAAATAATAATAAAAAATAGATAATTACCTACGAGTTTAGTCTATATTCTTATGGTATTACATTTGCCGTGTGGTCCTGGCATGAAATAAGCCACCTCTTACTTTTCATAAAAGGCGACTGAAGGAACTTAATGATCGAGGGATGAGCAGCAACGTCCCTCTTACAACGTCACCAAAACCTAATTACTGTTGGTAACTGGCTTGCCAAACATGCCAACTACTGGCAAAATTCCCGAAGGAGAAACCTATGTTTAGAAGGGGGGAAAGGGATTGTTAGTAATCCGGATTATCAGTCCCATTGCTAACAATATACTCTTACAGGTCGACCTCGCCGTAGTCTCCCCTGGAAACCATCGTGCTGAATTCTAAGTGTATTTATCACGATGGGCTAACTGGCCTGTCTTTGCATCCTCACCTATCATCCTCACTGGTGCCCCGGCGGCGTATACCGTTGGCGCAGGCGGGGTTACCATTTCATTATCATTCATAAAAAAAACCTATGTTCAGCACAAGTCAATTAACGGCTGATATAATTACATTATAATTGGTAATCCCGACCTACATGGCCAATTTAAAAACCATTGTTGCGACGCTTCAATAAGAATTTATCTGATTGTATATCACAGTTATTTGTCTTAGTGATTTCTTTAATGTTTTTAAAGTGACCTTGTTATTTCAAGATGTTATAGATTACTTCACTGACCGCTACAGAAAACTGTTTCTCGTTTTTTTAATGTAAGACTATCAAGGTCGTTAGAGCGATCGCTCTATATTGTATATTTTATTGAGTTTTGTCTTTTGTTTATTGATGTATCGTAATATTCAAGATTTATTGTATATATTTATTTATCATTTTTTTTATTGCTCTTCTCATAGAGATCCTTTTTTTTTTATACGACATAACAGAGTATACTGTTTCGCCCATGATACCCCCCATACGTTGCTATTCCTGAGGACACAAGTGTTATACCTCTGTACCCTGTAAATTCACGCCATATCCCACCCTTCAAACAGAAACACAGCCATGCAAACACAATTTCTTCACGGTAGAAACACGAATGGGACAGAGGTACCCAAGCAATCGACTTTTGTACAAAGTCTCCCTCTGATATATATAAATATTTCAATTTATAATTTTATTGTAATCAAATTTAAATACAAAATTAATATTTGTATTAATTTTTCAATCCTTCAACTCCGCCGTCGGGGATTTTCAACTAATTTCAACTAACTTGAATAATAACGGAACTCCTCAATTCGAGTATATTTATTCAGTTGTGTTTTACATATTTAGGGTACTTGATAAGTCGTTTGAACTTTTTATTTTGTTATTCTATATAACAAAATCAAAAGGTCACGATCCTAAGTTAGCTACGTCCCTATTTTGCATATGCATCTATTTACCTTTATAGATCATATTACCTGATTACTCTATTATGCAGACAACTTTATTAAATGCTTTTTCTTTAAAGATTATTTTTTCAAAAAGTAACTAAGCATTTATCATACGCTACAGCAGTAAATAAAGCTTTACCAATAAAATATTTATTACACAATGTTCGTATAAATGTTGTGGTCACAGCGGAAATGGAATCCGGAACCCGGAAGTTGAAAACGGAAAGACCAACGCTTCCCCAACAACGGTTCGTTAAATAAAAACAGATTGAGTCCCAATATATTGGATACAGGAAAATTGGGAATTAGGAGGTCGAGACTAATGCAAATACAAGTGTAACTAAGCATAGGTGCGTCGGAGAATAATAAGTTAACGTTTATTAGTGATGATAAAATAATATATACTCATATAATCTTATTTATTTATGTAACTTCATTATACACACTATAAATACATAGAAAAATAAGACAGTGGAAATTAAATGTACGAAGGGTTATTATATAACATATTATTTTTAACCGATTTTAAAGAGATGAATACCTTAAGATTCTTTACTTTAGAAATTTGATTATTTATTTATGGAAAAATATTAAACAACATCTTTGATTATTGACGAAAAAATCAAACAATAAATCAGAAGTTTTTTATAAGCTTTTTTAATCAATGGGTTCAACTCTATTGATATTTCTATTTAGATTTTTACAATAATAAACTTGACTCCATAAATAATTTAAAATGTTTAGAAAGTGATTACCTATTGTTTACGTAAGGACTTAAAAATTTTTGCTTATGGACTTAATTTCCCACAAATTGTTTTTAAGATTATTTTTTACTATTTTTTGGTTAGGTTGTATGTAAACACAACTCAAAGGAAGAAAGCTTTATTGACAACCAACTGAATTTACAAAACAAAATAAGACAATAATGATCATTTGTAACTATTAGTAGCAAGAGCAGAGGTTGCCAATGCATTTTCATCTCATGTAAATGCCAACTACACAACCTACGTGATATGTTCACTAGTTATAATCCAATGGTAAATTTAACACGTAGTGATAGGTTTTAACATAGATGCTGTATATGAAATTCTCAGATTCGATTCTAGATCGGATCAATTTGACAAGGGACTTCTCTATTTATTAACACAATTCCTAATATGCTTGTATCTGGGTCTTCTGATTTGTACCCCCAAATGTTGTTCGATTTCTTGACACAAAGTACCTAAGTATCCTAGTTTGAGTACCAGACAATTGCTGTAATTGTGTGGCACTTATTGAGTAAGTAGGTAGAAGTACGAGAATGTTACGTGTTCAATAGCATGCAAGAGAGCGCATAAATAAACTAAAACACAGCAAGAATATTAGAGTTATATTCACTGATGACTAATTCAAACTGTATTTTTTTTTTCAAAAGTTAAAATATATAATTCTTTATGGAAAAAGGATTAATTCTCGCTATAGTCTCATACTATTTTTTTCCTAAATGAAGAATTATTAAGAATTATCTAATGCATTCTAGTTTATGTCCGATCAATTTCTGTCAACTTATGTATTGTATATTTTCAATTTCATCACGATAGGCCAACTGACCTTACTTCATCTTCACCTATCATCTCTCATAGTTACCTCGCCAGCAAATCAATAAACGCCTGAGTTATTGATTTGCTGACAGACAGGTTATCATCCCATTTTCATCCATTAATAAAAAAATTAATAGTGTCATAAATATCATTAGAATCTCTATCATTATTAGTAATGTGTTATAATTACCCAATAAATTAGTGTTGATATCACCAAATTGTTTTTATTATTATAAAATATCAGTTTATTATCATACATCACTTCAAAATACGATACCAAATATACACAATATCTCTCAAGATCATATGATAGGTTTTATCCTAATTTATTTACCACAGATTTTATATGAAAAACTTGCATATTAGTTTCTTTAATTGCCCTTCTAGGGTAAGGACCCAATTTTTAGCTAGTTATAACTAAGGAGTTATAACTAGCTAAAAATTGTTCCACGTAATCCGCCTATTTCTCAATGTTTATTTTCAAATGAAAGGAATACCCATCGGTCAAATGTTTTATGATGTGTTCTAAAAAATCTAGCTCCTTATTACGTTGTTTATTTAAAAAGTCAAATCTATTAACAATACAGTAGAATTTATGTGTCTTAAATACGTCATATTTATTGTTATAGGATATAACAATCAAATACCCCGTGTTTTATCTAAAGATGAGATCAAGAGTCTCTGGAATAAATGTGCATGCATATAAAGAACAATGAATATTAGAACACCTGGTCCTTTCTGCCTACCCCGTAAGCGATTTATTGTAAAGATAGATGAAATATTATGTATCTTTTATTTAAGATATTATTGTATTATTTTTTTTAATAAATTTTTACATTGGTATTTCTTTAATAAACACCTTTATCGATAAATCAATAGTAATAATTAATCAAAAAAAAAATCTTACCCTTTAAAATTAATAATCTATATCAAAAATTAAATTTCTGATTAAAACTAGTCAGTCAGTAATCAAGAAAATTTAGAAAAGTGCATACCTCAAATTGACCCGACCAAGACTCGAACCTGAGTATTACAGAAAACTACGCTCTTTGCCATTACACTCCAAATATTGAAATTTAATAAAACAATAGAAAATAATTATTAGAAACATCTCAACACTCACCTAGCATGAAAATCGTTGTAATGTATTATGTCTAAGTCGTATAATCCTTCGAAAGGTACAGCGAACCCGTTGACAATACTACAGTAAATTACACTGGACACAAGTAAGAGATATTTTAAATTATTAGCCGCCATAATGATGTTTAATATTTGAATTTCTCTATTATGATTTTACAAGACGTATTATTTACATGCTCAATATCTCGCGCCTTCTGACACAATGTCAAACGTTTTTATACGTTCGAGTTGTGTCTCGTACTGACAGTCGTCGAACGGATCGGCTGATAATAGCGGTGTAATGATGAATAAAGGCAGTCTACACGTATGTAAATGATATTTTTTTCTTTACTTCTAGTAAAATAATGTTATCTATCTATAATGTGAAATTATATTAATTTATAATCACTTTCTACCACCTACTCCACATGCATAGTTTCAGAAATAACGAAATAGACTACTTCTAAATGGCATATCTAGATAAAACACTCATCAAATTTTCAGTTACACTTTCAAGAATACAACTGTGACAATCGCATCAATTTTGATACAGTAGATTTAGCATGATGCCGCAACAAATATACAGGGAGACAAAATATCTAAAAAATATTAGAGACGTTTAATAATTACTTAACTCCTTAGTGTAGATTTAAAGTCACACTCAAAGTCAGTTAATGAATCATACTAAACGGTAATTACTAATTTCATTAATACGTCAATTAACAATTTTTATTATCAATTACTAATATCTCATTAGTATTAATTTTATGAACCTCTCTGAATGCGGCAGTTAAACTCTTCATATTAACTTTTTCTGAAATATCTCCCATGTGCTGGCATCGTCCAGATACAAATTTTTTTACCAAGTAAAATATTAAGTATAAAATGGATATTTTTTATGCAACACGGACTGGCAAATAAGTTAATGGCTTACTGCTTGACGAAAACTAACAACCATTCCGTTGATATATTAACATGGACAGCATAAAATGTACAGTGACCTCCATGGTAGATACTTAGTGTTGTTATTTCTAAAAACTATGATATTTTGTATCATATATATATATATATATATATATATATATATATATATATATATATATATATATATATATATATATATATATATATATATATAATATTTTTTTTATGGGTGAAAATGGTATGGTAACCTCGCCTGCGCTAACGGGATACGCTGGCGGAGCACCAGTGAAGGGTGATAGATGAGAATGAAAACAGGCCAATTAGCCCATCATGATGAATTCATCAGGAATTAACCATGATAGTTTCCAGGGAGAACCGCGAGGAGGTCGACCTGGTTAGAATTAATAATATTAGAATATTCATTGGACCGAAAAGTATTTAATGATACAATTATCGTAACGATTTTGATGATCTCTTTTAACCGAGAGTCGTCTTAAGTATATAAAGTTGTAAGTGCCTATCATCATCATCACTACATAGTATAAAACAAAGTCGTTGTCGCTGTCTGTCCGTCCCTATGTATGCTTAAATCTTTAAAACTACTCAACGGATTTTGAAGCGGTTTTTAAATAGATAGAGTGATTTAAGAAGAAGGTTTATATGTATAATACATGCATAATATTGCAGAGAAACACTGATAAATTTAGAGGTTTCTAATGTGATGTCGAAAATGAAAACATTTTTTGCGCTTACATTGCAAACACTGGCTGAACCCTACGAGATAAACCAAAATAATATACTACAGTATTGTACACCTTAAAATGGTCAAGAAAAAAATCCGCGATGGTATATGTCTATCTCTTAAGGATATCCCACAATAACTATTTTTTATCCTTTACATTTTACGGGAAAAATTGGCTTATTTACGAGGTGATTTTAAGCAATATAGCATAAATTTTTATACCTTATACCTTAAATACATGTAAGTCTTAAGTACATATTGTCCATTTAATATGGATTAATATAACTCTTTACAGCGGGGGGAACGGGATTGTTAGTAATGGAGACTGAGAATCCCATTGCTAGCAATATACCCAACCAGGTCGACCTCCTCACGGTTTTCCCTGGAAACTATCATAGTTAATTTCTGATGAATTCATCATGATGGACTGGCCTGTTTTCATTCTCATCTATCACCCTTTACTGGTGCTCCGCAAGCGTATACCGTTAGCGCAGGCGGGGTTACCATACCATTTTCACCTATAAAAAAAAACCCTTTACAGCTTGTAATTTAAATGAATATTTCCGAAAATATTACAGATTTAAAATGCAAGGACATAGCGGTGCAGCGGTACCGGCGTGGCCGGCGTTCCACTTTATCATGTTTGTATTGTCTAATGACAAAAAGCAATAAACATTACTTATAAGGGCATTCTGTAGTAGTTAGGTATATTTAATATCAGCATTGCACCCGTGCAAAACCGGGGCGGGTCACTAGTATTATATAATTGCTATAGATACAGGTACATACGTGGAAGGAAGTACGTCGTTCACTTTGTCAAAATTGAAAAGTAATGTACTTTTATTAATTTGAATAACAGCTAAATAAATTTGTCTTTGAATAAATAACTTACGTGGTACTTACTAATAATGAAGTGACGACCCTGCATAGACATACAGTTTGTAACGACCTCCTCCTAGACAAGGCACATAATATCTATGTGTCTATATACTTATAATAGACTAATTCATTTTCCGCGGCTTTGCCTGCATATAAAATACCAAATGTGTAAAATATAACCTACGCATGTACCAAATTTCATTCAAATCCGTTCAGCCGTTTAGGCGTGATTTCGTAACTAACATACAAATTTTCATATACAAACTTTTACGTTTATAATATTAGTAGTTTTTAAATGTCAATTTAATATATATATATATATATATATATATATATATATATATATATATATATATATATATATATATATATATATATATATATATTAAAATTGAAAACATTCTTATATTCTTTTTAGTTTAAAAAAAATAAATAAGTATATAATTTACTCACTGTCTGCAACTGACTTTTTAATTAATAAATCAGTAGGTAATAACTTTTAAGAATTACGGGATTTCCATCATCAAAGAGATTCTACACATATTACCAAAAACAACTCAAATAGAAATCATATTTTGCAACATACTATGACCTCACTAGTACTAGGTTTATCAGAAAATGATAAGAAGTGGAGATATTATTCATTTCATCTTACTTATTATTCATAATATTTAAATATCCAAGATTCTAAAATATATTTGTACCTACCTACTTATAATCAATCAATATATTAATTTAAGTAAATGAAGTTTTTTTTTTCAGTGGGTGAAAATGTAATGGTAACCTCCGCCTGCGCTATCGATATACCAGTGAGAGATGATGATGATGATGAGGTAAAGATGAAAGCAGGTCAGTTAGCCCATCCTGACGAACTCTACAAGAATTAACCATGATAGTTTCCAGGAGAAACCTCGTAGAAATCGAGCTGATAAAGTACATGGCTAGTAATAGGGTAGTAAAACCCCATTACCACAGAATAGATATATTACAAAAATACCATTTCTCTCAGTCACTAAGGTCGATTTTGAGATTCCATTCCTTTAAACCAATCTCTAAAATGGAAATTTCAATCTGATATCGCATCAACATTTTTATGCTTAGGAATAATATAACCTAAATTTCTAATACATTTAATCAAAATTATTATAAACCTGGTTTATTGTATCAGCTCTTGACTGTCCACTGCTAAACATAGCCACCCCCATAAATAGGGTTTTGCCAGTAGTTGCCACACTTGGCATGCGGAATGGCAACCACAGTTTGGCTTTTGGTGATATTTTAAGAAAGACACTGCTGCCTATCCCTCTACCATAACCTCCCTTAATCGCCTCTTACGACACCCACAAACAAGGAAGGGGTGGTCTATTCTATGCCGGAACCTTTACGGCTATCTAGTTTATAAAGGTCAAATATCTATCAAATTAAAATATTAGGTTAAGAAAAAAGTTTAGTAAAATAGCAGCTCAGAATCGAGCACAATATGCGGAAGAAGGGATTGGAAATCCTTCAATCCAATCCAATTCCTTTTGAATTGGCAACTGAATCATTTCATCCTCTACTAGTGCCCCGACAAAGTAAACCGCATAGGAAAAGGCATACCATTCGATTTATCTACTCAAAAAAGTCAATATGTTATTAAAAATTTACGCACAGCTGTACTCCAAGTCAAGTACAGTACAATACTTACAAGTAAAATACATAGCGGTATTTTGTCAACTTTATAAGAAAGCATTATTATAAAAAAAAATAGATACCTACCTACGATAAATCTAGTTCTTAAAAAAACTTATTAGTTACTAAAGCGAAAAAATAAATTAGGCAAAATTTCAGGATATAATATTCTCTCCGCCGTGTGTGCGCTGGCATTGAATGGGCCACCCCTTCCTTTCCCGTGAGTATCGTAGGAGGCGGCTAAGTGAGGGCGAGGGATGGACAGCAACGTCTCTCTAAAAACATTTTTAGAAGCCTAACAGCAGTTGCCAACCCACCTACCAAGCGTGGAAACTACTTGCAAAACTCTTATGGGAAAGGCTTATATTCAGCAATGGACAGTTAATGGCTGAAATAATAATAATAAATTACATCAAATTAATTCTGTTTGACTTCTCACTTGTTAATTGGATTTTCCATATCTATAAGAAAAACCACTGACTCGTGTACACTGATCTGGAAAGTGTCATTTTTTTTTTATATCACGAAGGAGGCAAACAGTAAACAGTCACTGTAGCCTTTGGACATCTGCAATAATAAGGATGTCACGTGCACGTTGCAACCCTGAAGAAACCTTAATACACCTTTTCTTATAAACCTTATGGGTTTCTTCAAAGGTCTTCCTAAGAGACTATTCATACTGTAGTACCTACATATGTGTAGTCTCTTAGGAAGACCTTTTTTCGGCAGAAATGTCCAGGGACTCATACCAAATTAACCCTATTATGCCTGCCCAAATTATTTAGGTTTTAAATATTATTTAAGATTAACCCTGAATATACCCTTGTTGATACAAGTACTTTGATAGTCGCTTGACTGTCACTTAAAATATATTTTTGTTTTTTAAATTATTATCTAGATTCATAGCTGCACAGGTGGCAATAGCATACATTTCTGTTTGAAAAACAGTCGAGTATTTCCCTGTGCTTTGATTTAGTTCGTTTTCACTTGAAAAGATTTCATTTACCTGTTACCATTTGGAGCCATCCGTATACCAATATAGGTCATTCTAATTTAGAGATTGCAGGCCATGTTCCCACTCTTATCTCTGTGGTATAAAGTACATCTTTGAAGTTCTTCTTAAAGATGTATTTTGGTGTTATTTTGGCACACCTCATGTCCATATGCATGTCCAAGTCTTTATCGACCCAAATTTTGGTGTAATTTATAAGTGATGCCACTTAGACACACACAGATCTGTTCCATAATTCTATCTCCTGCAGACTATTAATCTTAATAATGTTTACAGTGGGGACTAAATTTTTCTCTATCACTGTACAAATCTATGGTTGGGACTTCCCAAAATTATTTACCACGGAGGTTATCACAGCCACGTTTTTGTATGTCTTAATAATTTTCATGATAATGACATCTGAATAGGCACATATATAGAATACTAAATAATACAACGTAATAAAGTCTTTGTTTTATATTGATTTTTTTTTATAGAAACTAGTCAAAGTGACAACACCCCTGATAGTAAACAGGTGATGTAGTCCAAAGGTGAGGGTCGCCATCAGAGCAATTTACGATGTGTTGGCGATCGTCATCTTGACAGCCTACAAATACATCCCTTCCAATTATAGGTAGAAGGATACAATGACCGAGAAGAGAATTTTAAAGTTAATTAATGACATATTTATGAAACATTTGTTATCGTCTCGATTACCTAAATAAAGGACGGCAATTCATCTATGCTCACATAAATAAAAAAAATTTTCATCTATAAACATTTGGTACAGTTGCCAAAGTAAACTTTATTCCTATTTATTAATGTTGAAAGAAACAGAATCCAAAGAAAATAGATATGATATCATTTAAATAAATTATAAAAAAAACTTTTAAGACTTTCACGATGCATAGTTAATGAGTTATGGTTAGAGACGAGAATAAATCTAAATGATCGCGTTAATTCCTATCTCTTAAAAACCGTAAATAAAAATTTGTCTAAATATATATAATTTTTTATTTCATAAATTACCTATATAATAATATTATTTAACTTCATTGGTATTACTTTGTTAATTTATCTAACGTGGTGGTGGTGGTGGTGGTGGTAGTGATAATGATTAAAAAAGTTACAATGTATAATAACAAAGGAATTTATTTACAATATTTACAATAATTCATAATATCATTATCACAAAGGAGGCCAATACAAAGTTGCTTCGTTATGCGCTGACTCTGGCAGCCATTTCAAATATTCATTCAATAAATCTGTAACAAATAAATTATTAATTACACTATTAACCTAAACCTATTCTATCTCAAGATAGCCTGCAGTTATTAAGTATATATAGTAAAATGAATTGAAATAAAAATATTTTTTTTTTATACAACTTAGAATGGTAAACAAGCTGACGACCCACCTGATGGAAAGTGGTAACCGTCGCCTATAGACATGAGTAGAACCATGGACATAACAGAGTATACTGTTTTGCCTATGATATCCCCCATGCGTTGCCATTCCTGAGAACTCAGGTGTTATTCCTCTGTACCCAGTAAATTCACGCCATATCCCACCCTTCAAACCGAAACACAGCCATGCAAACACAACTGCTTCACGATTGAAACACGAATGGGATAAAGGTACCCAAGCAATCGACATTTGTACAAAGTCTCCCTGTGGTAAATAGACTTGTATTTGTATATTTACTTTTTACTTTTCATTGTTTTTACCTACCCTAATGGGAGACAGGTGTGTCACATATGTATGTATATATGTATAGAGTCCAAGGGAGTTTGTTACCGCTTACTGTCGCGTTAATCGCTTAGTAATCGTCATAATATTTGACATGAAAATGGACGTAGGCTACGATCATATCATTACATCCCTGTTAATTAGACATAGATACTCTTTATTGTGTCCTCCAAAAGATTACAATAGTAAACTTATTATAAATGTAAACAATTACAAGAAATAATCACAATGAGAAAACAATGAGCGACCTTATTGCTAAAAGCGATCTCTTCCAAGCAACCTTTGGATGGAGAGGAGTAATTATAAACAGTTTGATCGGAGGCACAATTAAATTCTATTATTTCTTAATATAACATAGTTGCTGCCATAGATAAATAATTATATAAATGTTTCAATTATAATTTTTTTTTTATTTCTACATTGTATAACATTTCAATAGTATTACTCCGTACAGTATTAATTATACTGTACTTCTTGTTGAATTGACCTCACAATTCACTCAAAACATCATATAAGTATTTTTTTACGGAGACTATATTTATTAAAGTATTATAAATAAATATTTGAAATAAACGGTTTCGTCAAGTACTATAGATATATGTATATATAAGTTGTCCTTAAAATAATCTTACTTCCTCTTCAAAAAGGAAGGATCGTTGTACTTTTGATAACATTGGATTTAATGTCATTCTGAAGACATAAATTCCAAGTAGCAACAACATACAGTATAAGTCACACGAAATTTACTCAGCTGTTCAAACTATTTATCAATATATTCCTGAATCACTTAAATATATAATATTATAATGTGAAAAATATATATATATATTTCCAAATGAATGTAAAAAAGGTCATTGCTACTCTTTGTCTGGCTAATATGAATCTACAATATTGGATATTTGAGAGCCTGAGACAGTTATCTATTTATAAATATGATATCTTTTATACACCTTGAAATGTAAAGCACACAGCTCACCCAATCGAAATTGGAAATCGTCACCTATAGATATGAACAGTACCATAGACTTCACCGACTGTCTATGATCCTGTACTTATCTATGATATAGATGTGAATGGTTCCTAATGTTATTATAAGACATCAGAAATTATATTTTACGTGTGCCTATTTTCTAAGTAGGTATATAGACCTGCTTTTCTTGTATTATATATTCAATTTTTCACTGGGTATTATTTAGTTTATCTTTATCTGTACGGTTATTACCCTTATATATTCTACAGTTTTCTTTCAGCTTCTAAAAGGTTGACTGTAAGAGATCCCTTTATGAGAGATATATGCCTTTGTATATTAAATAATTTAATATATTCAATACGAATTATGTACAATAAAGATTTTACAATACAATACAATAGCTTCTTATTTCTAAGTTATGATTTTTACATAAAATTGAAAAGATTATCTATAATTTATCATTGTTTCAACCAATAACTATCTACTGCTGAACATAAGCCTTCCCCATAGGGGGAGGTTTACCAGTAATTGGCAGGCGGGTTGGCAACCGCAGTTAGGGTTTTAGTGATGTTTTAAGAGGGACTGCTGCCCTTCTCTCTACCTTTAAGTTCCCTTAGTCGCCTCTTACGACCCCCCCCCCCCCCACAGGAAAGGAAAGGAGTGGCCTATTCTATGCCGGGACCACGCGGCTGTATCTATGATCTATTCTAATATTATAAAGAGAAAATAATTTATTGTTGTTTGTAAAGGACAAAGTCAAAAACTACTTAACTGATTTTAAAAATTCTTTCTCCTATAAAACTCTATGTTTATCAGTGAGTAACGTAAGCCTATATGCCAATTTTTTAAATTCTATCTACCCGTACGAAGCCGGGCCGGATCACTAGTTTATTAATATATCGGTTACTTTATAGTTTACTTACAATTCGACTGCTCTTTCCAAATTTCTTGCAAAGCATCTCTAGTTCCTACCCTCTTCATTATTAAGGCTTTCAATAAAATTTCTGTTCTAGGCTGCAGCTTTGCCCAGCTTTTAACCATCGTGGACGGCGGAGAGAGTAAGGACGCTGTGTATTTACGTAGTTTCGGGAACACAACTCCTTCTAATAGGAAACGAGCGAACCATCTGTAAAAATAGACATGTTTTAATGCTGTATAGAGTACAGGTTTTCATAGTAGTATTTATACCTAACCCGAAAGAGAAAATAAATGAATTAAATGCGTTATTTTCAAAGCGAAAAAGTGTTGACGATTATTATATTTTAATTTCTTTATGTAATAGACTGCCAAGATTTTAGTTAAATATTTTGTTGAACACAATAATTTTAATACAATAAATGCAAAAGTTTTAAGCTATGGATGGATAGATGTTTGTTACTCTTTCACACATAAACTACTAAACGTATTTGAATTTAATTTGGTACATGGGTAGCTTATATCCTAATTTAGCAAATAGGATAGTTTATGTACTGACTCACGCGGGTAAAGCCGCGTAATAGAGCTAGTCTTAAATATGTAAATAGTCGTGAGTGTCAGCTCTCAGGAGAGTTTTCTAATAATAAAAATTTCAAAATCGTTACCAATATTGTAAATGTGAAATTATAATATTACTGTTTATTCAATTATGATTTTTTTTAAATTCCGCTACCGTATGTGTATGACGTCTGTTACTACCAGAAGTTCTGCAACCTCTATATGAGTCATCAATCTACGACTGCCATTTTGTTCACACATGTTGCGACACGTGTTTCACCTCTAAACAAGGCATTTTTAGATATATTATAATATTAGATCGATACTCAGAGCCTAATATATAGAGAGCCTAATAAGAGGAATAACACTTGAGTCCTCAGGAATGAACACAAATGGGGAGTATCATAGACAAAACAGTATACTCTGTTATGTCCATGGTACTGCTCATGTCTATAGGCGACGGCTATCACTTTCCATCAGGTGGGCCGTCAACTTGTTTGCTATTTTAAGTTGCATAAAAAAATTTGTTCAGTAAAATATTACAATATATCGGTAACAATTTTGAGATTGTTATTTTTTTACGGCATTGTACATAGTATATGTCATTCAACACCAATAACAGATCACTTTTTAATCCAGTCAGTCTATCCTTATAATGGCCGTCACACAGATATAGCCTCGAAACATAGCTAGTTAGATTACAAAATAAAAGTAAATTACTAAAGTCAAAAATATAAGCTTACCTGTATCTTTCTATTTTTTCCGGATAATCAATCTCAACGGTGGGCAACTCCCACCCGGATTTACCGAACGTTCCTTTAAAATGGCATTTTACACGTCCCGACTTCTCGTCATATCTCGGCTCTGGGTCGGATAAGGGTTCACCTGTAGTTGAAAATGTCGTATCTATACGTAGTTACAAAACAAGCATTCTAACCATTGATATCTAATTTTTAGTCACAAAGATATAAATTGTCATTCATAAAATATATTTTTTTTTTAATAAATTTTAAAGAACAGGTTCTGAAATGAACCCCGCTTTTTTATATGTTACGCAACATCCTTTTTTTATATATATTAGGCGGTGTTCAAGTATTACATAACACAATTTTGGGTCTTGTAAAACGTTAAGATATATTACAGTAGCGGCAGGAGGTTCAAACAATTCGTTACATAACATTGCTTTTTATTTAAATAAAAAACTGGGGAATTAAAATCTCCCAAATTGGCAACCGTTTTTTATTTGATTTACGGGGAATTTGTTGTTGTGACTTTTAGGTAAAACTGGTCATTTGGGTGTTACGTAACGTTTTAAGAGGGGGAGGGAGTACAGAAAAGTGTTACAGCGCGTTACAAGGGGAAGAGGGAAGATAAAAATCTTCAAAACTTGCTTTGCGTAATACTTAAACGTCTTCTTAGTTTATTGTAAGTCGCGTTTTGGTTGCATACTAATTTTGTCAAGGTAGAACTTTAGTTTTTTTTTTTTTATTTGTAATGGAGCTAACTACCTAAAAATAATTATGAAAAAAATTGCACTTTCTGTAAAGAGACTGAATTTGTAACTACAGTATTTAAAAAAAAAAAGTACTTACCCAAATTGCACAACTGTGGCACGTAGACCGGCAGCCACTCAGGCTCTATGGCCGTCACATTCCTCATGACCATCTTCCGTCGCTCCTCAGCACCGGTCTCGTACAACTCTTGATACACCACCCATTCTGGTATTGTCTTGCGGAGAATAGACTCCGAATGTAGGTGCACCGGTTCTTCTAACTCGCCGCAGTGGTACGCGTATTTAAATTTACGTTTGTCTTCGCCTGTAAAAATTATAAAGTATAAACTATATTAGGCATTCCTAGTTCTTATATATTAGTATTCTATCTTATATATTGTATCTTATATCTTATGTATCTTATATATTAGCCTTTGAAAAGTGGTGCTGGAGAAGGATGGAGAAAATTAGCTAGAGGGATCGAATTAGCAATGAGAAGTTCCTACTTAGGGTTAAGGAAAAAAGACAAATTATTAGAACTATTGAGGACAGAAGGGAAAAATGTTGGGACACTTGATACGACACGACGAACTTATGAACATTATAATAGAAGGTAAGATAGAAGGAAGGAGGGGAAGAGGGAGACCGAGACATAGTTACATCAAGCAGATCAAGGAAGGAGTTGGTGTCGTGTCGAATCAAGAGGTGAAGAGACTCGCTGAAAATCGTAGTGAGTGGCAAGAGCTCCACCAACAAGAGCGCAGCTCTTAAATAGGATAGATAGATAGTTCTTGTATATTTGTATGATTAAGAAGAATTTGATATTATCAACAGATTTTACTAATAAATTACTTTATTCTTATGTGCACTATTTAGTTTTACTTGGTAATATAAATAGTAGATTTTGTATTAGTTTCATCATCATATCAGCTATTGTCTGTCGAATGCTGAACATAGGCCTCCCCCATTTTAGGGCAATTTTGCCCGTAGTTGTCACGCTTGGCAAGCGGGTTGATAACCACAGTTAGACTTTTGGTGATGTTTTAAGATTGACGAAGTTGATACTTCGAAATATAATAATTATATTAGTGTTATTCCTCTGTACTCTGTAAATTCACTGTCATATCTTACCCTTCAAACCGAAACACAGCCATGCAAACAAGTACTTCATAGTAGAGACACGAATGGGACAGAGGTGCCCAAGCAAACGACTTTTATACAAAGACTCCCTCTGATAAAAATAAACACTTATAAAAATGTACCTTATTCTAGCAAATAATTCTAATTCTACATCATGAATTCCTTCACTCACCTTCCTTGACCTCGTCCAGTCCAATTTTCCTGCCAACTTGATCACCCAGTCCACTAAGCACCAATTGCCGTAACAGTCTGGCTTGATTATCGTTCGGAGGTTTCATCTCAGGATCTATTGTTACGTCCACCCCTGCGACGCTGAGATTAATCTCTGATGTCAATTGTTTGCGCAGCTTTCGGATTTCCTTGATAGCCTGGAAGTGTTAGTAAAAGATTTTTTTAATTGTACCCTTCTAATGCAATGTAACGTAAGTTATGTATCTTATACATTGTAAACACCTAAAATTGTTTGTAATAAAATATTTTAATAGTAATATACTAATGCAATTCAAAATATAAAAAAAAAATCAAACAATATAATGATTATTTTTCAAATGTTCAATTAAAATTTCATGCATATAATGTCACGTAAATCAGAGCACATGACATATAAAAGGAAAACTGTACCTAATTTATAAAAAATGTTATGAAAAAAATTAAAAGAGGCAGAGAGAGAAAAAGATAGGGATAGACTGTGTAAAAGAAACTATGGCGTAAAGAAATACTGAGATAAAAACAAACAGAGATGAAGAAAAACAGCCGAGATAAGAGCAGAAACACGAATATCAATAGTTAATAATAGCAAATGTTTATTCTTACTATATTACTAATATAATAAAATTGTAACTAGACGATGTCTGTAGTACATAGGAGATATTTAAGAAAAATCTATATTAGGGGTCTTAATAAGAACAATGAAAACCAAAACAATAATTTTTATAAACTATGTATGCTTGTCTGTCTGTATGTCAGTTCGGGACTTACGCAAAAACTACCGCACCAAATTAGATGCAGTTTTCGCTGTTATATTCCTGACCTATCTAAAATCTAATATAAGAAAAGATCTAATATTAAAAAGGAGAATGTTTTATCTTAATACCCCATCTACATGTTGTTCAATTCATTGATGTCTCCTTTTCTGAAATCCACGGATTTTTATACCACAAAGGTGGCAAACAAGCATACAGTCCGTCTGATGGTAAACGATCACTGTAAACTATGAATGCCTGCAACTCTAGAGGTGTCACATGTCACGGATACATAGTAGCAGGCACCGAGCTGATTCCATTAACAGTAACAATACATATATGTAGGGGTATAAGGGATTGTTAGTAATAGGGATTAGTAACCCTATTGCTAGCAATATACCCTGTCAGGTCGACCTCCCCGTGGTTCCTCCTGGAAACCATCAGGATTGATTTATCGTTATATTCGTCATGGTAGGCTAACTGACCTGCTTCATCCTCACCAATCATCCCTCACTGGTGCCCCGCCAGTGCATATCGATAGGCGAGGTTACCATTCCATTACCATCCATTAAAAAAATACATATATGTGTTTAATGTGAGAACATTCATCAAAAGTCCTATATCAGTTTTCATGCTCACACCTTTTCTCTAATTCCATATTTAGCGCAGAACAATTCCTCCTCGCCTTTGACGTATGCATACTCCGCGGCGCCAACAGCTCGAAGCAGTACTCCGGGATCACCCAACAAGAGCGTATGACCAGTTGCGGGCCAGCTGTCCGGTTTTCCACTCATTACCTGAATATTGATATAATTGTAAAGATAATAAAGTATTTTATTATTATTTATCTATTTTATGCTCACCAATTATTTTTTTTTTTTTAATACAAAATGCTACAACAACCTTTTATCTAAGTTTTGACCACCGACAGCAGAGAGAGGTCCCAAACTAACGATGGTTGGAGAGTTAAGAACATCCTAATATTATTATAATTATTCAACGACGCTATGGTAGTGATAGGGCTCAGTCAAGACAATAAAGGTAACTATCTCAGACTCGAGCCAATATAGAGAATGTTGGCTCGAGTCTGGGGATAGTTAGATTGATACCCTTTTTGATTCACTCCAAAAGATTACAGTAGTAAATTTGTCAAAAACCAAAAAATACCAGAAAAGATCACACTGACAGTCTTGACTTGTTCTCCCGGAACTTCGATGAATTACTTATATTTCTCATGATACAAAGTATCCTAGCTCACGAATTAGACAAACAGTGTGACTTGAAGATAATTAAAATGCAAAAGTATAACTTTTATAAGTATATATATATAATTTTTTTATGCAACTTACAATGGCATACAAGCTAACGGCCCACCTGATGGAAAGTGGTAACCGTCGCCTATGGGCATGAGCAGTACCACGGACATAACAGAGTATACTTCACCCATGATACTCCCCACACATTACCATTCCTGAGAACTCAGGTGTTATTCTTCTGTACCCTGTAAATTCATTGCCATATCCCACCCTTCAAACAGAAACACAACCATACAAACATAACTGCTTCATGGTACAAACATGAATGGGACAGATGGTCCCCAAGAAAACGACTTTTGTACAAAGTCTCCCGTCTGGTAAATATATAAACAAAAACACTAAATACTAATTAAGCATCAAAAATCATAATCAATCAGTCATTATCATCATTTCATCAATCATTCATCACAAATCATCAATCATAATATAAAAAATTTTAGTAGTACTTATAAACAATAATTGACATATTTACCTCAGGTACTGTAAGAGCTGATACCAGGGCAATAGTATAAGATAAGAGATTCTGTTGATGACTGAGTGCTAGCATTTTTCCATATCGAGGCAACAAGGGGAATGCCGATACAGCTTTACCTAACGGCGTCACCTTTAACATCTGCAAATTGAAAGCAATAATTATTTTTATTTCGAATGCGTAGGAACTTCATAGTAAATAGAATGTGAAACCACACTGTACGTAACCATTTTAGGTTATAGCATGTGAAGATAAATTCCCTGTCGATAACGAGCGATGCGATGATAAAAGGTCGCTGTGGGCATCATTCCAATCAATTCCTCAAAACACAATCCTTTGTAAAAGCGGTAGCACATACAAAGAGTGGCGTTTATTATTAAATTCGAACGCGTTTGATCAATTTCACCTAATTTTAAGTGATAACATGGAGTAAGATGAAGCTCGTAATCTCAAATAATAATTATTCACTTTAACCTCTAAAAAACAATAAACACAGAAATTAAATTGGTCGTACTTACATCATCATCATCCACTTTCTTCTTCTTTACTTCGGGTTTTTCCAAGATACCGAGTGTTTCAAGACGCTTTTCCGCTAGCCTGAGTTGCATTCTATCCGGTGCAGTCGGGAATGGAAAATTCACCACCTAAAAAATATTAGTCTCTTTAAATAATTACTCACTAAATGATTTTTTATTGAAATTGTAGTGTACTCAAGATACTCTCATGACAGACCACAGTCGTCTAGGGCTAGAAATAGCTTCTAGAATTTAGAAACTAACTTACATTTTTATTCCTAAGCTTGTGCACTTCGCCAGGCACCCAATACAATTTTGTCCTAAATATTCATATCGTTATACGGTCTCGACACAGAATAGGGCATCCCTTCCCGTGGGTGCTATAAGAGACGACTAAAAGAACTTAATGGTCGAGGGATGGGCAGCAACGTCCCTCTTAAAACATCACCAAAAGCTAACTGTGGTCGCCAATCCGCCTGCCAAACGTGGCAATTATTGACAAAACTTCCTTTATAGGGAAGGCCTATGTTGAGCAGTGGACAATTAACGGTTGATATAACAATACTAAATCCATATTTATCTAGTTTATGTTCATACATACATTAAATTAAAACTTGCCACTCACCTTATCTATGCCCATGCACTTCATGGCAAGTACGAGATCGTCGACTGGGCGGCGGCATAAGTCGGGCGGATGGTGTGGCGGACAATCGTGCTGGAATACAGCGCTGCTGTACAGCCGGTACGCGTGCCCCGCGCCCACTCGTCCCGCGCGTCCCGCCCGCTGCCCCGCGCTCGCCTGCGATGTCCACACTATACGCCATGCGCTCGCGCCGGTCACGTGGTCATACACGCTGTATACATATATTTTCATACTTCTAACTTTATTTATAACAGAAGTCCCATACAAATTTCATCCCCTATTTCACCTCTTTAGAGGAGAATTCTTCAAAAGCCAATGAACTTATTAATTTTTGTTTTAAACAAGAGCCAAATTTTAAAATTTCACGTGACTATCTTCTAAACTGGCAAAATTCCATATAAATTTTCAATCCCGTTTTCTCCCATAAAGATAAAATTTTCAAAATCATCTCTTATTTTTTAAACGATCACTGTAGCCTATGGACGCCTGCAACGTTAGTTGTTTATTGTTCGGTACAATAATATGCATACAAAAATACAATCTGACAAAAACGTATCTTTATGGCTATATTATCTCTATAAAGACTTCGTACTTTGATATTATATAAAAAGTGTTTAGTTTACTAACCGCATTTTCTTTTTCCCACTGTCGACAACGTATTTTATAGCGGGTATAGTGAGGGATGTTTCAGCGACGTCGGTACTAACTACGCATAGCCTCGCTCCAACTGGAGGTGGTGCAAACACTTTGGCTTGCTTAGAGGAACTGAGCATAGAGTATAGAGGAAGAACCCATAGAGGCTGTCTGCAAGACTTTATTGTTGGTGTGAGTGTGTCTTCTTCTGCATCTGTAAACATATATACATTTAAAAATATTGTTAAATTATGAAAATAATATTAATTAATTAATTAATTAATTATATAATATTGCGTGACAACTACTGGAAAAACTCCCCTTATGCCTTAGGCTTTTGTTCAGCAGTAATATACCTAAATCTTACTACCTGACCATCTTAGAACATTTTTAAAATTATCTTTGATAAATTTGTATAAAAAAATAATTACTTTTAATTTACAGGTGGACTAGAAATACACAGGGGACTCCAATGCTGCAGGAAGTCAGTAGATATAAGAATTATTTTCAACAATGGGTAATTAAAGGCTTAAATCATGACGAAAATATATCTTACCAGAGTCACTCAAGTGTCCTTCACTCTCATCATCATTGTCGACGAGATCTGCTTGTCCATCGTCATCTGGCATGTCATAGTCATCCAAGTTAATCTTTGGTAACGTTTTGATTTTCTGCTTAGCTTTTCTTCTTGCTTTCTTGGCGCGTTTCATTTCCTTCTCCACCTTAACATAGAATTTTGGAAATTCTAGATTAGAATAAAATTTATTTCCACCTGTATTAATTAGGGCTCCAATGCTAAAACCGTTGAAAAACAAAATCCCTATTCATACTCATCCTTTTATAGTACTATAAGCTCAATCTTCGACCTTATGGTTACTTTGCAACAGGTAAGTAAATATTATACCAATTATGAGATTTTTCAGTAATAACAAATATATATATTGAAAGTCATAAAAAAATTACCCCTTAGCAATCTGTGATGAGTGACTTTCCAATTAGAAAGCTAAAATCAATAGTTTAATTTGACAATTTTTTAAATAAATGTTAAAAATAGATTTAGACTATGTTGTTTATACTATTATTGCAAAAAGAGAGAAAATATTATTTGGATAAACTCAAAAACTACTGATTTTAAAATTTTTTTTACTTGAAGAAAGCTACATCGTTCGCGAGTAATATATGCTGTATTATTTTTGAAAATTCTACATACCCAAGCAAAGTGCCTTATAAATTTTCACATATAAATAATGATAAATAAAGTATAGCTTCGCCTTTTAGGATAACTTTTTAAAATGTCTAAGCGAATTAACGAATAAAGTCAATGATCGTACCTCATCATCATCAGAGTCGATATCATCAGGTTCCGAGTCCAGGGCAGCATCAGCTTCGTTAATCGGCTTCGTCTTTGTTATCAGCTTCGAATAGTCCACATCTTTGCGGTAAGGAAAGGATGCCTTCAATTTACGTACGAGATATTTCACCTAAAATTATACAAAGCTTTTTTATTTGATGTTAACAAATATAAACTACAAGCAAACGCAAAAGTGAAACGATGCAGATATCACCAAAGGTTTAATCTATACTAAAATTATAAAGATTTGCGTGTTCCTTTTAATGGATAAAATCAAAACTACTCTACCGATTTTAAAAATTATTACACCTATAATAATAATAATAATAACTTTATTGTAGCTAAAAATCAGGTGCACAATTTATTATACAGTGATTACTACACTAGGCTCGCAGGCCTGTATCGTAGTAGTCAGTGAGTGGCTAATTAAGTTAGTTCATATTTATTGCCATTTACAGTCCGGTTCTTGTACAATTTTATCATTTAGGTATTCGAAAATTAAAATACATTTGAAATGATGGAAAAGATACATAGGAAGTTATATTATCAGCGAGTAACATAGGTTATATATTATTTTGGAAAATTTTATATTCCAGATCGTTAGTTTATAATAATTATGTAGTATTCTATTTATACATACAGAGGAGATAGATTGATAGATAGATACTCTTTATTATTTCCTCCATAAAATAGAATAGTCAACTTATAATAAATACAAACAATTTTGGAGGAGTTAGAAGTCTCTGGAGCTAGTGTGTATGCATAAAATGAATTAAAAAAGTGAATGAAACAATACATAGTTTATAACGTTGGACGCTTCTAACATTCGGTTCTCTCTGCCTACTCTATAAGGAACTTGACGTGAAGATAAATATAATATCAATATTAAATAAAAAAGATTATAATATTAAAAATAGGTAGGAGTGGCACATTCCATGCCGTGTGATCCCGACATAAAATGGGCCGCCCTTTTCTTTCCCGTGGGTGTCCTACGGGACGACTAAAGGAATGGAATAGCTGAGGGATAGGCAGCTGCGACACTCTTAAAACATCATCAAAGGCTAACTACGGTTGACAACTCGCCTGTCAAGCGGGGCCAATATTGGCGAAACCCCCCTTTATGGGGGCGGTCTATGTAACAGTAGACAGATAACGGCTGTATGATAATGATGACGATATAAAATAACAATTATCGATGCATACCTCTTGCTGACCTGTCACAAATATAAGAATCCCTCCTTCAGGCAGTCTTGTGTGTATTTTGACAGTCTTTCTGAATGCTTCTTTCAAATAGTCACTGTAAGTGTGCTTGTTGAAATGTATTGTTACGGGATACTGTCTTGAATCTATCTATATACAAAGATGTTACAATTTTAATAAAACTGAAATTATATTATAAATGACAACGATTTTAAGGATGGGTAGAAAGATGGATGTTTATTACTCTTTCACGCAAAATCTACTGAACAGATTTGAATTCAATTTGGTACACAGATAGGTTACATTCTAACCTAGTAGATAGGATATATTTATATAATTTACGCTAGTAAAGCCTCGAAATAAAGTTCTAATATTAATATATTTTAAAATTTTATTAATTTTGATAGTTGATAGCAATATTGATTTTATATTAACGTGATTATTGCCTATGTCAGTAATTAAGTCTAATCTAACGAAACCCCATCAAGTCATTTAAATATGTTGACAAACTAAAAAGACAATGCTTCCATATTACATTTTGCATTACTAAAACCAGATTCGAAATTTAAAAAACAAAGAGATTTGGCATTTTTTTAATATTATGAAGCTAATGAGATTAAGGTAGTTTAAGGTTTCTACAGATAGAAAAATTTGGAATTTAGACAGGACATTTTAGCCAGTGCATATATAATATAAATACATACTTTAATCACAGGAGGTGGTTCTTTAAACAACCTGGTATTCTCAGTAAAGTCTTCTATTCTCAATGTGGCAGACATAATGATCAATCTGAGTGGATTCCCGCGCTTTCTTCTTAACGGTACTATTCTGGACAGCAAACCAAGTAATATATCGGTGTAAACACTTCTCTCGTGGGCCTCATCGATAATCACTACTGAGTATTTACTCAGTAGAAAATCTGATTGAATTTCTTTTAAAAGGACACCTGAAATTTTTATTAATAAATTTCAATAAACAAGCTGAGTCCTACACCGCAACAGTCTAAAAAAAAAAACTTTTGTCTCTTTACATTGTGTCATTATCATGCGTTATAAAAAAAATAAACCTCACCAAAAAATTGAGGAGTTTAATACACTTTTTTTATGTAAACCACATAACGCTTACAAAATACAAATTTATTGTTATAAAAATATAATCTGTAATGCAATTTGTAAATTATGTATTGTAAAATCTTTAAACTAAATTTTAAAGATTTTACAATGCATAATTTAAAGTCATGTTGGAACTCGCAGTTCTTACATAAGAATCAAAATCAGTTACTTTGACAGAATAGGCTTTATTATACCTAATTTAGAATAAAATATTTATATGCAACCTACATGCAGTTGCGATATCTATTTAATAGATGTCTAATATAACTCTTTCCATTCCATTTTGTATACTGACCATCAGTCATAAACTTGATTTTGGTGTCCTTAGTAACATTTCCTTCAAACCGCATTAGATAGGAAACTTCCTTGCTACTAAGCGCCAGCTCGTGGCCGACACGTGCCGCCATGGCGACCGTGGCAACCCGTCGAGGTTCAGTCACTGCTATCATTTTGTGTTCAGCATAGCCCGCTTCGTAAAGGAATTGGGGAAGCTGTGTTGTTTTACCGCTGCCTGTAAAAAAAAGCCAATGAAGAATTGAAATAAGCAGACAAAATTATAAGAAGACAATATACAATAACAAGAATAAGAATAGATGACACATTGGTATGCACCTAAGACATAAGAAATACAGAAGAAAAAAGAAAATATTTTTTATTATAGCACATGTAACCATATAATCCTTAATATAAGGAATGTACATATTAATAAGAAATATTTAAATTTAGTTTTCTAAAAATTAAAAAAAATGTATAATATAAAGAATAAACTTGTATAATATATAGCTCTATAAATAATATATGTCTTTATATATAGGTTATGTGGGACCAGAAACATGTGAACAATGGAAGTGCATTGTGGAGAGAGATTATGCAACAGACATCTTAACAATATAACATGTAAATGTCATACAAAGACATATTTTCTTAATTTTAGAGTTGTTGTGTTGTTTTTTTTTTTTTTTTTAAATATTGATACACCTATTCTTTATTAAGTGGATCTTGGTAACCATCAGTGTTATGTATGAACATAATGAATAATTTGATAAGTCGATTTATGTGGGGTTCCTATATAATTCTTTTGGCAATTGAAATAGTTTTACTTCCAATCTCAACCAAGTTGTATCTTTAAGTTATAAAGTAATATTTATTTTGACCTTCTAGTTTTCACTTACCAGTTTCACCAGCCACTATCAAGAACTCATTCTCATTCACCAACTCCATAATTCTTTGTTCTTCTCCCAAAATTGGTAGCTTCAATCTCGCCACTTGCACTTTTGGATCTCTCTTCACTTCTATATGAACTGTTTTATGTTCAAGCAGTGGCTTTTTCTCTTTCTCTTTATTCTCAATAGTATTAAGTTCATGTTTTTTTACTTTTTTAGATATACTTTTTTCTTTCCCTTTTATATTATCTTTAGTAGTTGTAATATCTTTCCTTATATCTTTTACAACATTTTGAACTTTATTTTCATCATTTACTATGTCATTTTTCACTAATACAATTTCTTCATTTCTATTTTGTAGAACAACTGGTTCATCATCATCTGATTCTGAACTAATTTCTTCACTGGATGATTGTTCAAGTCCAACAACATTTGGATCATATTTACTCTTCTTTGTTTTACCAGCATTGTCCATTTTTAAGAGTCTTAGTCGTTTTTTAGCTCCTGTACAATTAAATAAGAAATAGAATAATTTCATCAGAAGAATTATAAATAATACTAATAGGATTAAGTATGCAAGAAGCACATAACTTCTTTTTCCTTAAGAGTTTAATACACTTTTTTTTATATAATAATTAAGAATTGTATGGATAGAGACCACTCCATATTCACTTTTTTATACCTACCTCTTAAAAAAAAAGCATTAAGAAATAAAAAAAATACAATTTGATAGAAACAGACTTGAGGGGCTTACAACAAAATACAACCTGCGATACTGCTAAACTTCTTGTTTACTGCTATTTCTGTTTTCTCCACAGGTGCTTCTAATTGTAACTTTGACAACTGCCTGAGGCCAATTGTTTGCACAGCAGATATAGCTGTCATTTGTTTCACTTCATCTGGTGATGCTTGTACTTGCGACAGTGACTCTAAGAGAGCTGCTCGCTAAAACAGAGAAATTCATTTTTACACATAACATTTAATGGTAAAGCAAAGTAAAATATAAAATAATGAGTATAATACAAGTGCATTAAATATATATAAGCTTCTGTCCGCAATATCCTGTGTTGGTTTTGGTAATAGGTAACCACTTCGAAATTGCATATCAAAATAAAACATACACATTTTCAGATAAAACTTCAGAAACACAACTGTTAAAACCACTTTCAATTTGGTACAGTAGTTTTTGCATGGTGGCGAAACAAACATACAGACAGACATAAACACAAAATATAAATGTTTTGGCTTGTATTGCTTTTATTATTAAAACCCCTAATGTATTTTCTGTAAATATCCCTCATATAAAGCATCATCTAGTTACAATTATATTATATGTATATACTGGGTTAACATAACATTCTTTAGTCACAAAAGTCTCACCCAAAATTTTCTTTTACTATGCTATAAAAAGATACAACTTTATAAATTTATCTAAAATACTTACATTTTCTTTTTTCTTTTTCTTATCAACAATTTTTTCGAGTTGTTTTCGTTGAGCTTTTGAAAGGAATTTTGTTTTTTCCTTTTTTTCTTGCACAATCTTAGTCTGCCTTTTCTTGGATGGCAAGACCAATAAATTACTGGCATCAGATGTACCATATTCATTATTAGCAAAATCAATTTTTATCTAAAAAATTAATTCACATAATACAATATTATACATATGTACATTTATAATATTTGCTACTACATTATACATTTATAGGATTTATAGTGTTGATAACGACATCCACAAAAGATATGGCATCAATTATAGTCTCTCTTTTGTCAATATACTTTTTATTTCCTTTTGAACATAAGCAAAGACAAATGGCTACAAATTACTTTAATTTTTTCATACTAAACATCCACTCCGACTATGCATACATCTCTATAAACTGACACTGGTTTCAATATGTCTAATTTAGTCACTCTTTATGTTACTAAAGAGAACAGTGGTTTGAAAAAGAACCTGCATCACACAGTGCCCAGTTTTTTATACAACTTAGAATGGCAAACAAGCTGACGGCCCGTCTGATGGAAAGTGGTAACCGTCGCCTATAGATATGAGCAGTACCATGGACATATCAGAGTATACTGTTTCGCCCATGATACCCCCCATTCGTTGCCATTCCTGAGGACTTAGGTGTTATTCCTCTGTACCCTGTAAATTCACGCCATATCCCATCCTTCAAACCGAAACACAGCCATGTAAACACAACTGCTTAACAGTAGAAACATGAATGGGACAAAGGTACCCAAGCAAACAATATATTGTCTCTATTCAGTTAACTGTAGGGTGGTGTATTTGTTGACGTTACTATATAAATTATTATATTAAATATATAAATTGTATTGAAATAAAAAGTTTACAAATGATTTTTTAGCTGAAACATTTACAGGTTTGATAAACTATTTGAAATATTACTTTAAGCAAGATTTTGGTTAAATTTATGATATATTTAATTATAAACATCCAAGGATTAAGTCTATTACACCGAAATATGTCCTATAAATTAATTATGGTCAGTGGATACCATCAGGTATATATTACCTCGTTGGTTTCTGTGTTGTCAATATTCGTTTTAACAACTTTTCTCGCCTTTGCATTATGTCTTGATTTACCCATTATGGTATGAATTTATTAATATATTCTTTCGATAATATCCAAATTAAAAACTTAGACAACGAAAGGATTAACAATAATTTATAATCATGTGCTTTTGTTATGACATTTTTTTTTTATAACTGGCTGACGCCATTATGTTTTAAAATATAATTTAACAACCCTAGATACAAGCTTTTTATAAGTATATTTTATAAGTTGATATGCAGTGTCGTTACTTTATTTATATTTTCATAGACGGTCAGTATCATCTAGGGCTGAAATAGTTTTTGTACTAAAGTGGAATGCTCTTTATAGCAATCACATACATCACAGACAATTTATATCATAGACTAAATATAATGTTTTGTATGCTCTGTGGAGAAGTGGATTTACTACTTCCTAATATCAATTAGAAATGTCATTGTAATGTCAAATAATATTTGTAATTTGTAATTGTTTTGTATTTATTTCGTTGTTCTCCCATTTTTCTTTTTCTTTATAATTGTAATTTATTACGGAATTAATTTAGTTTATTCATTCGTTATCATTTAATTGAATATCACATATTAACAATTCAATCATTGTGTTAATACCGAATGTTTTAACAATGGCAAATACTTTGCACGAGGTATCAAGACGCACGATTGTAATAACCAAATACGAAGAACCTGCAATGTTATGGAATAAGTCCGTGCTAACAATACGTACGGATAAAGGTGTCAGTTGTATCGAATATACACACAATTTACGATGCTTAGACAAAAACATTGACTGCACAGAATCTATAGTGCCTACCTCGAAATCGAGTCCTGTTACAGATTACCTCACGAACAACAGTTTTATTAAAAAAGGCTTGAGCAACATGGAGCTATCGCAGTTGGCACTGGATCCTTCGTTTTGGCCATACAGTCCTCATATAGTGGAAGAAATGGTATCTGTTGTTTCCTTTGATTGGTCACCTACCGATCTCTGTTTTAACAACAAATCTGTCCTTGCTGTGTTGAATAATATAGGAAATGTGGAACTGTTTTGTCCTCACAGATGTACTTTAGTTAGTGCACTTGATATATCTAAACATGTAAATAAACTTTTTGATGTAGTATCCAATATACCAAAATGTTTTAATGATTTAAGAGAAGTTGTTGAAACAGTAGTATCAACTGCAATATGTTGGGCTCCAAAGCTGAATCCAGATGGCTCTTGTTACTTTGTTACAGTTCAGAAAAATGGTAACATATTATTATGGCTAATAAAAAGAGATATATTATTATTAAAAGCAGAATATTTTTGTTCTATTCAAGTTAAATCAAGTGAAATAACAACAATTCAATGGATAAATAAATTGGATCATACATTTATATTAGTTTATTCAAATATGGTTGGTGAAATAGTTGCTTTAAATTGTAAAATAGGGGAAAATGTAGAAGTTATGAGTAAACACACATTGTGGGCACACAAAGATAGAATGATTGCAAAAAATTTACAGTACATTGTAATAGACAATAAAATAATATTTACATGTACCAAACACAGACACTTTATTGCAATCTTATTAGATATGGATTGTAACATTTTGTCACAGTTTGTAAAAAATGTAAATGATTATAAAATTACAGTAAATACAAAATGTGGAGATCAATTTTATATTGGCACAGTTAACTGTGAAGTTTATAAAGTTAACGTTACAATTTCTAACAATAACCTTGATGTTAAAATCAGTATGGTCCACCTAAAAGAGACATATGCAAATTATGAACTTTACGGTCTTACCTTTTCCAGTAACAATGTAATTTGTTCTTTAGGACTTTTGAACAGAAAAATATTAATCAGGAAAGATTATATGAAAATTGAGATTATACTTCTTTGTACAGACACAAACTATGCTAATGAAGTAGAAGTACTTTTAAATAATCCTACAAAAACTTTAACAAACATGTGGGATTATGTAGAATTATTTAGATATAAATGTATGAAAACAAGAAGTTTACCTGTGTTAGATTTTAAACAAATTTTGGAGGAGGCTGAAACTAATATATATAAACTCAAAATATATTTAATTATAGCAATCATATATGACACTTTGCAAATAAATTTGAAATTGTACAAAGGTCTTTTGCCAGAATGTTCTATTGAATTAATTCAAGATAAAATTATGGCATTACATGCACAGTCTCGTGTAAAGGAATTATATAAATTGTATTTAGATAAAAAGTTTCCGAATGATTTTTTAGCTGAAACATTTACAAGTTTGGTAAACTATTTGAAATATTATTGTAAAAAATATGATAAGAATTTGAAAGAGTATATTCCAGTAGATAGAACCAAAGATTATAAGTATGTGTGCCAATGCTGTGATAATTTCCTTGATGGATTTACTTGTTCCAATGGTCATTTAAATATGTTTTGCTCTTTAACATTTACTCCTATAGAAACCTGTAATTATCTTGTATGTAATAGTAATTGTGGAATTACTGCAAGAATAGAATTGTACAATGATAAACCAATATGCGTTCTGTGTGATACACATTTAGATTTGTGTAATCTACCAAATTAAATATAAATCTATCTGTGATAAATATGATTGGTTCTCTTTTATTTCATCATCAGTTTAGCTATTCATCAATACATAGATAGACATAGACAGGATCCATAAATTGGTTGAAGGAAGGTCCTGAGTCACAATCGATCACTAGCTCCCAACAATATATTCGAGATCAATGTTCCATTTTATAAGGCTTGATTAGTTTGCTAACATACTGTGGGATTAACAAATTATGGTAATTTTCGTTGATACGGACATTCATTCGTATCTGAAATTTGTGGTATTTTAAATATCATAAAGTTGGCAGTATTTATAACATACGGAATCGAAACTTTCCACCAGCGAAACTGTACATTTTCACCAAAGAAACAAAGTCGAAAAACAAAATATTTTTCGCCTCCCATACTAACACCGTCGTATTAGTATGTTTAGCTGTTGAGTATTTTAGATTCAAAAATATTTGTTGTTATTTTACTGAAATAGGTATAATTTTGCGGTAGTCTATATCATTGGTCGTTTGAGTAGAATTATTTTATTTCCACTGCCATTAGTATTTGAGTGACTGCCAACACTCAAAGATTGACCACCATCACTACTACAGTTGCTAACTCGCCTGTCCACCGTGGCAACTATTGGCCAAACCCCCTAATAGAGGGAGGCCTATATTCAGCAGTGGACACTTATAAGCTAATATGATGATGAAGATTACCATCTTAAGCCTACCATATCCGACTGAGGGGGGAAAGGATTATTAGTAATGGGGTCTAATTCCCCCATAACTAGCAATACACCTTATCAGGTCGACCTCTACGCGGTTCCCCTTGAAAACTATCATGATTAATTCTAGTGAAATCCGTCACGATTGGCTAAAGGACCTGCTTTCATATCCACCTATCACCCCTCACTGATGCCCCGCCGGCGTATATCGATAGCGCAGGTGGGTTTACCATTTTATTATCACCCATTATCATCAATATCCGACTATAATATTGTCCACGCACGTTTTACTAATATATTTAATACTTGTCACTAATTGTTAGTTTTCCGCACTGCTAATGAATTCAATTGCGGCCTGTATAGAGAACTGTGATCTAAGTGTAGCTCTATAAATTTATAGAGAAAGCAAAGTGACTTACATACATATCTCTCACGCCTGTCGCCCATTAGGGTAGGCAAAAACAATGAAACGCCAAATATTTCGATTTAAACAAACCCTCTTCGCTTCTTACAAAAGTGAAAGAAAGTGGTAACCGTCACCTATAGAAATGAGCAGTATCATGGACATAACAGAGTATGCTGTTTTGCCCATGATACTTCCCATGCGTTACGATTCCTGAGGACTCAGGTGTTATTCCTCTGTACCCTGTAAATACACTGCCATATCTCTCTCTTCAAACCGAAACACAACCATGCAAACATAACTGCTTCACGGCAGAAACACGAATGGGACAGAGGTGCCTTAGCAAGCGACTTTTTTACAGTCTCCCTCTAGTGAAGGCGCTATAGATAGCGCCTTCAGTTCACGAGTTAGTAGTTGTTGATTATTGGAGGTCAAAATCGTCTGCCTTCTTTTGACCCTCTTTTCTTTGTCAAAATCTTTTTCAATTATTAATTAAGGAATATTATCAATAATGGTTTAGCATAACAATACCTGAGTGCTATTATACTTAGGTAATTATAATTATCATTGAAACGAAAAGACATCATCAGTCTGGTCATATGGGCTAGACTAGTATTATAATATTTATACTGTTGTTAGTATATACCTACCAGCTTCGTGCTAGCTTATGCGTTATATATAGCATAATGACCTATGGTATAAAGCCGAGTCTCCATACAATGAACAATAATTAAAATAACCAGTTATGTACTTAAATAGGTATTTTATTATAAAACTTTAAAAATCAATAAATATCAACAATTTAGGTAAATCTTAACTACTTATAATGAGTTTACGCAGTGTAGTATCTGTAAGCGACGCCGTCCCATACGCTGGCAGTGATAGACTGAAAAAAAAATTAATATAAAATATATGTATTTTCATCAACTGAAATAAATGTAAATAAATAAAACCTGTCTAACGTAATTTTAATTTACACGCTGATGATTCAATATACATAATAATCTATAAATAGATTTCTATACAACACACAAATATACAAATATCAAATCATATTATACCAAACTTCAAATCGATATTATTTGTAGTTGCTAAAATATAGCATGGGTAGTATCACTATTTAATTTGGGAGTATAACACTATGACGAACGGATGAACAAAGGGCACCATAAAAATTGCTTAGTACCATTTTGTTATGGAACCCTAAAAATAAACAATGAGGAAAACTGCCCCATAAACTTAGTTAAAACACCCCTCGTACTTTGTAATAGACTCTGTTTAGGTCCTGCGCAAACGATGGACATTTTGTACATACACTAAATTTATATTGTGTAAACTATATAACGAGTTGTTAGTAATGCAGACTACCGGTCCCATTACTAGCAATATACTCTGTCAGGTCTACCTCCACGTGGAAAACATTTGTGTTGAATTCCAGATGTATTCATCACGATAAGCTAACTGGCCTGCCTTTCCATTCTTACTTATCATCTCTCACTGGTGCCCCGCCAGCGTATACCGTTAGCGTAGGCGGGGTTAGCATTCCATTATCATCATAGAAATTTACCGGCACAAAAAGGCTTAAACAAAAGAAATTTCCAAGTGTGTAATATGTTTGCATGACATTTTAGGTCTTTATAGTGATTGAGCTAAAATATACCTCGAGGATTATATTTCATTGAACTTAAAGACAGATGAAGAATATGTGTTTACCTACTACTTGTGATCATAGTAGGACTCTGACATAAGGTGAAGGTTTCGTAGGTTACTGCGCTAACTATCATGGAATGTGGTAAAACTAAGAATCTACCCATGCTATAGAACATAATTAGAACAGAAATTTCGCGAATCAAAATTCAAAGGTTAAGCAAATCGTGTTTGTATAGGAGAATCAACACTTTTACGAGTTATGTTAACGTTTAAACTTTCACGCTGTAGATATATTTTATGTTTTATAAGAAACGGGAATTAACGCGATCATTTAGGTAAACTATAATAATTTTAACTCTAAAAAACTGTAATAATTTTAACTAATTCACTAGAATTATCTCGACTTTTCCGTGTCTTCCCGGCATAGAATGAACCACCTTTTCCTTTCCCGTGGATGTCGTAAGAGGCGACTAAGGGAGCTTAATATTCGAGGGATGGACAACAATGTCCATCTTAAAACACCACCAAAGGCATAACTACGGTTGCCAACCCGCCTGTTAAGCGTGGCAACTACTGTCAAACCCCCAAATGGGAGGTATATATTTAACAATGGACAGTTAACGGCTGATATGATGACGATGATTGTGTTAAGAGTAAGCAGGTTTTTTTTATACCACTGAGGTGGCAAACAAGCATACGGCCCACCTGATGGTAAATGGTTACCGTAGCCTATGAACACCTGCAATACCAGAGGTACTACGCGCGCGTTGCCGACCCTAAAGAAACCTCAGGTAATTAGATACTTACAACTTTCAACTTATCACCAGAGTACTCCCTCTTGAATGTGGCGGTTCTGCCCTTGGAGTCCTTAATGACCTGGGTTACTGTGTCACCATCTACAGTGAAGGTAGTTTTTACCTAAAATAATACAATAACAAAAATTAACTTTTGCAATAAATAAATTTTACTCCCGCATTGATCGCATATTTTGAGATTAATAAAGTTGCTGTTTTATTTGCAGTCAAAATTTTATATTTTGAATAGTTAAATAACTTTAATATATGTTATGTATTTTATATATTTATTTATATAATAAATACTATTAAGAGAACTAAGATGTAAGTAATGATGCTAGATAATGGATGTTTTATTAATATGAGCGTTTTTTTTGTTAGATACGCTTCTTGCGCAAAATAGCTACGGTCTTTTCTTCTCTCCTCTACCCAAAAACTGTCTGGAAGAGATTGCCTTGGCGATAAGACCGCCTTTTGTACTGTATTAGTGTAATGTACGTATTTTTTGTATTATTTTTTAAGTGATGCAACAAAGAGTAAATAAATAAATAAACTTTTAATCGACTGTGTTTCCTTAAGTCACTTTCAAAAAGAGATAGTCTTAATTGTTGTTTTTTTTTTTCTGCAGTAGTTACGAGATGAAAATGCTCATATAGAATCGATTTTAATAATTTCTCATTGCAATTGATGCGATTTACTTTATTATTATCACATAAAATCAACATTTACTTACACTTTAAAATCTACTGTGTCTACGAATCATCATGTTATTAATCGATATAGTGTATTGACGTGTATTATTGAAGTAACTATGGAAATCGGTGTTTTTATTGTGGAGCAAAATGTATATAGGTACTTCTTGATGTAGTAAATGATAAAAGCATATTTTATCAATATTATGCCATAGTAATAATTTTTATTTTAAATAATATATATTTATTCATGGCAAAAGCAATATTCTGAACCCAAATGACAGCGAAGTTCTTTGACGTACAATCGATTGGACAGATTGCATAATAATGTTTGTGAATTTTATTGCGATATGAAAGAAAAAAAAGTGTCTGAAGTAACACTACTTTTCTTTGCCTTTGAAAATATATTTTAAAATACAATTCATGAATATAGATGATATTGCACTCGTATTTCTATCACTAAGCAGCTGTACTTGTATGGTGATGGGATATATGACGTCTATAGTACCCCTTATATGTTGACATTTCTGAGCAATAAAATGTTACATTTCCGTTTCTTAATAACATTATAATTTTTTCTATGTGCATTGCTCTCTTGCACTACTGTTGCCCATTCACTACTTTCTATATCACTGCATTAGGTTAACTAGAAGAGATCTCTTGGAAGTAATTTTATATTTGGTCATATTATTCTTAATTGTTATTATTATTGAGTATTTGAGTGCAATAAATAATATATACATAACTGTAATCTTTTTGGAGAAACCTTTGTATATGAACTTACCGAAGTACCTTCCTTGATTTCATCATCAAACTCCACACCTGACTTGAAGGTTATAGTCTTCGTTCTTTGGGGCAATACTGTTGTGTATCTGTAACCGTCACCATCCCTCTCCAGTTTCTGTGAAGGTTTGTACTGGGCAATCCTGGCTTTGTCTTCTGGTGCGACATCTATAAAATTGTAAGAAGGTAATTTAAACAGTTGCATTATAAAACATCAATAAATATGCTCACGATTATAATTCCTGATTGGATTGTCAGAGACATTTGTCGACTATTGCCGTTGTGGTGAAAGTAATATTAGACATACTCATATTTTCCCGATCATGTATATTTTGTATTCTCACAAAAATGTAATTTATCACCAGCATCTTACAATTTTTGTAACAATTTCTTTAAGATGTAGGAATTTTTAACAATTTTCTCTTTCTTTACTCTATATAAGACTTCCAAAATTTTATAAGTACAAAGTTTAAAATAAAGCCATTTCCAGTAATTCTGAGTGCATAAAAAAATTATATTTGTGATTCATTAGAACCATACTATTAAATTTGTCACAACAATCTGGAACATTAACTACATTTTACATATTTTTTTATATGTTCTCTATGTATTCTTACTTTACTAAAAACTCTACATTTACTAAATAAAAACATATCTACACATATTTGTTTAGTTTAGAAACAACATTATTGCTGTCTATACTTCATTCGTAATTCATAATTTCTAAATATTCTAATTTAGATTTAAAATACCATACATTCCTATTACGATACTTTCATTAGTTTCTTTGGTAAAAATCTTTCATAAATATTATGATTAAATATTGTATCGAAAAATAATAGTGCAGTACTTTTATATATGTAATAAAAAAACAAATGCACCCTACCGATAGCAGCAAGGAATGCCTCGAAGTTTTCTTCTCTTTCGAATCTGTATTCTCTTCCTAGATAGGACATTTTGGTTCTGGTTCTTTGCAGATCACACACATAAAAAATGTATAAACTATAATAAAGAAACCAGTGCGTTACACTGACTTATATACCTTCTTATCTTATTGGATATGATTTCTTATCTATTACATGTAACTTTATAAGCCCGTAAATAGGTAACTTTATCTCATGATCCGATGTAGTAATGCAATTTGGTGATTAACGATTAATTTTATAATTATATAATTCATAAAATTTAGAATAGGAGTAAAAAAATTGGCTTAAATTTACAAAATCATTAGTCTAAGATCCTAGTTCCTAAATTAAAAGGTAAATTAATATTCTTTTTCTCTCCTTGTCTAGATTGTAGAAAATTGGGAGCAGGCAGCCCGTATTGTTTTCACAAAATTTTCTTTCAAATACAATTTATTTTAACAATATTCTGAACACTGACTTACTTTAAACAATTGAGAAAAAATGTGATATAAAAAAATCTAAGATAAAGAATTCCACGTTCTTGCTCTATTAGGCACTATTTTTAATCAAAACTCCTCTAACTTTCAATTTTTTTATGGATGGAAATGGAATGATGCGTGCCATACTTAGTATGGCAAACAAATTTAGGAAGAAAAAGATTATTGACAACCAACTGCATTGATATAACAATAAAAGACAATAATATTAATTTGTAACAGTTAGTTGCCAACGTGGCCAGCACTCAGTATTATGATATGGCAGTTTATTGACTGCCATAGCGTTGTTATTCTGTACAAGCCAAACAGAGCAGCTAATGACTTTGATGCTCATGATATCCTCATCAGTTGGGGGGAAAGGATTTGTTAGTAATGGGTTCTAATAGCTAGTAATGGGTATATTGCATTATGGACCATATCAGGAGACCTCCACGTGGTTCTTCCTGGAAACCATCGTGGCTAATTCTTGTCCAATTCTTTACGATAATCCGACTAACCTGCCTTCATCCTTATCCTCTATTACTGGTGCCCTGTTAGCATATACCGATAGCATAGGCAGGGTTATCATTCCATTTTTATACATTAAAAAACCCTCATGAGTTGCGATTATTAAGGACTATGGTCTTAAGCCGTCATAACCTGGAATTTAACTGCCATACTACGCTTCATACCCATACGGCAACATTGTTGCTTCACGATAGAAATACGAGTGGGACAGAGGTGCCCAAGCAAATTACTTTTGTACTAAGTCTCTCTCTTCTTTTACAAATTGATTACAGTTAATCGATAACCGAATTCGAATTGTAATAACATATTTTTTAACTCATGATCACACATATTGTTTTTATTATCAGTCAAAAAGTGACTATCATCACTTGACCGCATTTTGTAATCAGTACAAATGATCAAATGCTTTATCATCCTGACTCACAAAATCGATCGGGAAAGGTTAAGAAATTTGATATATGTTTTATATAACACTATAAATAATATTAGTAAATTTATTGTGACCAAAATAACTGTTAAAAAAGAAATTTAATAAGTATTTTAAGAAGTATTTCTTTGTACGGAAAGAGTAGACAACTACAATTAGATTTGATTAAAATTAATGTCCTTATATATGACTTTATTTTTATATAAAGTTTGGAAGCTAATAGTACACTACTGCGGCGGCCAGCAACTGAGGCATTGATGGACGAACGTGCAAATGTGGGCCGAGGCGTAGCCGAGGCACACATACGTGAGTCCATCGATGCCTAGTTGTGGCCAAGGCTTGTATAGTACTTTTCTCAAACAATGCGCGGAAATCAAAAACACAATTTTACTTTTTAAGTTCAATGACGAATAACGAACAATAATAATTTTTCACGCGCCATAATGTTCCTTTGTTTTTTTTTTTTTTTCAATAAACAGCTTTCTATTTGCAAGCCAGTTCGAAATTTAAATAAAACCTTTTATTAGTTACCTCCTTGGTAGCCATGTTTCGAAGTAAAAGGTCATTCCATTTTTAAATTACAGGACAGATATGAGTTTACATAGTAATTTATCTGGCCGCAAAACACGACAGATATAGATTTTCATACAAATTTTGCCGGCCGCTGCCCGCATGTATCCAGTCAGTACGGCAATTTTGATTTATCTCGAAGAAGATTGTCAAAATAATGCTCACACTTCCAAGCATGTTTGAGAAATAAATATTTTTTTACTATTTTAACATTACTATAGCTATTTAACGATAGCAAAGTTTCGTCCTTAACACAGACTTTATCCAAGTAACGTCTGATTTGGCAATCTAAGTTGCGTAAAAAAAATTATAAATTGTGTCAGAAAGAAAGAAAGAAAAAACCATTTATTGCCAACACAATACATTAATTATCAATAGAAAACAAACTTCACATTTGTTATTGCCAACATGACCGGCACTCAGTATGTGCTGCAGCAAATTAATAGCTACAGCGTTGATTTCTGTGGTAGCCATGCGTGACATAATGAAAGACGACAGAAAAATAAATAAATAAATAAAAATATAATGAAATATTGACATAGTTGTTGCTCATACAATTACATATATTCATGTACATGCATAAATACTACAATTTGTTTAAAATGTTATAATAAAGGTAATTTGTGTGAAGTGCCAGTAACTGCTCTAAATTTTTTTTTATATAATTTCATCTAGAAACATCCGCTCGAATTTATTTACAAGTATAAGTAAGGCTCTCATCTTCTTTACTTACCCCATAATGAAACAAGAGTAGCTTGTATTTATTACCTGAGAACATGTTACGGGGTAGTAACATGTTCTCATGTTAGACTATAGAATAGATTAAAAATATTTTTTATTAAGAAAAAAATTTACAAGCTGTTTTAAATAGTCATTTTATTACGATTCTGATTTCAGAATATCGTTGTCTTGTATCCACAAAAATTCAACAGCGACACTTTTAAATTTTGTTATGCACAACGTGCATGATGAATCTACACAAATAAGGAAAAAAGAACGTACCTAAACAAAACCTGAATCATAGATAATATAATACTATACTAGTACCTGAACAGATAGATTGTGCTTGAAGATACCATTAATAATCTGTGATGCTTCATCATGCTTCTGTAGGTATATATCAAAACAAATAAATTTCAATAATCTAATCTTCTTATTATTTGTCAACATAAAATGGCCAACGTATCTACCATATTTACTTTTATAGCTATATTTGTCAGTAATCGGTTCCGTTTTTAGATAATACGTAGCGGGATTTGCAAATTTTCCATAATTTAAACACTTCACAAACAGGTGAACGCAAATTTTTGTAATTGTAATATTAATATATAAACAAGTATATAGAAGGTGAAATTGAATTGTCATATTCAGTGAAATAATATTTTGAACATTGAAATATTGGCCGAAAAACGAAAAAAAAAGTCTTAGTCTCTCATAGTAAAAAGGCGCGTTCCATTTTCAAGTTAGTATGGAACGTTCAAAATTCTTTGAAATTTAAAAACAAAAAGTTTGAGTTTTTCTTTCTCTACCAATGTCTTTCCAATTTTTAGTTTTCATATAAACTTAATCAGTAACATTTAAATACTTAACATTTAAAAAAGAAAATTAGACAAATCGTTCCAACGCTTATCAGGAGATATACTTACCAATAAACAGTATTATAATTTTATTAAAATACTAAAATAAAATTTGTGAAAGGATCTTGTATTATATTTAGTAAATACATATTTTGTTATAGGTATCAAGTATCAACAATTTCCAATATGAACTGAATTAATACACTAAATTATGTTTTAAAACCATTTTCGAGGCGTTTTAGAGAAAAAGATTTAAGCCTTTCGGAACCATTAGGGATCCGGACTACCATGAATGATTTACCTCATTTTATTTGTACATATTAACTTTTATTTTGATATAAGTGCCCAATAATCATTATCAAGTTACCGCCAAATTATCTATAAATTGATTGCTGTGTCAATTGATTAGGTAACACTTGTTTATAAGTTATCCATAGTAAACTCAGGTGTGGTCTTTAGTCTTTGGACATGATAAGCTTGTCTACTGATTTGTAATCGGTAAGATAATGATTACAAATCAGCAGATACTGTCATTTTCTAAATTTAAACGTCCTATAATGTTACTAGAAATGATCGTTGTAACAATAACAGATAATTTATTTAATTAATTTTATAGCAGGTATATGTAATATAACCTAATTAGTAAATATTTTATTTCGACATTTACACATAGTTTTCTATTAAGGAATAACAATCTTTTAAATGTAAAAAATAAGTTAAAAATAGATATATTAATTTATTATATTATTTAATTATTGAATATTTAAATACTCTGTTTTTTTTTTTTGTATAATAAATTAGCGGCCCGTCCCGGCTTCGCACGGGTGGACATTTTTACAACATTTTAAAAAGTGGTTATTGTGACATAACGATAATAGTGGGACATATAGTATCGCTAAGTTTTTTGGTAGTTATTAATATTTTCTTCAATATTGTAAAACATACTTTGTTTGTTGTACAATCACCAATAGTTTCCACAGCGCAAACGACGAAAGATATAGCATTTTTTACACCTTGAATTACGTTACTATAGTTTTAGTAAGGATTCTTAATCTTTTCTAGCAATAAATATAGCCTATGTTACTCAGGGTGAATGTAGCTATCTAATGGTGAAAGAATTTTTGAAATCGACAAAGTAGTTTTTGAGTTTATTCATTACAAACATACATACACACAAAATACAAATCTTTTCTCTTTATAATATCAGTGTACATGTAGATTGAGATTTAGTCAGAATAATAAACCACGTCCTAGTTCTTATTCTTATGGTTTACTCACAGAATAGGATCCCAAATTTTTGTTTATCTTAAAGGTAAAATTTTTGGTTATATTAACCTTAAAATTACCTAATAAAAACAATAAACATTGTAGGAGTTTTTAAAATAATTACTTTAGTATTTGCAGTATTTGTTATAACTACTTACATAAAACTTATTAACTACGTGAAATAAAAGAACAGAAGAAATAGTTCTGTTCTTTTATTTCACATAATAAATACCTATTATTAAATTTATCACCTTGTCAGTAATATTAAAAGACGACTGTAAATCTATGACATGAAATT